TAACGATCTTGATATTCAAGTCAAGATTGCGAGTCTTGATGTTGGGCTAAAGTAATTATGCCTTAGGAAAACTATAAAAACAAAACAAATTAAAACATTAAATTTCTTATATATAAAACAGAAGTATCTACCGTAAAAAATTTATATAACTATAAGAATTTGTTTTCTCCAACTGGTGAAATATAAGCAGAATCCAAAGTAATTACTACTTAGTTTATATCTATATTTCGCTATGAAGTATATGCATGTATCACCAGTACTCATACTCTATACATGGTTTTAGATACTCTACCATATACATATGTAGTTAGATAAAAGGATTAGGTATTACTCCCTCTGTTTTTTAAAAGTTGTCGTTTTAACTGTATTTAGACAAATTAAGAAAAGGTATACAATGACTATATTAACCTCATAAAAATGACAAGTAATTATTTACAAATAATTTGTGTTTAATTAAATGAGGGTAATTTGGGTAGTTATTGGCATAAGTTACATTATTACCTTAAAACGACAACTAATTTAAAACAAAAAAAATGCTCTAAAACGACAACTATTCGAAAACGGAGGGAGTACCATTTACATGAAAGAATTATATACTTTTGATATCCAGTTTTAGCATTTTCGTAGGAGAAAGTTTATAATCTAAGCAAAACCAAAATCAATTAAACTAACATATTTTCTTTTATATATACGCAAACCAAATTGAAACATAATCAAATCAAGTAAAGTACAACCATACCGACAAAATTTTTTTTAACTATTGTTTTATATATATAATGATGTTGATGTAAATTAAGATTTATTAATTCAATTCTATTTATGTTTTTTTTTCCTTTTTATAATAAAAATAATATTAAATTAATGTTAAGTTTTAAATTTAGTATCTTATTCAAAAAAATGGTTTTAAATTTAGTAACATTATTTTGAATCGCAGCCCTCTTGCACTCACCTAAAATTGTATTTTTATTCTGAACTATTTGTGATAACGGATAAATTAGTACTCATATCCCAACCGAATTACTCGACAAAGTGGGATTGACATGTTTGGTTTGAATTGGGACCCTAAGGGACAAAACTAAAAGAAGTTTGGTAATGGGCAAAGAATGTAAAGCAATTTGGAGTTGATGGTCAAAAATAGTAAAAATATGGGCCAAGACATAAATGGAGAGACATTACACACACAAAAGTTTTACATTTAGAAACTATAATAGTTTTGGACTTAATATATCTCAACCAATCTTTCTTTCGCTTTATGATAATGTTTTATTTTATTGGGTCACCATGAAAATGTTTTATATTTAGATTAATTATGAGACTAGCTATAATAAAACAAGTTTTGATTTTTGATTTTTATGTTATTAAGTAACTTTATGTGGGATCAAAAATGTTTTGAGCCACATTGCACAGATAACATGTTTTTTTATCCTGGCCAAAAAAATGTTTTTTTTTTTAATCTTCATATAAAGTATTAACTATTAACTATTACTCCTTCCGTTCTTTTATAAATAATAATGTTTTAAGTTTATATTTTTGTTCTAAAATAGACGATGTTTTCAGTTTTTAATGCAATATTAATTAGTTTTTATCGGTTCTAATGATTTTTATTATATTATGCAAATTATCTTTTGATTGGTTGATTAAATAATAAATGATGTTTTTGTTTAGAAATAATCAAAAATGAAAAGATTTTTTAATCTATGTGTAATTATCCTAAAACATCATATATAAAAGAACTGAGGGAGTAAGTATTAATATATTTTTGTCCTCGTGCATCTATGATACAAACAATAATGAGACTTTAAACCCTATATATTAAGTTATTAACGAAAGCCGCCATACACCAAATATTTTGGCACTAAAAGAGAAGAGTATTATTATTTGTGTAAGAGTTGATGAAGCATAGTAATCATAATACAGAGACGTCGTAATAATGGTGACAAATTAGTTTGAGGCTGCAAGAAGAAAAATGATTAGCTATATTGAAAGTTAAGTGAATTGAGAAAATCCATTAATAAACGTTTTGCGATCATAATGATCATATTTTCAGTAGACGGTATGGTAGAACGAGGACCAATTTTCAATCGATTTTTGGTTCAATTCGGTTCGAATAAGTAAAAATTAGGTCGATTTAGGTGTTGTAAAATAAGAGACCAAATTTAAATCGAAAAATATTTTGGTTTGGATTTAATTTGGGTTTTAGAAACTTTGCTTAGTTCTATAAAAAAAATTAGGGAGACTCAAAAAAATGCCCCTTTTTCAATACCCCTTTTCAAAAATGCCCCCTTTGACTGTCCATTTTTAAAAATACTCCTTTTTATGTACAAAATGACTAAATTACACTTTTTTTAATAAAAGATATCACAAATATATAAGGAAAACATGAGAATGTGCACACATCAAAATTACAAATTTGATTTTGTAAAAACTTGTAAAACCTTTAAAATACCTTGTAAAATTTTCCTGCCAAAAAATTTTTTTTGCGGGAAAAGTGATTCCGCAATTTTTTTGGCGTTAAATTTTTGGCGGAAAAAATTTACAAGGTATTTTAAAGGTTTTTACAGAGTATTTATAAGGTTTTACAATGTATTTTAAAAGGTTTTACAACGTATTTATAAGGTATTTATAAGATATTATAAGATTTTACAAGCTATTTTATAAGGTTTTACAAGTTATAAGGTTTTACAAGTTTTTTATAAGGTTTTACAAGTTATAAATACCTTATAAAACCTTATAAGTACCTTGTAAAATCTTTTAAAATACATTGTAAAACCTTACAAAACACTTGTAAATACTCTGTAAAACCTTTAAAATACCTTGTAAATTTTTCCCGCCAAAAAAATTTCGCCAAAAAAATTGCGGAATCACTTTTCCCGAAAAAAAAAAATTTTGGCGGGAAAATTGCGGGATCACGTTTCCCGCCAAAAATTTGCGGGATCACTTTTCCCGCCAAAAAATATTTTGTATTTTGTGGACCTAATTTTGTTTCAAATAAGGGTAAAATGGTCATTAAAAATTAAAAGAGGGCAAACTTAAAAATGGACTCTCAAAAGGGGTATTTTTGAAAAGGGGTATCTCAAAAGGGGCATTTTTAACAATTTCTCAAAAAATTAATGTTTGGTTTTTCTAAATTTTGTTTAAGTGAAAGAATATCAATGTGAATTATCTGATGCTTAGGGATCAATTTTGAGTATTTCACTCCAAACTTCCATCCTCAAGCGGCAAGCCACTGGTATGTCACTCGACTATCTATTCACTATGGAAGGAAGGAAGGCTTCACACCATAAGTATAGAAGAAGATCGCATGGAATAATGAAATGATAATATATTCCATTCATTTCAATGACAACCATGAAACTTCCATTTATTTCACAATCTTGAACAACCCATGTAGTTTCTTGTATATATATATGTATATTACCTTTCTTGCTTAGCAAAGAAAGGTTCAATTTCTTTGCTAAGCTCATAATATGGTTCAGTTTTGGCAGTTTGGTTTACGTTTCAAGAGAACGCCAAGACTTTAAGGCAATAACACTTGGTTAGACTTTTTTTTAAAATAATTATTATTATTACCATCATCATAAAGAATAATCACCACACCACACTAACTTATTCTAATTAACTCACAAAACATCTACCTTTAGGTATTGGATCCGAAAGTCACCAAGTTTTGGCCGAGACTTAAAATCCCTTCAAAAGCCGCGACTTCTAAGGTGACACATAAGAGGAGCTAGATAGTTACTCCTAGATCTTAAGTACAACAAGAGTTTCAACACAATCAAGGAGAAGAAACTCCTCACTTTGTGTTGGCTTAGATTCAAGTAAACGGCTAAAACTCCAAAACCCTACAAGATGATCATGTTACAGTATACAAAGTATAAAAAATTGGAAAACCCGAAAGGATTTTGTCTACCATTGCATGTGTCATATCTGAAACGAGTCTAACGAGGCGAGCGCATGAAACCAAGACAACTAGAGTAAGGGTTTGACTGGTTTAAATGCAGCGGTTGCGGTTGTGGGAGTTTGCGGAAGCGGGCGGTTGCGGTTTCAAGCGTTATTTAGCGTTTTGACCGACTAGTTTAGCGGTTGAAAACAGGTGCGTTTGCGGGAGATTTACGACTGGTTGATCAGCGGGTACGATAGCGGTTAAACCAAAGTTTACCAAAATAAATTTAATATATGTTTACAAAAAATTATAAAACACCAGAAACTATAATTATAAAAAGTATAAAAATTTTAAACATGATTAATTAATGATTAAAAACCATAAATAATTATTCAAATAAATTTTTATATTGAAAACAAAAATAATTATTAATATTAGAAAATTAAAGTTAGATAATTATTATTTTTTAGAATTAACGTGAATATAAATAAGACATGATAATATATATTTTAATTTATTTATTTTCTTTTTTTAGTTTTTTTTCTTTTTTAAACCAACCGCAAACGCTTGCGGGAAGGAACTTTTGAAATCCAGCGATTTCGAGCGGTTCGAAGCGGTGTGGAGCGGTTTCTGTGATTGGTACAGACCGCTAACAACTGCAACCCACCGCTAACCACCTCTAGGCGGGTGATAGCGGGAGAACCAATCAAGCCCTAAGTAATCATCTATGATCGATATCCTAATCCATAATACGTAGTAAGATTTTGATTCAGGCCCAAGGTTTCAATCATGTAAGCCCACGGCCCAGTACATATAGATGATCAATCCAAATGCATTTTTAGTTATTTCCATGTCCTCTACTGGTCTATGATGTTCCAGGCCTTTTTTGTATTGTATTGGAAAAGAAAAAAAAGGAAATGAAAGAATCAAAGAGAGATGAAAAACGACGTCATAGAATATCAAAGGAGGAAAAACGACGTCGGATAAAATCAGAATAAGATGGGTAAGAGAAAAATCTAATGGTTGAATCCTATTGGTCACCTTATCCACTTAATCCAACAATCTCTAGCTTCTCATTTCACAATATTATCTCTTTTCTCTTCTCATCAAAACATACCATCAAGCAATTTGCTCATTAGAGAACAAAGAAAGAAAAAAACAATGGCAACTCAAGCCGCCGGGATCTTCAACTCCGCCATAACAACCGCCGCAACCTCCGGCGTCAAGAAACTCCACTTTTTCTCAACAACCCACCGTCCGAAATCCCTCTCCTTCACCAAAACCTCAATCCGCGCCGAGAAAACAGATTCCAAAGCCGCTGCAGCCCCCGCCGTGAAAGAAGCTCCCGTGGGATTCACGCCACCGCAGCTAGACCCAAACACACCGTCTCCGATCTTCGCGGGAAGCACCGGTGGTCTTCTACGTAAAGCACAAGTGGAAGAGTTCTACGTTATTACATGGAACTCACCGAAAGAACAGATCTTTGAGATGCCGACAGGAGGGGCAGCGATCATGAGAGAAGGTCCGAATCTGCTGAAGCTAGCGAGGAAAGAACAGTGTTTAGCTTTGGGGACAAGGCTTAGATCCAAGTACAAGATTACTTACCAGTTTTACAGAGTGTTTCCTAATGGTGAGGTTCAATATCTTCATCCTAAAGATGGTGTTTATCCAGAGAAGGCGAATCCAGGAAGAGAAGGTGTTGGTCTGAACATGAGATCTATTGGGAAAAATGTTAGTCCCATTGAAGTTAAGTTTACTGGCAAACAAAGTTATGATTTGTAAGATGTCAAAATTAAGAAACCAAAACTATGTGCATGTGGTGATGACTATGTTTCATGTTAATTTTTAATTAATGGATTTTGTTTCAATAATTTTTGGGAAAATTGGCAAAACTAACCAACAAAAAAACTTTAATTCAATAACTAACCTCTAACCCCCCTATTCACTCTCATTCTCTTCCTATCTCTCTCTACCTTCTTTCTAAAAAACTAATTTTTCTTTTTTTTTTGGTTATTCACCTAAATCACTCTTTTGTTGTATTTGATTTCTTTTGTTGTTCCATTTAGTTTTTTTTTTTTCTTTTTTTTTGGTAGTTTTTGCATCTTATAATTTAGTTTATAGATCTTATATGACTCAAACAAAATAGTGTTTATAAACTGAAATGGTTGAAACTCTTAAACAAAAACCAAATTTATTAGAAAAACTGCATAGAACCGTTAAATACAAGCAACCAATCACAATCTGCCACGTGTGCGGTTCTCTTTGATTCCCAAAACTCCCTTAAGAGAGCCGATTCTTTGCCAAATTACTTGTTTTGCTTTATTTTTAATCACTTTAATGAAGAGAATCCCATGAAATTATCAAGAGAACCTCCCATTGGAGGTGCTCTAAGTAATTTGGAAAGGCATGTGTTGGGCTTTAATAGGGCCGATTGAGTAGAAAAAGGTAAGCCTAAAATCATTATCGTAGCCCAACTAAAAAACCCAACGGTTCAATTTCAAACGGTCGGGTTTAAGGATTCGGATCTTTAATTCGCCGATCATCGTCTCACAAACATCTCCGTCTCTTTCGCACAAACACACAAGTGACTTGACCGTTACGACGACTCGAACGATGGCCACGAAAGAGGAGTGATAGTTTCGTTTCCCATTCAGTGTTTTTCTCTCCGATCCAAAACCCTAGCGAGGTTCCGGTTGTTCCCGTGGCCGTAATCAACGCGTATCACATCTTCCTGATTATCTGAGACGCGACGGAGATAATTTAACTCAGGATCGTCTTATTTGTTGATCGTATAGACTAATTCGGCTCGCGTCTTCTCGATTTTGCCAACGTTGCTGTGAAATTGCGTTACCGTTCCCAATTTTCAACTCCTGGTACATGAGATAGTTCTCAAAATTGTTCACTGTTCGTGGAATCTTTTTGGCACTATTTCTCTTCCTTGCGTTTCTCAATCTATTGTGACGACTATGTTTAAGAGCGTTGTTCTTTCTTTTGTAGTCTTATCCTGAGTTTAGGTCTTTTCGAGCGTCTATACAAAGTGTGCCATATACTGTTTATGGCTACTCCCATATGGACTAAACAAAGTTGGTTGGTGATGAGCTTGTGCGTTCTAGGATTTGTAGTTGGGAATGCATTTGGTTTAGCTAGAGTTCATGCTGCACTTAGGTTTTAACTGCACACTTTACCTAAATAATATCTTCCAGTAAGAATTTCTCTTTGAGATTCGCTTATGCAACAAGATCTGTTGGGCTTGGTGCTTTTCTGCATCTTACATCTATTCGCTTTCAAATTCATTGTCTGTGTCCGCTACTGCATACGCGCTTAATCACTTATTTCTATTGTGACCTTTCCTATCTAACTTATTATTCTTTGATACTGAATCTGACGTGCTTAGTAAATGGTTCTACTGTTTTTTTGTGTGTGCTTGAGCATCTGGATTCTCATCTGATCTGTATTTTCTGTTTCATTCAAGTAGAAATCTCGTGAGAAGTCAACACCTTTACAGATTACTGAGGAGAGATTAACTGCCCCGTATGGTCAGCTTGTCCGTATATCTTACACTGATCTGAAGATTGTTTATTTGTAACTTGTAAGTATTCTTACTTTGAAAGCATCCCCTTATATATGACATTTAAAGAACAACCATTTATCAGGTCCAGACTTTGCAAAGTTTGTGACCAATACCTGACTGACTCTGAGATAATAGTTTGAGCTTGTTAAGTTTTTTTTTTCTCTATTCGGTAGATCTCGTTTGGCTTTCTGCCAATATCGATGATCACTTCTCAACTTTCATCTTTTTGTGCAAACATTGGTCTTCCGGTGTGAATGGTGACACTGAAATGTATTTTATGATTCTGGTGTTTGTAGATTTCGCTTCCGGGATGAATAATTTGTTGCAGATTTACAGTGAAAGCGAGACATGTTCTACATGAAAGCACAGACATAATTTTGAGCATTTGGATATAATTTTTTTTTCTTGCATTCTATCCTTTCAAAGAAACTCCTTTTTAACATTCCTTGTCATGGACGCTCCCAATCCCAAGCGACCTTGCCTTGCCCCTTTGGTTACCTACTCCATAGAAAACCCTTTTTCCCTCCCTATTGCTCCAGATTTCAACCAAAGCAACATTGATATGACTATCTCTTCTTTCCTTTCGTTGTCCGACTTGCCTTTGTTCTCCTCACCGCTCTCCATAGGATGCTCTTTTGATCGAGTGCTTGATAAAGTCATCCCCTCAGCAGCTGGAACTTCCCGTGATGAATTTGATCAGGATCGTTTCCTGGATCGTACTCTCCAACTCGCATCGCTTCTTTACAAGTCCACCAAACGTTGCATAAGGAAACGTGCCACCCTCCAAAATTCCTCATCCTGGCCTCTCCTCCCTGAACTAACCACTAAGGTAACAATTCCAGCATTCTCATATCATGCGTTTTCTGTTTTCTTGAGTGATGTCTCACATAATATGTTTCTAATGCATATTCAGGTCTTTTCAATGCTTGATACGAAGTCTCTCATGCAAGCTTCTGCATGTTGCACGATGTTCAACAAATGTGCCATGGATCGTGTATGTTACTCCCACATCGACCTGACAACGGCTGTCGAAGATGTTGATAATGGAGTTGTGTGCGTAATGATCCATCGGGCTGGAAAAGAACTCAGGTGAGATTTTCTCTTTCCGGGTTATCTTATTTTGGTGGACCTTGGTCTATGTATCTATGTAATCATCTCTCAGGTTTCATTTATACTTGCAGATCCCTCAAACTTGGTTCTATTTCTTCCTCAGCTGGATTTACTACATCTTCGCTGACAAGATCCTGTCTTACCCCACTAACTTTTAACCATGGTTTTGCTGGGTATTTGCTTGATTATCAAATATATACAAGTGAATATTTATGTACCAAACCTGTTACATTAATGTGATTTGTGCTCTCTGATACAACTAGATAGGGATAATGGGTTTACTAGTTTTGTTGCTTGAATAGTTGGTGTTAAAATTAACATCTTTATTTCATCTTCTGAGTGATACTATCTTTTTCCATTCAACTAGGGGTCATTTGAGAAGCCTACACCTTTACCATCTCAGAATGATGGATTGCGAGTCCTTATCTCCTGTGTTGTCAGCTTGTTTAAATCTCACTGATTTGAAGATTGTTGGACTGTAAGTTGTATTGGATAATTCAGGAATTCTCCAATTCAGTATTGCTTTGCTTTACTTTGCCTGGAGGCGCCATCTTCTATGCTTTTAATTTTTTTTGTTATTTGAATGTCTGTTCACTTTAAATTCTGCTGATTCCTTATGGTAATTACTTTTTTTTTCCTACATTTTTGCATTATTTAGTATTCAAGGAAGCAGGTACAATCCACTTGAGCAGTTAGGTTTACTCACGAGAAATTGTCGCTTGTTAGAGCACCTGTTCATAGAGATATATGGTGCAGCAGGTATATGTTCCCGCTATGAAGATTTCCTCTTTGTATTTTTCATTTGAGTGTTTGCTCAAAGTTACCTACTTTTTGACTGGTAGTATAGGCCTTATAACAGATTCAAGCTTGTTAGAGTTTGTGGATAATTGCCCCAACTTAATTTCGCTATCGCTCCTATGTTTTATGCTAAAGGGCGCAATATTACAAAAATTAATTAAGGTATGGCTCCTCTAGTTTTGTTGTTATTTCTTTTCTTTTTATTTGGTATCATCTAATACGTTTTACAAAACCGATATAATATTGTGATGTTTTGCAGGGTTTTCGTCAACTAAAGTACATTAATCTGTCGAAGTCGCCTGAAATTAGTGGTTGTTTTTTCAGGTGCGTGTCGTTTGAGTAAATGTTAATGATGATATCTTTTTAAGTATTTGGTAGCAAATTATTTATGGCCTAAGGTTTTGTTGGTAGGGGTTTGGAACTTTGCTGCAAAGATAGTCCACTGGAGACTTTGATATTGCGCGACTGCTATACTTTAGAGGAGGTAAAGGATATAAAACACAACATGTTTTAAGTTTTGTTCTTCATTCTTAAAGTCACAGTCGTGAGTTCGCCTTGGAATTCAGAGAGAAGTTTTGCTGTTCTTGAATTCATTACTCGCCGGAGACTTCAAATCCATTCGGCTCATTGTAAGTTCCTATAGAATATTTGCTAGTTTTTGAACAAAAAAAAAAGATTTGGTAGTTTGTTCCGGAAATTTTCGTATGACCTAGAAACGTTTTTTAATCTTATAAATGCGTTCTTCTTTTTCTCCTTTAGGACGTATCAAACGTCAACGGTTTAGTTTGTGATGGAGGCAATAGAACTTTTGAACCAAGGTAACTAACTCACTGATTTGTTGAAGTTTTTTTGTGTGAACGATTTGTTCATATTCTTAAATTTTTTTATATATATATGTGACACTATTGTTTGCTGTAGATTTCCTATTGAGGAGCTGAAAAAACAAAGATCAGATGTCACATTAGTGGCAATTTTTGAATCACAATCATCATTGTCATCATCAAGGTTCATCAATAACTAGTTGTGTTTATTCGGCCTTCATTTTTTAGTACCTAAACTAATTGAATTCAAATAATTTTGTTTTTGTAATATCTCAGCTCAGGGGAGGTATATTCAGATGGCACCTCTTCTTGGAGTTCTGATCATAGCAGGGAGGAGGAAGAGCATGATATCGACTTGGACTCTATATAAATTCAAAGTCCCCCATAATTTTTTTCCGGTACCCAGAGAGGTCTCCGAGAATCTTGAATCGTTTGTCTTCTTCCTTCTAATCTTCTCCATTAAGTGGTAGTTATGCTAATGGATTTGTCCAAGAATTTGTGAAATCCGCCTTCTTATATTCAAACAAACTCTGTTATAACGGATGTGAGCAAGATAACAAAACGTAAAGAACACGACACATATTTAACGTGGTTCACCAACACTTTCTGTTGGCTACGTCCACGGGCAAAGAGACAGATTTTATTACTGGAGAATACAGAATTCAGAATACATGGAGGCTAGGTTAACAAGAGTATTTATAGGGAGGAAACCCTAATTAACCCTAGACTAATTTGGGCCTAATGTCACGGGCCCAATCTAGTTCAAGTCATATCTAACAAATCTCCACCTTGACTTGAATCCTCCAAACAGATGTACCTGATGCACTGCTCACAGTGCCAAAAGTACCAGACTTCTCCTTCAGACAGATGTACCAGATTCAGCTACCAGACTGTTGTACCAGATGCATTATCACAACGCCAGAAGTACCAACCAAATGTAGCAGACAAACGTACCAGAATTCTCCTTTGCCTCAGATGTCCCATCAGGGACCAGATGCTCTGTCGAGCCAGAATGCTTCATCAGAAGCCATAACGCCTGTTAAGGCCAGAATGCTTCATCAGAAGCCAGAACGCCTGTTAAGGCCAGAATGCTTCATCAGAAGCCAGAACGCCTGTTAAGGCCATAATGCTTCATCAGAAGCCAGAATACCCCACTGGGGCCAGATGCTCCATCAGGAGCCCGATGCCTCTTCAGAGGCCTGATGTCCCTCCAGGGACCTGCTGCCCCGTCAGGGGCCTGTTCGCCCTTCAGGGCGATTAACAGCTTGAGATATTCAGCAAGTCCAAACAGTGTTTAAACTTGCTCTGAGGAACCGGCTTGGTGAACATATCAGCAGGGTTATCTGCAGTCCCTACCTTCTTCACTTGAATCCTCTTCTCATTTCTCATAAAATGATATCTCACATCAATATGCTTGGTCCTCTCATGATGGACCTGATCCTTGGCTAAACAGATCGCACTCAAACTGTCACAGTACACTGTAGCCTGATCATGATGCAAACCCAGATCACTGACCAATCCTTTCAACCAAATACCCTCCTTAGCAGCTTCTGTCAAAGCCATGTACTCTGCTTCTGTAGTTGACAGCGTCACAGTTGGCTGCAGAGTTGCTTTCCAGCTAATCACAGAATTACCCAGGGTAAACACATAACCTGTCATCGATCTTCTGCTGTCTACATCTCCTGCATAATCAGAATCAGAATAGCCTGCAATCAGGCTCGGGACCTCACCTCCATATATGAGGCCAACATCAGACGTACCTCTCAGGTACCTGAAAATCCTCTTCACAGCCAGCCAATGTTCTTTTCCTGGTTGTCCCATAAACCTGCTGACAACACTGACTGCATGTGCAAGATCTGGTCTTGTACAGACCATATCATACATCAAACTTCCCACAACATTAGCATAAGGAACCCGAGACATATACTCTTTTTCCTCTTCAAACTGATTAGCAAACATGTCAATAGGCTTTGCTGATAACATACCAAACCTGTTCAACACCTTCTGAATGTAGCCTTTCTGTGACAAGAAAAGCTTATTCTGACTTCTGTCTCTGAGAATTTCCATTCCCAGAATCTTCTTTGCTGCTCCCAGATCCTTCATCTCAAACTCAGCACTCAGCAGATCCTTCAATCTCTGAATATCACACATCTGTTTGGCAGCTATCAGTATGTCATCTACATAAAGCACTAGATAAACGTAAGATTCATCTTTCAGCTTGCTAGTGTAGACACAGCAATCATACGGACTTCTGATGTAGCCTAGCTCCATCATATAGCTGTCGAACCTCTTGTACCACTGCCTGGGAGACTGCTTGAGCCCATACAGAGACTTGTTCAGCTTACACACGTGATCTTCCTTTCCAGGAACTTGGAAACCATCTGGTTGAGTCATGTATATTTCTTCCTCTAATACTCCATGAAGAAAAGCTGTCTTAACATCAAGCTGTTCAAGTTCCAAGTCCTGATTTGCTACTATTGCTAGCAGCATTCTGATGGAAGTGTGTCTGACCACAGGTGAGAAAATCTCATTGTAGTCCACTCCTTCTCTTTGACTGAAACCTCTCGTAACCACTCGAGCTTTGTACTTAACTCCTTCTACCGGTGATATCCCTTCTTTTATCTTGAAGATCCACTTGCAAGTAACAATCTTTCTTCCTGGTGGTCGTGTGACCAAATCCCATGTCTGATTTTTACTGTGAGATTCCATCTCATCTCCCATTGCAGCAAACCATTTCTCAGCCTCAGCCCCTGAAACAGCTTCTTGATAAGTGGATGGCTCATGAGTATCCACTTCTTCTGCAACCTGTAAGGCATACCCTGCCATATTCTCAAGACAGTATCCTGCTGTATCCTCATAACCGTATCTCTGTGGTGATCCCACTCCAATCCTCCTGGTTCGGTTTAGAGCGATACTGTAAGGTTTTGGTTCTGGCTTGACAGGATCTGGTGAACCATCTGCTTTCTGTAGCTCCTGACTTTGTTCCTGTTGCTGTAAAACAGCTCTCTGATCATCTGTCAGCTCCACCTGTTTATCAAAGCTACCATTCTCTTCTGTAGTTGTAGACTTCACTGAACATCCAAGCATAGAAACTTCATCAAAGATAACATTCCTGCTCAAAATCACTATGTTCTCTGATGGAGACCAAATCCTGAATCCCTTGACTCCATCTCCATAGCCCACAAATACTCCCTTCCTTGCTCTTGGCTCTAATTTACCTTCATTTACATGATAATAAACTGTGCAGCCAAAAATCTTAAGATTAGAGTAATCAGCAGATTTACCAGACCACATCTCTGTAGGTGTCTTGCACATGATTCCAGTGTGCGGCCCACGATTGATCAAATAACAGGCTGTATTTACTGCTTCAGCCCAGAACCTCTTTTCTAAATCAGCATTAGAAAGCATACACCTTGCTCTCTCCAGTAATGTCTGATTCATCCGTTCAGCTACACCATTCTGCTGTGGTGTATCTCTGACAGTGTGATGTCGAGCAACCCCTTCATCCTTACACAACTGATTGAACTCTGATGAACAAAACTCCAGACCATTGTCCGTCCGCAGCCTCCTGATCTTCTGACTACACAAAAGATCTTTCTCTGATTGAATTTGTATCCTCTCTTCACCCACATGGCAAAGCCTCATATCCCAGAGCTTTGTCATTTTTCCATTGTGAATCTCTGAAGATGCAACATTCGATGAACACGTAACTATGAAACCTTGTAGGATATACAAGGTACCACATATGACACTCTTTAGAGTCACATCAAAACCTTGACAGACTCTCAGAACTCCGTCTCCACCATCATGCGTCTTGATCTTGATCGAGCCAATTCCAACAATCTTGGTTGACAAGCACTCTCTTCTCAAACACATATGATACGACTGTCGAGTATTTAGAACCCACACACCAGAGAGGTGGGTGTTTCTATCAGCAACAAGAGCAATGCCTTGTTCAGACTTGGTGTCAGCTTTTGTTACGAAAACAGACTCAGATTGTCTCTTGTTAATGCAATCTGACTTCCAATAACTACAGACATCATCTGACTGAGGACTCTTAGAGAACAGCTCTCTGTATCTGTTTTTCTTTCTCTGTCCTAGCTTATTGCTGCCATTAGCTACTAGCTCAAAGGCTTGATCGTCTGTAGTTTTATCTGCCAGCCTGATACTTATCAGACCTGATGCCCAACATGGGCCGAATATCCTGCACAGACCAGATACCCATTACGGGCCAGATGTCTTGAATAGACCAGATGCCCAACACGGGCCGGATGTCCAACACGGACCTGATGTCTTGCACAGACCAGATGTCCAGAACGGACCAGATGTCCAACTGGACCAGATTACCCGTTTGACCAGACGCCCACTGGGCCGAATGTCCTCTCACGGGCCTGAAACTGAAACTGTTTCTCCCAGAATTCTTGTCGATCTTCATGTTCATCTCAGAAATCTTCTCACCAGAACACAAACGCGGAATTTCCCAGAACCTGATTCTGCACGAACCTTCTTCTGCACTGAATTTGCACGAACCTTCTTCTGTACGGATTTTGCACGGGCCTGTATCTGCACGAAAACTGGTTTTGCACGGATCTGCACAAACTTGTTTCTGCCCTAAATTTGCACGAATCTGTTTCAACCCGAAAATTGCACGAAACTGATTCTGCCCGAAAATCGCACGAAACAGAACGAAGAACTTGTGCTCAGACACGAATTTTGCACGAATTAGATTATGCCCGAGATTTGCACGTATCTGATTCTGTCCTAAATTCGCACGGACTGCAGAACGAAGAACCTTGTGCTCTGATACCAGTTTGTTATAACGGATGTGAGCAAGATAACAAAACGTAAAGAACACGACACATATTTAACGTGGTTCACCAACACTTTCTGTTGGCTACGTCCACGGGCAAAGAGACAGATTTTATTACTGGAGAATACAGAATTCAGAATACATGGAGGCTAGGTTAACAAGAGTATTTATAGGGAGGAAACCCTAATTAACCCTAGACTAATTTGGGCCTAATGTCACGGGCCCAATCTAGTTCAAGTCATATCTAACAAACTCTTCCCATAATCGATCAAAGAAACAAGATCTCTTCAAAAGTAAGAAACCTTCAAACTCCTTCATCTGATGTGACGATCTCTATACCAATAATATTTCTGGAGAGAACAGCCGTCTGTTGCTTTAGCTTCAGAGAAGACGAACAAGGACTTAACGTGCCAATTATATCTCATAGTCTATGAGTGAGGAAGATGATCAGGGAAGAAGTCTCCTATAACTCTTTTTTCTTGGTACCCTGAATCCCTAATTGTTTATTAATCAGAGAGGTCTCCCAAAAGTCCATATTGTTTCGCTCTCTCCGAGAATCTGAATTGTTCGTCTTCATCCTTCTAATCTTCTCCATTAATTGGTAGTCATGCTAATGGATTTGTCGAAGAATTAGTGAAATCCTTTTTTTTATGACAGGAGATCTCTTGCAAACCAAGTTAACTGATTGTTTAGATTGTTTACCATTTGACAACCAGTATTCAGAACTCTAATGACGCACCAGTTTATATGGCCATTATTGTGTGTTGTAGGTTTCCTCTTGAAGAGCTTAAAATTTTACATCACCATTATCTTTATCCAGTAGTTCCTATTATAGCGGAGGAGCACTTTGCTGCTAATGAGAATGCTGAAGTTGGAAAGACCTTTCACTGAGCCAGCTGGCCTAGACTTGGATGTGGCTAACACAGATTTTGCTGCTGAACTAAAAGCTGAAGGCAAACTCGGGTTGTTCTTTGATAGGGCCAGAGCTTTTCGGGAACCAATTGCTGTCACCCTCAACGTGACTGCGTATTACAATGGAATTGTTTCCACCATTTACGAGTCCATGACTCACCTACTCCAGACTAAGAAGACAGAGTTTAACAACAACACCAATATCACCAACCGACTCACTCAAGTTTCGAATCAACTCGTGATAGGGGCATGTATAACGACTTATCTCAAATTACGTGCTCTTATAATCACGGAATTCCCTGACAGGTACACTTCAGCTTATCTCAAAAGGCCAAAAGGGATCACATTCACGGACTTACCACCAGTAGTCGTTGCACCATTTGCTTTTGCAATTCAACAACTCGGCGCTGTCAACATCGCTAACCTCACTCATAAGGCATGTTATGTCCCAGTTCTCCCTCCTACAGGACATCAATACGGACTTTCGAATAACCAAATTTGGGACCTCAACTCGTACGCACAAGCTGTGGAATACGCTAGAAACGAACTTGGGGATCCACTTTAATGTGGTTGATGTGAACCAGAAGACCGGTACCGCCTGGTGGTTACTAAGACAACACCTCTCTGAGGAAATGTTCGAGTTGAAGCTCCCGTTCCCGGAGGTCAACTACACTTCAGCGATGGCCGTGACACACTCACTCTTCCTGCTCAAGACGGACCACGGAGAGCTTGACCCATCAAATGCTATTTTCGATCTCGTCCCTTATGGAGAATCCGACTACAGTTACATTATTACATATTACGTGACCCTCTTCCTGGCATCAACGTCACCACGTTCGTGACCATTGATGAAAGCGCGAGACACATAGTTTCTAACGTGTAACTTTTTGAACCCACTTGAGACCACATTAGCAAACTAGGTGTGGGCAAAAAACCCTCACCAACCGAACCGATATAAATGATTTGGTTTGGTTATGGTTTAGCCTAAAAACCCATTTGATTGTCATTTTTATTAAGCTTTCAGTTTAGATTTGGTTTAGTTAAAAAACATAAAACCGAATCGTTTTTTTTGGTTTTTGATTAAAATTAAGGATAATTATATTGTTTCATTCTCCTCTAACAAACGTTTGACTTTAAAACGCAGCGGTTCTCACGTCTCTTGGGCTCCCAAACGCAGCGTTTCACATCTAGTTTCCCAAAACGCAGCGTTTTACGTGTGGTTTCTAAACGCTGCGTTTATTATTTGGTGTGTCTTTAAATTGAAACACGAGTCTTTCTAATTTTTCAAAAGTTGTTGTGTCATGGAACCTCAAAGCCCCAACAAGCGACTTTGTAGAGTCCAAAACCAAAACCCTAATTCTCCCCCGGGTTTCGAACAGAACCACGTCGATCTGATTATCTCCTCGTTCCTCTCGTTGCCGGATTTGCCTTCGTTATCCTCGCCGCTCTCTATTGGCTGCTCCTTCGATCGGGTGGTTGAGAAATTGTTGGAAGCTTCTGATGATGACTCCGTTCACGATCGCACACTCCAACTCGCGTCGCTTCTTCAAGATACCACCAAAAGATTATCTCGAAAACACGCTTCTCTCCACAATTCCAATTCTTGGTTACTCCCTCATGAACTTACCATTAAGGTAACACGACCTGTCTTTTCTTTTTTATGTAAACCTGAGTTATTGAATCTAGAGACCATGTTTTAGGAATTTAAAGATGTGTACGTTGTGTTGAATTCAGGTGTTTTCGTTGGTTGATACAAAATCCCTGATGCAAGCATCAGCGTGTTGCACCATGTTCAAAAAGTGTGCCAATGACTCTTTTTGTTACTCCAACATTGACTTGACAAACGTAAATGTCAAAAGTAGAGTTGTCCGTAGTATGATTTTTAAGGCTGTAAAAGAACTCAGGTCAGATGTTATTATATATAAAACCCAAATCTTCTTCTTTTCTATTTCTCTATTCTTGGTGTATCTAATCATCTCGTAGGGTTTGTTTGTTGATGCATTGCATGCAGATCCCTAAAAGTTGGTCTCCTGGATAAATCTAAGAATTCTTTGCTTTCAGGCACATGTCTTGCCCCACTATCCTATAATCATGGTTTTCTTGGGTATTGGCTTTATTACCATAATTCTGTTTGACTTACCATACATAGAGAAATTAGTTCTACTGGTTTCTGTGGCCTTGTATCTTTGATATAATTGCAATTTTTTTTTCTTTTCCATTCAACAAGGAATCTCTTGACAAGCCTACACATTTACAATCGCAAATGGTTGGAGAATAAGTCCTTATGTGGTGCCTTGTCCGTCTGCTCAAATCTAACCGATTTAAAGATTGTTGGATTGTAAGTTGGCCTTACCCTGTTGGCTGTTGCTTACCATTTTCCAAGTCTTATAGGCTAGTTACAATATAGTCCTAAGCTGGACTGACAATCTTTGTCACATTTTCTCACTTTCTGCAATATTTGTGTTTTCTCTTTACAGGGATGTTGATTCATTAGATAAAGTATTAGATTGTCTCACAAGAAAATGTCAGCATCTGTTCTTAGAAAAACAGTTATTAGAAAAACAGATTGGACCTGGTAAGTTTTTTTTGCTATGATACTTTGCTTTTGTTGTCCTTTCATGTTTGCTTAAGCTGACCCCAATTAATGTGTGGCAGCTAGCTCGATCTCTATATGTGGTTCTTCCTTTGAGAGAAACTGCCCCAATATAACTTCACTATCACTCATAGGTTTTGGCCTAAGTGACAAGAAAGTCTACCTTCTTATTAAGGTATGGCTTTTCGGTTTTCTGGTATTTCTTCTATTTTCATTTGGTGCTATATCTAAATGTTTTACAAAAATATCTGATGCTTCTTTGCAGGGTTTGCGTAAGCTTAAGTACCTGAACCTATCCAGAAATTCTATAATCAAAGGACGCTTTTTGAGGTTCATGTTTTTTGAGCTGATGATATCCTAGTTAAGTATAGTATTTTTATGTTAGCAAAGTTTGTTTCTTATGGCGGAGAGTTTTTTTTTCTGATGGGTAGGGATGTGAACCATGACTGCAAAGACTCTCTGCTCGAGACTTTGATATTGCGAGATTGCAATTCTATAGAGGAGGTAAAGGAATTTAACATAACTTTTGTTGTTGCATCTCATATTAATGTCACTATACTAATATTGGACCCTTAATATCCAGAGAAATGTTTGCCAGTTTTTGGATTCGTTGTTACTCGTAGGACACTTGAGATTCATTCGACACATTGTAAGTTCTCTTCTTAATAAGACATTACTAGTTTTAGTCTGGTGACAGGTGCTTTTGTTTACTCATGATATGTTTCTTCACTAGGACGTTTCAAATGAGGCCGGATTAATTTATGGCGGCAAGAGATGTAGCAAACCAAAGTAACTGATTTTTTTCTTACTTTTTACCATTTGACAAATAGTAATCATAATAACTCGGTTAAATAACGTAACGGTTTATATATATGGCCATTATATTGTGTGTTGTAGGTTTCCTCTGGAAGAGCTGAATGAAGAAAGACCAGGTCTCACTTTTGTGGCAGAGTTTAGATCACCATCATCATCATCAGTATCAGATGTTAGATCACCATCACCATCGTCGTCGTCAGATTCATCTTCTTCCTCAGATTCATCATCAAGGTTGATCAATTTGTTATTAGGCTTTTAAAATTAATTATTAGGAATTCAAGTTTAAATGATTTGTTGTTGTTTGTAAAATTCAGCTCAGGAGATTCTTCCGACGACAGTGGAACTGAAGAAGACGACGACTGACATTGTCTTGTGACTCGTGAAGTTGTGATAATGGTGTCACTTCTTTCAATTTTATTACCTTTTCCGATCCTCAAGAAAATATAATTAGGCATTGATATATTTTTGTTACCTATGGTCTAAAAACCATTTTATTTCTCTTGGATCATGCATATTTCTGTTTGTTTTATTTTCAATTTTTTTTTACTTCAAAAGTTTAGTTATGTTTTTTTTTTTTTTTTTTTTTTTTTTGGCACACCAAAAATTTAGTTATGTTAATCAACCAATTTTAAGCTTTAAAAACTGCTAAACTACATGTAATTTTGACAAAATTAGAGACACACAAGTAAAGGTGTACTTATCCTTTGTCTTCAAGCTCAAAATTTTAATTAAATTTAGTTTATTACAATGAATTTTTTTTTATACTGATACGGCCTTGTTCTCGCTACGATGTTAGAAATTGAGAAATCTTTTTGTGATTATGTATTGTTTGGTCGTGGAACTGATCAAACTATTTGTGAAATCCACTGAGACGATCTTTTGAGAATGTTTTCTCTTCAGTAATGCAAATATACAAGTTTGGTGCTCTTTCGCGGCGAGCTCAGCAGCTACATACATCCTTGAATGGACTCAAACGAAGATACAACAACGCAAACAGTGCATCAAATTTCCATTCGTCGAAGAGCTCTACTCAAACCCAAATCCAGAAATCGCAGACCAAACCTCTCCCTAAATCTGGAGACTCGGATATAAAAGAGTGGAATGTTGCTATAAGCAGCTACATGCGTACTGGAAGGTGCAGCGAAGCCCTTCGTGTCTTCAAACGCATGCCTAGGTGGAGTTCCGTTTCTTATAACGCTATGATATCTGGGTATTTGAGAAATGGTGAGTTTGAACTCGCTCGGATGTTGTTCGATGAAATGCCTGAACGAGATTTAGTTTCTTGGAATGTGATGATTAAAGGGTATGTACGGAACAGGAATCTTGGGAAAGCTAGGGAATTGTTTGAGAGAATGCCTGCGAGGGATGTTTGTTCGTGGAATACGATTTTGTCGGGTTACGCTCAGAATGGGTGTGTTGATGATGCAAGGAGGGTTTTTGATCGAATGCCTGAGAAGAACGACGTATCGTGGAATGCGTTGCTCTCTGCTTATGTTCAGAATAGTAAATTGGAGGAGGCTTGTGTGTTGTTTGAGTCAAGGGAGAATTGGGCGTTGGTTTCGTGGAACTGCTTGCTTGGTGGGTTTGTTAAGAAGAAGAAGATTGTTGAGGCAAGACAGTTTTTTGATAGTATGAAGGTGAGGGATGTGGTCTCATGGAATACGATCATCACTGGGTATGCACAGAACGGGGAAATTGATGAGGCGCGGCAACTGTTTGATGAGTCTCCCGTTCAAGACGTCTTTACGTGGACAGCAATGGTGTCAGGATACATACAAAACCGAATGGTGGAAGAAGCGAGAGAATTATTCGACAGAATGCCAGAGAGAAACGAAGTGTCATGGAATGCCATGCTTGCAGGATATGTGCAGGGGGAGAGAATGGAGATGGCAAAGGAATTGTTTGATGTTATGCCTTGTAGAAATGTTAGTACATGGAACACGATGATAACTGGATATGCTCAGTGCGGCAAAATTTCTGAAGCTAAGAACCTTTTTGATAAAATGCCTAAGAGAGATCCGGTCTCTTGGGCAGCTATGATTGCAGGGTACTCGCAAAGCGGACACAGCTATGAAGCTCTGCGTTTGTTTGTACTAATGGAGAGAGAGGGAGGGAGATTGAATCGGTCTTCGTTTTCATCTGCTCTAAGCACATGTGCAGACGTTGTTGCTCTCGAGCTTGGGAAGCAATTGCATGGACGATTGGTTAAAGGCGGGTATGAGACTGGGTGCTTTGTTGGGAATGCGCTTTTGTTGATGTATTGCAAATGTGGAAGCATAGAAGAAGCTAATGACTTGTTTAAGGAGATGGCTGGGAAGGACATTGTCTCTTGGAACACAATGATTGCAGGTTATTCAAGGCACGGGTTTGGAGAAGAGGCTTTAAGGTTCTTCGAGTCGATGAAGAGAGAAGGACTGAAGCCAGATAATGCTACCATGGTTGCGGTATTATCTGCGTGCAGTCACACAGGACTTGTTGATAAAGGCAGGCAATATTTCCATACGATGACTCAAGACTATGGCGTAACGCCTAACTCACAACACTACGCTTGCATGGTCGATCTTCTCGGTCGAGCTGGGCTTCTAGAAGAAGCTCACAATCTAATGAAGAACATGCCCTTTGAGCCAGACGCTGCAATTTGGGGAACTTTACTCGGTGCAAGCAGAGTCCATGGAAACACAGAGCTAGCTGAAACAGCTGCAGATAAGATTTTTGCAATGGAGCCTGAAAATTCCGGTATGTATGTTCTTCTCTCTAATCTATACGCTTCTTCTGGTCGATGGGGAGATGTAGGTAAACTACGAGTGAGAATGCGGGATAAAGGGGTGAAGAAAGTTCCAGGGTACAGTTGGATTGAGATTCAGAACAAGACTCATACTTTCTCGGTTGGGGATGAGTTTCATCCTGAGAAAGACGAGATCTTTGCGTTTTTGGAGGATCTGGATTTGAGAATGAAGAAAGCAGGGTATGTTTCCAAGACGAGTGTGGTTCTTCATGATGTGGAAGAAGAAGAGAAGGAGCGTATGGTTCGGTACCATAGCGAGAGACTGGCTGTAGCTTATGGGATAATGCGTGTGTCTTCGGGGAGACCGATCCGTGTGATAAAGAATCTGCGTGTGTGTGAGGATTGTCACAATGCCATCAAGTATATGGCCAAAATCACAGGGAGACTGATTATTTTGAGGGATAATAACAGGTTTCACCATTTTAAGGATGGTTCATGTTCTTGTGGAGACTACTGGTGAAGCCATGATGATTCCATTTCATCTTTGATTCAATCTAACCGTTGACCAATTAGAGAAGAAAATGGGTTCTGTCTTCGTTTTGCAGAAGGTGAAGGAAGTGTTTTGCATTGGCGTATCTCGCCTGATTTCACCATTGATGTAAGCAAATTGGGTAAAAATTACACAATATATTATGGCCTTGTTCCATTTTTCCCTTAGGGGGTTTATGGATGTGTTCTGTAGAATGATGTCTCCAAACTTTATCTTGCCATCGATGTTAGAAAGGAACTCAGGTGAACTGTAATGGCATACTCTAACGTCAACTTGACGACGTATTCCAAAAACATTGACAATGGAGTAGTGTATGCTTCGATCCAACGGGCTGGAAAGGAACTCAGGTGAACTGTTAGAAGCATCTAGATATGGAATCACATTTGAGTAGTTTTGTTTTTTCCTTTTTGGACAGCAAATTCACATTAGACTTTGGGTATATATCATTGTGTATTCAAGAAACCATATCTACTGTCAGGAAAAGAATTTGCTTTACACTAATTGGCAGCTTCCCCGAGTTCCTAGTTGTTTGTTGAAACTTCGACTATGTAATCATATCGCAACTTGAACTTGGTCATGTTGTTTGCCCAGCTAAATTTACGATACCTTTGATTCCACTGGTGAAGGTTTTTTGTTTTTGTTTACTCAAGCTTACCTATTGTGTAACAGGTAGATCAAGAAAAGAATCATCAGCCTTGGTAGAGAGTTCTTGACCAATACTTAAACTTAACCGCGCTAACTCTCATAGGTTGTCGGCTAAAAGATGCAACAGCCATAATATTTGCTGAGGTAATGGCCCCTTCTGTTTTCTGGCATTTCATCTTTCTTCATTTGCTACCATCTATGCAAAGGGCAGAAACGAGTCTACCATATCAAATCTCAATCCATATTATTGTGTGGCCAATTACAAACGAGTTCTGATGCTTTTTCCCACGACAACAAAACCAAAACAGAAATCCAGAAATCGAAAAGCTTCAAAGCATGATCTAATGGGAAGGAATCATACGGCCAAGAGACTTGTTGAGCCAAGCCTTCCACATCTCAGAGGTCTTCCAGATTGCTGTTGTAAATTCCGAATGGTACGATCAATGGACTTGGTTAAAAGGTCAAGGGGCATAGCTTGTTCTCCATGATGCCTACAATCTTTTTCTCGCCAAATAGAGTACATGAAGTTTGAAAGACATATATCTCAGTATGAAATGAACCGTGCTGTTGAAAATTGATCTTGACATCATCATGAGAATATCATTGTGTATCTGTGCTGGTACAATGATCTACAATGCTAAATCGATCCCGACATCATCATGGAGAAGATCGCGAGTTAAACTCTACCACACTTGGGAAAAGTGGCTACACGTGAAGAACAAATGATCCCGAACTTCCATTTGAACCTTACATAAACACAAGTAGAATCCACTCCCATAATCCAAGAACTCATTCTATCCTATGTGGTTAACCAATTATGCATTTCAAACCATACAAGGATTGAGTACTTGGGAGTGGCATTAGGAAACAAAACTCCCTTGTATCATTCCCTTATTTGCAACACATTTTCTGATTTGATGCCAAGTACATTTTGTAGGGAATTTCATTTCTGCATCAATTTGAATTCTAAGAGTTGTACATAATCTATAATTTTGACCTAATTATTTTTTAATTTTCACGTTTGCAAATTAATTATCCAAGTTTATGTTGACGATGAAAAACTAAGTTCTTAAATAATCAACCGTCACCGCATATTTGAAGAATTAATTTGCCAACTTAAAATTGTGAAATTGAAAAACAATAATGTTCTAAATTTTTATTACAGTTCCATTTATTTTGTTTATACATTGCAAAATCATAAACAAAACACAGAAATATCCATAAGAAAAAGATTCACATTCATTAATTTTAAAAGAAATGAAAAAAAAAAAGAGACCAAAGAGGCGGAGCCATTTTTATAAATAGAGGAGAAAAGAAAACGCCTGAGAAGACTCTTTCAACGTTGTTTGGTTGGGTTCCATGGATTCACCAAATCCTCCCACACAAAGCCCTAACTCGGTCCGTACTCTTCCCGGCTCGAACCATAGCCACACCGATTCGATTATCTCATCGCTTCTTTCGTTTCCAGATTCTTCTACCATCTCCATTAGCTGTTCCTTCGATCGAGTCCTTGATAGAGCTCTCGCCTCCGCTTCCGCTGATGAATCCGTTCAGGATCGTCTCGTCGATCGCACTCTCGAACTCGCATCGCTTCTTCTCGATTCCACTAAACGATGCTTCCGGAAGCGAGCTTCTGTTCACAATTCCAATTCATGGTTCCTCCCTCCAGAACTTACCATTAAGGTAACAACAACAAACAAATTGGGAAATTTTGCTCTGTCTTTGTATTGAATCTAGAGGCGATGATGTTTTAGGTTTTTGTACATCGCCTGATCTCTTTATTGATGTAATCAATTGAGGATTCTGAAATTGTGCATTGTTCCTGGAAACCTGAACCTCTGCGTTATTGAATTTAGAGGCGATTTTTTCGGGGATTCTCGAATTATGCTTTGTTCGTGGAAACTTGAACCATTTGCTTTAGTGAATCCATTTTGATTAGTAACGATTTGTGTTCAATTTTAGGAAGAGTTGGAATTTTAGGATATGTCATTTTGAGTGTTTTCTCATGTACTTTGTTTTAATTCGATTATTCAGGTTTTTTCGATGCTTGATACAAAGTCTCTGATGCAAGCAGCTGTGTGCTGCACCATGTTCAACAAATGTGCCATGGACCGTTTATGTTACTCCCATATCGACTTGACAACGTCTGCTAGATATGCTGATAAAGGAGTTGTGTCTACTATGATCAATCGTGCTGGAAAAGAACTCAGGTGAAATTTTGTGTCTTCAAACAATCATTTAATGTGCTTCCATTTTTCTAATTGCTAGTATAAAACGTACTGAGTCTAATGAGATGGAAGAACAAATTGCATATATCTCTAAGCTTTTTTTTGCTTTTTATATTTGAATTTGGTCTATGTAATCATATCTCAGGGTTTCGTTTATGCTTGCAGATCCCTCAAACTTGGTCGTGTTGTTCGTACAGCTGGATCTGATTCTACTGCACCTTTGCTTAGCGGATCTTGTCTTTCCCCACTAGCATATAATCATGGCTTTCTTGGGTATTGGCTTCATTACCAGTTTGAAATTTCAATATCAAACTTGTTATATTTATTTGCCTTGTCCAGTCTTAACTTAGCTATGGAGTTAAGATTGAAAAACGATTACATGGAAAAAGGGTTATAGTTTTTATAGATAGGAAAGAACTAGATCAGGAGAAAACATGTCAATGCAATTTCATCATGCTCTCTTATTATCAAAACTCATTGTTTATGGCTAATGCCTTAGGTGTAAAAAAAAAACGAAACCAGGAATCAAGCCTGAGATCAATTAAGAGAAAATCCTATTATTTGTATCTTGAAATCTTGTCTATTCAGTATTCCCTTCGATTGTGCATTTGAAAGTGATTCAAATTCTCTATAACTACTATCATACAGAGAAAATGGTATCACTCGTCTATTTTCTGAGAAATTGTTGTTCAATATCATGTGCACTTGATCTTCTAACTTGGTATTTTCTTTTCTTCGATCAACTAGGAGTCGCTTGAGAAGCCTGCGGCTTTACAATCTCAGACCTATGAAATACAGGTCCTTATGCGATGCGTTGTCAGTTTGTCCAAATATCACTGATCTGAGGATTGTTGGATTGTAAGTTGTCTTGGAGTGCCAGCTTGTCTATTTTGAATTTCAGGAATTTCTCCATTTCTTTCTTTGTTTTTTTCCCTTTGTCAGGAGGTTTCATATTGTCAGCTTCTATGCTTTCGTTTGTTACTACTTCAATGTCTATTGACTTTCAATTCTGCTAATTTGTTACGCAACATTGTCTCATGTTTTACGGTATTTCGTGTTTCATGTGACAGGTATAACCTAACTGAGGAGCTATTTAATTCACTGACAAAAAAATGCCGCTTAATAGAGAACCTGTTCTTAGAGACCTACGGTTATCCACGTAAAGCTTTTCCATTTCGAAGCTTTTCTTTTTGTTACTTTCAAGTATGCTCAAGCTCACATATTGTGTGACAGGTACGTTAGAGACTAAAACAGGATCATCATTAGTGGAGTTTGTGACCAATTGCCCCAACTTAACGTCCCTAACGCTCATACGCTTTGGACTAACCGATGACTGGGCCCGAAATCTTGCTGATGTATGACTCCTTGTTTTTAATCTTTCTGGTCTTTCTTCTCTCTTCATCTATTCTATGCTTTTACAAAACCCAAAACATATTTGGATGTTATTTGCAGAGTTGTCGTAAAGTGAAGTACCTGAATTTGTCCAGATCACCTACAATCAAGGGTCGTTTTTTGAGGTGAAGACACCAAAATGTTAAAAGCAAAATTTTCGCGTTTAGTCTTTTTATTAGCAAAATCTCACATAGCAAGAAAATATTGTTGGTAGGGAGGTGGGACCTAGCTGCAAAGAAAGTCTACTCAAGACTCTAATATTGCGCAACTGCCCTAAACTACAGGAGGTAAAAGATTAATCATAAACAAGTTTTTGACTTTCTGGTTGTTTCATCAGAGTCTTGGTCTGACACTCACTTACCTCGATATTTCAGAAAGAAATGTTGGAATTCTGCAACTCACTACTCACAGGGAGCTTCAAATCCATTAGGCACATTGTAAGTTCTTACCGAATTATGCCAAATTCTGTAAATGAAAAGTATAACTTGGTTTTAATCTTAATCGTCTTCTTTTTGGATTACTCTAATAGGATGTTTCAAGTAACCGCGGCTTAGCATCTTCAGACAGGGGCAAGAGATGTAACAAACCAAAGTAACCAATTGATCCTACATTTTCTTGTTTAGATAGTTAACATCGTATGAATTAGAATCGTACTAATGACTCACTGTGTTATATTTTCCATAAATTGTAGCTTTCCTCTGGAGAGGCTGAAAGAAGAAAGATCAGATGTCACATTTGTGGCGGATTTTCCTCCATTGCCAAGGTTTTTTTAATCTTCTTCTTGGTTTACTATAATAAATAGGCTTTAAAAATAATCATGTGATTGAAGCTATCAAAGTCCTTGAATTCAAAAATGAGTTTGTGTCTGCAAAATTTCAGTTCCGAAAAGCCTTATGGTGTCTGCGATGAAGAAGAGTTGAGGCTGATAGAGATGATGGAAGCTGAGGACGATGAAGTGGACGACGAAGATGACTCGGATGAGGAATCGGACGATGCATCGGATGAGGATGAGTCAGAAGATGAGGACATGGGCTTTAATGTTGATTATTTGTTATGATAAGTGTTGGTAATCGTTAGTGTTCGTTATTGAACTAGTCCACGAGAAGTTATTCGTTTCTTTTGCTTAATATTTCTTCTTGTTGGGAGATTTGAACTGTGCACAAAACTACGAAATTATTAAACGAATTAGAAAACACAAAAAAGTGACGTTGTGGTTTTATTTGGATATATAATTTACATTGAAAAGTTTTGATGATTTAAAGTTTTTTTTTTTTGCTTTTTCTTTATAAAGTAGTATGATTTAAAGTTGAAGTTTGACAATTAATAATTACAAATAAATAGTATTAAATGTTTATTCATCCTCTTGTTATAATCGATTAGCCATTAATTAATTAGAGAACCAAAAAACAAAAACGAAAGTAAATCCAAACCAATTTTATAAGAGCATGATTAACAATGGTTGCTTAAAAAAGGTTCTTAAGAGTATTAAAATAATAAATTTGTAAAAGTGATAGTTAAGAGATTGTATTTTTGGGTTAAGATTTTTGTGTGATTAATGGTAGGCTGTTAACAAGTGGTTCTTAGAAAAAAAAATATTAATATAAAAATAAAATTTATAATTATAGAAAATTTAATAATTATTGCAAATTAAAAAAATTAAAACATACATGAGATACAATTTATAACATAAATAACATAAATATTTTTGTTTTAAACTTAATTGCTGGAATATTTTGTCCATATATGCTCGACCAAATCCTTCTTCAATTGTTGATGCATATCTCGATCACGAATCCGAGATCTAGTGGCCATCATATCGACGAGATTTGAAGGCAAATCTGTAGAATAGGTGAAATTCACCCGTGATTTTGGATCTTAGCTAAGCCACTTAATTTTGGGTCTTAGCTAAGCCACTTAATTTTGGATCTTAGTCTTTAACATAATTTTTCTTTAATTTTTGAGCTAAGATTTATCTAATAAATGGTTAAGACAGCCTTGTTAATGGTGGTCTAAGTATTTTTAGCAATAATTAATCCAGAAATTTAAAAGCAATAGCACATATAAATACTCTGCAACACGTGCCAAATTCGTTGCCAATAAACGTATGGATACTCCAAACCCTAAGCGACAGTGCCGTGATGATTTCTCCTCCATCCAAAGCCCTAATTCTGTTCCTATAGCTCCAGATTTCAACCAGAATGACTTTGATTCGACTATCTCCTCTTTTCTTTTGTTACCTGATTCGCCTTATGATTCTATTGGTTGCTCCTTCGATCGTGTGCTAGGTCAAGTTCTCGACTCTGCTTCTGAAGCTTCCGGTGATGATTCCGTTCGTGATCGTCTCATCGATCGTACTAACAAACTCGCATTTCTTCTTCTTGAATCCACCAAACGATTCTCTCGAATGCGCTCTACTCACTACAATTACAATTCTTGGTCCCTCCCTGAAGAACTCACCATTAAGGTAATGAATTTCTACGTTTTTTTTTATATAACTGTAAATATCATTAGAAATGAAAAGTTTAGGAATTACAAACATAATACCTAGGGCTTTTGAGAACCTTGCCAAAAAAGAATAAAAAACAAGGCCACAAATGTTTAAGAAGTCACAATAGTGAAATCATCTAATCCAAAGTTGCATTAAGTTTCTAAAATGCTTCCTTTGTCTTCGAGCATGAATTACGGTTCGGATCTCTTTATCAATCAACTTGAAAATGGTGTGGTGATCAATGACAGAGAGGTTGTGAAGAACATTATTCCGCTGCTTCCAGATGTGAAAAACAGTGGCGTGAACAGCGACCTTACGGATCAGAGAAGGAGCCTGCGATGTCTGAAGTCTGGTCCAGGATAAGAGTTCATTCCAGCTGAAGAATCCTTGGCAAGAAGGATCCAGTCTCGTGAGAACTAGTCTCCAAATTGCAGAAGAGAAGGCGCAGGAGATGATCAGGTGGTCTCTTGATTCGGTGAAACTTGAGCAGAGGCAGCATTCCGTTGAGATGTTTGGGCCCCATGAATTTCTACGTTGCTTTAGGGCTCTCTCTTTTTCTTGGGAGACAATTGATCGATTCTCAAATTACTACAGTGTTTTAGAGACAATCTACAGATCTGTGTTCTGTTTTGGGGGGTAGATGAAGAGAATTAGGGTCTTGTGTTAGGACAAGTGATATGTCTTATTAACGATATGTGAGGATATGATTTCTTGAGTGATAAGTCTCACGTATTGTATTTACAAAATCAGGTGTTTTCGGGGCTTGATACAAAGTCTCTGATGCAAGCTTCAGCATGTTGCACCATGTTCCGCAAATGTTCTATAGACCCTTTATGTTACTCTCACATTGACTTGAAAATGGGTGGCAAACGCGTTTTTGATGAAATTGTGTGTAGTATGATTCACAAAGCTGGAAAAGAACTCAGGTGTGTAATGTTTTTGCATTAATTAGAACCTTCTCTCTGCTTTTTTGTTTGAATTTTGTGTTTGTGTGATTCTCGATCTCTTGCATGTGGTTTCTTTTGTACATGCAGATCCCTTAAACTCGGTCGTGTTATATCTTCACGCAAAGGATCTTCGTTCACAAGCACTTGTCTTACCTCAGTAATTCGTAATCATGGGTTCAATGGGTATTTTTCTTGATTACCAAGTGATATTGTTTGAATCTGATTCCAAATTTGATCTTCTTATTGGTATTATTTGTCTTTTCTCCATTCAACTAGTGGTCTCTTGAGAAGCCTACAACTTTACAATCTCGTATCGACAGGAACCAAGTCCTTATGCGCTATGTTATCAGTCTGTCCAAATCTCACTGATCTTATGATTGCTAATTTGTAAGTTGTTTCATGACTCTGATTGTCCAAATCTCACTGATCTTATGAGGTGCCATCGTCTATGCTTTATTCTAGAACATTACAATTTTTTCCATTATTGGGTGTTTAAGTGACAGGAAACAAATACTAGAGCAAGTACTAAAGACGCTCACTAAAAATCCTCGCTTGCTAATAGAGCGTTTATTCTTACAGAACAATATCGACTTAATTCCTGCATCAGGTAAACTTTTTCCACTGTAGAACTTTCCTCTCTAATTCCTCCCGGGTTGGCTCAAGCTCGACCAAATGTGTGACAGGCCTATCGTCTTCAACCGTTGAGGCATTTGTTACCTCGTGCCCCAGCTTAACTTGGCTAAAGCTCGTAGGTTTTGGACTAAAGGAAGAAACAGCCCGAAATCTTGCTGAGGTATGGCTTCCTTTTAGTGTTTTTCTTCTCTCTTCACTTGGTACCGCCATCAATGGTTCACAAAACCCTTAACAAATTGAAATGTTTTTGCAGGGTTTTCCTAAGCTTACCTACATGAATCTGTCTAGAACGCCTGGAATTAGCGGTCGGTTTTTGAGGTTTGTGGTGAATGACCAAACATTAATCACAATATCTTATTATCAAATTTCTTATGAGGAATATTTTGATGTTCAGGGATTTGAGAATTAACTGCAGAGACAATACAATCAAGACTCTAATACTGCGTGACTGTCCTTCTTTAGAGAGGGTAAGTATAAAACACATTAAGTTTCAATTTTGCATCTTGTATTCCTAATTTCACAACTCCTAAGTTTCTGAAAACTTATGTTGATATCCAGAGAGAAATAGGGTATTTTTTGGATTCACTTCTCAACGGACACTTCAAATTCATTCGACATATTGTAAGTTGATATATATGTTTTATTCTCAACTATGTGTATTATGCTAGTCTTCTATCTCTTTTACTACTTTTAAAAAATTGTATGACCCAAGAGGTTATATAGACTGAACTAGTTACCATGCTTTTAAACTTGATTTGTTTTTGCAAATGACTTCACTCACAAGTCATAACATCTTCCTTGATTTTCTCTATTAGGACGTAACAAGTGAAGTTATTGCTGATGGAGGCAGGGAAATTATCGTAGGAAAGTAAGTAGATAGTTTTAGTACTTTCTGATTTTGTTTATTATACCATTTATAATATTACAAGTATGCTACTAATGACACAATTGTTGTGTGTGTGTGTGTGTGTGTCGTCTGATGTAGGTATATTTTATCGAAGCTGAAAGAACAAAGATCAGATGTCACAATTGTAGCCAAATCTGTTTGTTTTTAGCTAAATCTAGATGAATAATAATCACTATCAAATTTAGTGGTTTTGGTTGTAAATTCATATCAAAAGATTCCGTCGACATATTTAACTTGCTTTTTTACCTAATAAAAAGTGTTAAATCCTTCTAAATCCTAAAACAATTTTCTGCCTTAGTTAAAGTGATCTTGTCCTAAGATTTCCAATGTTTTCCTTTCCTTATGTCTTGAGGTCTCCACCAAAACTATGCCATCAGAGCTGTGATCTTCTGGAAAATGGTAGTGGGAATCTTAAAACAGGACATATAGAGTGTAAGTTGGGAGGGCTAAGGCTACTGCCATTAGCAGTATGTCTCTTATCCTCAGAAATTGACTGTCCAAATGTGATGCTGGACTTTGAGAGATTCACCTTCTGTCCTGATTCAAGCTGGTAATCTTTGAGGATTTTATTCATGACTTTTAACCTCTTCTGGGATGGCTTGACAGAAAAATATAATGTCACACTGATCAAGATGTGAGGACAAAAATATACTCCCAAATATTTGGAGAACAAAGAAACAAGACACGGTTTCATGCTCCTTGGCGCTGAAGCCGAGTATCACGCAATGGCTTATAGGCTTAAATAAGTTAAATGGAGAAAACCACTTCTAAAGACATTGGAGTTTGATCATCAACACCCTATTGAGTTACATGGATAGCTGCAAACCCGGTATCTCATGAGAGAACAAAAGACATGGAATCGGATTGTCATCAAGTAGTGCGTGACTCTGTTCAAGACAAACTCAAAACTACCAAACACATTTCTACCAATAACCAAGTCACTGATCTCTTGATGACTTCACCAAGGCTCTACCAAGACCAACTTTGGAGAGGTTATTGTCCAGGCTTGGTGTTCGGAATTTCGTACCACCAATGTAGGGGGGTATTAGGCTAAAGTTAGAGTAAATATATTTTACCAAAGATACGATTCTATCAAGAAAAGGAATTGTATATAATACTTCTTTACTTTGATGAATAAGACGCAGACTTTACAACTAGTTCACACAACAACCCTAACGCGAGAAATTTTTAGGAAGAGATGACGAAGAAGGAGAAATAACGCAGTCACCAAAAGATGATTTGATCGGATACTGAGAGGATAAACTACAACACCCAAGATCTGTATCACGAGTGACATGGATGATATCGATGCTCACCCAATATCTATTTCTTACATTTTTTCTGCTTTTGTGTTTAAGTAATCATCTCTTATAGTTTATTTTGTACAACCTGCAGATCCCGTAAACTACGTCGTGTTTAAACTAGGTCGTGTTTTATCTTCACGCAAAGGATTTTTCTCTTCACGCAAAGGATCTTCGTTCATGAGATCTTGTCTTGCCTCATAAATTCTTAATCATGGGTTTAATATTATGGGTATTTTTCTTGATTACTAAGTGATATTTTTTTACTCTGATTGTAAATTCAGATCAAAAGATGTCGTGGAAACATTTTTTTTTACTTCTACAAATTAACTCAAACGAGATTCATAGTGAAAAAAAATTAGGCATGTCTAATTTGGGTAAAAGATCTACTGACAACGGATATATGGGTTGGCAGTAATTAATTAGGATATCAAAAATTACTATCCATAGTTGAAAAAATCTAGGCATAATTTTGAGAAACTTTGTATAATACTCCCTCCGTCCCACAAAGATGAATTTTTTGGTAAAAAAATTTGTCCCACAAAGATAGAAGTTTTATGTTTCCAATGTAAAATTTAAAACGATTTACCTATTTTACCCTTATTAAATAACAATAAATAATACACTTTTTAAAATGTGTTAAAGTGTTAAAAGGTTAAATTTGTCATTATACATTATTTCTTAAAGAATGTGAAATTTCTATAAAATCTATCTTTGTAGGACGGAGGGAGTACATAGAAATCATCGATCGGTTAGTGTTATAAATTAGATAGTTGGGAAAATCTGAGCCAAACAAAAAAAGGCGTTTGCAATGTTGCCTTCAGATTCTTCCTCCAGCGAAAACCCTAACCCTAGTCCCCTCGGTCTCTCCTACTCTCCAGATTTCAGTCAAAGCGAAATGGATTCGATAATCTCCTCCTTGCTTACGTTTCCGGATTCTTCATCTCTGTCCATCAGCTCCTCCTTCGATCGAGTACTTGATACTCTTCTCTCTTCTGGTGATGACACCGTTCAGGATCAAGTCATCGATCGTACTCTCGAACGCTTCTCGCTTCTTCTCGAATCCACCAAACGTCGCTCCCGGAAAAGAGCCACACTCCACAATTCCATCTCCTGGTTCCTCCCTTCCGACCTCACCATCAAGGTAACCACCAATCTGGAATTATGCATTATGAAATGGTCCTAGCTAGCCGTTTGCATGTCTCATTGATTCATGATGATAATCAGGTGTTTTCGATGCTTGATACAAAGTCCCTAATGCAAGTTTCTGCATGCTGCACAATGCTCAACAAGTGTGCCATGGACCCTTTATGTTACTCTCATATTGACTTGACAACAGCATTTCAACATGCTGATGACCGAGTTTTGCGTACTTTGATCAGTCGTTCTGGAAAACAACTCAGGTTATATATTTCACATTGGCTTGCATTTCTTAACTATGTTAGTTGAACTTGATCAGTATATGTAACCATCTCTCACTGGTTTGGTTGCGTTCTCATTGGTTTGGTTGCGTTTATGCGTGCAGATCCCTTAAACTTGGTCGTCGTGATGCTCCCGTATACGTTCCATCTTTGTTTACAAACTCTTGTCTTGCTCCACTACAATTTACTGGGTATAGATTGCTGGCTTGATCATCAATATATTTAGTGACATTCATGTTTCTCTTTTAACATATGTTTGTTTGGTATTTTGTTTTTCCATTCGACTAGGAATCTTTTGAGAAGCCTACACATCTACTATATCGGATTCATGTACATTGATTCCTTATTGGCTCCATTGTCAGCCTGCTCCAATCTAACCGATTTGAAGATTGTTGGAGTGTAAGTTAGAGTGCCTACCTTTTTCTTACTATACTTCTTGTATATTTGAATTGCATGAACTCTCCATTTTTTATTTTTTTTGCCTTTCATTTTCTTATAATAGAGATGCATCTCCTATCGAATTCTTTGGGAACAATTACACTTTTTTTTCTTTGTCAGGAATGTTTTTTTAGAGCCGATAATAGAGTTACTTGCGAGAAAATGTTGCTTGATAGAGCATCTGTCCTTAGATAACTATTCTCAAGGTAAAAACTTTACATGGTGGGGCTTTCTTTATTTTTTCCTCACAAGTTTTGCTTAAGCTTACCTACTTTGTGTCTGGTTGATTTTGATTAGGCATTATAACAGATTCAACCATCGAATTGTTTGTGGCCAACTGCACCAAGTTAACTTCTCTAACACTCCTAAATTTTAAGCTAAGTGACGCAATGGCCCAAATCCTTGTTAATGTAGGGCTCTTCTTCCTTTATTTCTTCTCACTTCATTTAGTACATGTACCCCCAAAAAAAATTATGTTGGGATTTTTTGCAGGGTTTTCATAAACTTAAGTATATCAATCTATCCAACACAGTTGGATTCGATGGAAGCTTTTTGAGGTTCATGTGGTTTATTACACAATGAAATGATATATCATCTTGGCTTCTATTAGAAAGATCTCTCATGACATAAAATTTTGATGGTAGGGTTTTGGGACATAGATGCAACGACAGTCCTCTCGAGACACTAATACTGCGTAATTGTTTTTCTCTCCAAGAGGTTAGCAAATTTTGTTAGTGGCATATGTCATTCTTAATGTAACACTCATGAGCCCTAACTATTGAATCTCAAATATATTCAGAGCGAAGTATTGAAGTTTTTGAATTCACTAATCGCGGGGAACTTCATATCCATTCAATACATTGTAAGTTCTATAGTAACCATTGGAACAACGCAAATCTGCTAAACAATATGCATTTAAATTTACTCATAAGTCATAAATATATCCCATTATTGCGTCTTTATTTTTCCCTCTAATAGGATGTATCAAGCAGCAAAGGTTTAGCTTGTGATGGTGAAAGAAGAACTTCCAAACCAAAGTACGTATAACTAAACATTTCATTTACCAAACGTAGTAGTCATGTAATCGATTCTCTCCATGATGGGTATTATTTTGTGTGTGGCCAATATTGTTATTGTTTGTGTGTGTTTATTATGTAGCCTTCCTTTGGAGAAGCTGAAAGAAGAAAGATCAGATGTCACATTTGTTGCGGAATTTCCCTCAGAAACAAAAAGGTACCAATTGTTATTTATTAGGCTTATTAAATTACTAGTAACTGAATACTATCACTAATGGATGGCTTTTTGGTAAACTTGTGGCACCAGATTGTTTTATTTTGGCAGCTTAACGGATGGCAACATTTTGGACGCCATTTATGGATCGGATAATTTAATTTAGTTAACTATTTGGAAAAAACAAGATAAAACATTTTGATATCTCAATAATATGCATACTCTAAACTAATTACGTGGGTTTGATATGACCGTGGTTGTTTTAGCACCATGAAAAATCATCTTCTTTTTTTTTGAATCTCTAGCTAGAGCCTGGTCTCTAATCTCAGAACAATATCTTGTGGTTCAAACCACTCTATGAGTCTATAAATATGCCCACTCATCAGTACTCACATCTTCTTGTTAAGGAGTGAAAGCTCCAGCTAGCAGCTGGGTCATGTACTTTATGTAATAATGCTTCTCAAACCAAAAGATGGTGTGCATATATGGTTTCCAAATAAAGATGTGCATGCTAAATTCTTCTCAAACAGTATATATCTTCAGAAGTTGAATGTTCAAATGTGATGCTGGACTTTGAGAGATTCACCTTCTGTCCTGATGCAAGCTGGTAATCTTGGAGAGGATTTGATTCATTGATGAGCACACCATCAGAGAGACAAAGCATATATAATTCCATTAACTTCTTTATAGTTTTCTCAAGAAAGGTCCATTATATTATAAACCCCATTCCGCTCAGTCAGTCACTCTAGGGTCTAGATCCTTTGAAAATCCCCTCCTCACTCTCATCCTCAAGAGGAGAAAAGGTTAGCTAGAGAAGTACTTGCAAGCCATAACACCCATCTCATCTTCCTTGTAGTGGATCTTTTGGTTGATCTTCTCAGTTCTGTGACATCATGAAAGCCAAAGTGACCATGCTTTTTTGGTGCATGAAGATCGATTCGATCTCCTCCTCTATGTATGCCTGGTGAAGCTGAGTAAATCACAGAAAAATATAATGTCACACTGATCAAGATGTAAGGACACATATGCTCCCAAATAATTGGAGAACAAAGAAACAAGACACGGTTTCATGCTCCTTGGCGCTGAAGCCGAGTATCACGCAATGGCTTATACGCTTAAAGAAGTTAAATGGATAAAATCACTTCTAAAGACATTGGAGTTTGATCATCAACACCCTATTGAGTTACATTGTGACAGTCAGGCAGCTATCCATATAGCTGCAAACCCGGTATTTCATGAGAGAACTAAAGACATGGAATCGGATTGTCATCAAGTGCGAGACGCTGTTCAAGACAAACTCAAAGCTATACCAAACAGATTTCTACCAATAACCAAGTCACTGATCTCTTGATGACTTCACCAAGGCTCTACCAAGACCAACGTTGGAGAGGTTATTGTCCACGCTTGGTGTTCGGAATTTCGTACCGGTACCACCAATGTAGGGGGTTATATAGGCTAAAGATATATATACTTTATGTAAATATATTTTACATAAGATACGATTCTATCAAGAATAGGAATTATATATAATACTTCTTTAATATATAAGACTCGAGTTTACAACTAGTTCACACAACAACCCTAACGCGAGAAATTTTTAGGAAGAGATGACGAAGAAGGAGAAACAACGCAGTCACCGAAAGATGATTTGATCGGATAAACTACACCCAAGATCTGTATCACGAGTGACATGGATGATATCGATGCTCACCCAATATCTATTTCTTACATTTTTTCTGCTTTTGTGTTTATGTAATCATCTCTTATGGTTTCTTTTGTACAAGCTGCAGATCCCTTAAACTAGGTCGTGTTTTATCTTCACGCAAAGGATCTTCGTTCATGAGATCTTGTCTTGCCTCATAAATTCTTAATCATGGGTTTAATGGGTATTTTTCTTGATTAATAAGTGATATTTTTTTACTCTGATTGTAAATTCAGATCAAAAGATGTCGTGGAAACATTTTTTTTACTTCTACAAATTAACTCAAACGAGATTCATAGTGAAAAAAAATTAGGCATGTCTAATTTGGGTAAAAGATCTACTGACAACGGATATGGGTTGGCAGTAATTAATTAGGATATCAAAAATTACTATCCATAGTTGAAAAAATCTAGGCATAATTTTGAGAAACTTTGTATAATACATAGAAATCATCGATCGGTTAGTGTTATAAATTAGATAGTTGGGAAAATCTGAGCCAAACAAAAAAAGGCCTTTGCAATGTTGCCTTCAGTTTCTTCCTCCAGCAAAAACCCTAACCCTAGTCCCCTCGGTCTCTCCGACTCTTCAGATTTCAGTCAAAGCCAAATGGATTCGATAATCTCCTCCTTGCTTACGTTTCCGGATTCTCCATCTCTGTCCATCAGCTCCTCCTTCGATCGAGTACTTGATACTCTCCTCTCTTCTGGTGATGACACCGTTCAAGATCAAGTCATCGATCGTACTCTCGAACGCTTCTCGCTTCTTCTCGAATCCACCAAACGTCGCTCCCGGAAAAGAGCCACACTCCACAATTCCATCTCCTGGTTCCTCCCTTCTGACCTCACCACTAAGGTAAACCAATCTGGAATTATGCATTATGAAATGGTCCTAGCTAGCTAGCCGTTTGCATGTCTCATGAATTCATGATGATAATCAGGTGTTTTCGATGCTTGATACAAAGTCCCTAATGCAAGTTTCTGCATGCTGCACAATGCTCAACAAGTGTGCCATGGACCCTTTATGTTACTCTCATATTGACTTGACAACATCATTTAAACATGCTGATGACCGAGTTTTGCATACTTTGATCAATCGTTCTGGAAAACAACTCAGGTGCGCTTGCATTTCTTACCTATGTTAGTTGAACTTGATCATCGGTATATATATATATATGTAACCATCTCTCATTGGTTTGGTTGTGTTTATGCGTGCAGATCCCTTAAACTTGGTCGTCGTGATGCTCCCGGATACGTTCCATCTTTGTTTACAAACTCTTGTCTTGCTCCACTACAATTTACTGGGTATAGATTGCTGGCTTGATCATCAATATATTTAGTGACATTCATGTTTCTCTTTTAACATATGTTTGTTTGGTATTTTGTTTTTCCATTCGACTAGGAATCTTTTGAGAAGCCTACACATCTACTATATCGGATTCATGTACATTGATTCCTTATTGGCTCCATTGTCAGCCTGCTCCAATCTAACCGATTTGAAGATTGTTGGAGTGTAAGTTAGAGTGCCTACCTTTTTCTTACTATACTTCTTGTATATTTGAATTGCATGAACTCTCCATTTTTTATTTTTTTTGCCTTTCATTTTCTTATAATAGAGATGCATCTCCTATCGAATTCTTTGGGAACAATTACACTTTTTTTTCTTTGTCAGGAATGTTTTTTTAGAGCCGATAATAGAGTTACTTGCGAGAAAATGTTGCTTGATAGAGCATCTGTCCTTAGATAACTATTCTCAAGGTAAAAACTTTACATGGTGGGGCTTTCTTTATTTTTTCCTCACAAGTTTTGCTTAAGCTTACCTACTTTGTGTCTGGTTGATTTTGATTAGGCATTATAACAGATTCAACCATCGAATTGTTTGTGGCCAACTGCACCAAGTTAACTTCTCTAACACTCCTAAATTTTAATCTAAATGAGGCAATGGCCCGAATCATTTTTAAGGTATGGCTCTTCTTCCTTTATTTCTTATAACTTCATTTAGTACATGTACATTTACTAAAGGATTTTTTGCAGGGTTTTCTTAAACTTAAGTATATCAATCTATCCAACTCAGGTGAAATCGATGGAAGCTTTTTGAGGTTCATATGGTTTTAAACACAATGAAATGATATATCATCTTGGTATCTATATATTAGCAAGATCTCTCATGACATAAAATTTTGATGGTAGGGTTTTGGGAGATAGATGCAGAGAGAGTCCTCTCGAGACACTAATACTGCGTGATTGTATTTCTCTCCAAGAGGTGAAAGATTAAACCATATCAAATTTTGTTAGTGGCATATGTCATTCTTAATGTAACACTCATATGAGCCCTAACTATTGAATCTCATATATACTCAGGGAGAAGTTGTGAAGTTTTTGAATTCAATAATCGCGGGGAACTTCATATCCATTCGGTACATTGTAAGTTCTATAGTAACCATTGGAACTGCTAAACAAGATGCATTTACATTTACTCATAAGTCATAAACATATCCCATTATTGCGTCTTTATTTTTCCCTCTAATAGGATGTATCAAGCGACAAAGGTTTAGCTTGTGATGGTGAAAGAAGAACTTCCAAACCAAAGTACGTATAACTAAACATTTCATTTACCAAACGTAGTAGTCATGTAATCGATTCTCTCCATGATGGGTATTTTTTGTGTGTGGCCAATATATATTGTTATTGTTTGTGTGTGTTTATTTTGTAGCTTTCCTTTGGAGACGCTGAAAAAAAAAAGATGGGATGTCACATTTGTTGGGGATTTTCCCTTAAGACCAAGGTACTAATTGTTATTTATTAGGCTTTATTAAATTACTAGTTGAAAGATGAAGTAACTGAATACTATCATTAATGGATGCGTTTTGTAAACTTGTGGCACCAGATTCTTTCGTTTTGGCACCTTAACGGAGGACCTCATGGTGTGACGTAAACGTTTTTGGGCGACGTTTATGGATCTAAGGAGGTGCTATTGGATGATGGGGTTTTTAATGGATTTGAATGTATTTTGAAATCAAGTGTTATTCAATTATGTATTTGAAAATTTACATTAAAATCTGTTGTTGTTGGATTAAGCATTTGTTTGATGTATTTTAAAATATATTTAGACCAACTGTTATTCAATATCCATTTGATTTGTTTCATTTTGGATTTGAATGTACTTTTACTCATAAAACATGAACAAAAACATTCCAACCATTTTATCAAGTATTTCATCTCTCTTCTCTCTCTCTATCTCTCTCTAGATCGATGAATGAACAGAAACGTTATTAATTCACAAAGCTAGGTCTCTATATATATCTCTCTCTCTATATACTGTATATATATCTCTTCTCTCTCTATATATATATATATCTCTTCTCTCTCTATATATCTCTCTCTCTAGATCTCCTTCTCAGTAACAGATCAACGATCACATAAAATTTTTATCTCAAAAATATTTCACATCTCTCTCTCACACATATTTCATACTTCTTTATAGTTTTCTCAACAAAGGTCCATTATATTATAAACCCATTCCGCTCAGTCAGTCACTCTAGGCTCTAGACCTCTGAAAATCCCCTCCTCACTCTCATCCTCAAGAGGAGAAGTACTTGCAAGCCATAACACCCATCTTATCTTCCTTGTAGTGGATTCTTTTGGCTGATCTTCTCAGTTTTGTGACATCATGAAAGACTTTTGAATTTTGTCTCCATCTTTCAGCCAAGTGACCATGCTTTTTTGGTGCCTGAAGAGACACATGCATATAGGTGAAAAGAGATGTCTTTCAAAATTGTGCCTTTTGTGTCTCGACTTTCTCACCTATCATGATGGTTTTTGAAGTGGTTTATCGACTGTAAACTGCTTCTTTTAAACCTTTTACAGGGCGGTTTATTTTGTCTTGTGTTTGGAATCCAAAGGGAAAACATTTTTGTCTTGGGAAGATTCCTCTAACTCGGGCCCCTTTGTTATTTTGTTTTTAAAGTAAAAATATAATTTCGCTAGTAAATGGTATCGTGAAACTTGTTGTTATTAAAGAAAAGATCACGTTTATTTTTTCATTTCACGAGTTCTTTCCTTATTAATTTTCAAAATTTTACTGTACTACATTTTATAATTAGAAAGTTGTTCACTCAGTAATTGGTAAAAGTAACTAATCTCTCTGGTCAGCTCAATGGTAAAAGGAAGGGAACTACATTTATGAAAAATAAATGTTTGGATCTTAAATTGAGAGCAATGAGCAATTTAAGAAACCACTGATCTCATGTCATCATAAATACACCCCATAGAATAAGAATACTCACCAACTTGCAAGAGATTTTCATCCAAAATAGTGTGTTCAGATCAAACAACAAATCTGTCAAGATTCACAATCTTAAAACTATTGTTGTTTCCATTACATATATTTATTCATGTTCTAAGAAATTCTCAAGCATCCTGTTTCCAAATCCTGATAGTTTTATCCAAATGATTTCCCGATGAAGCTATCTCGTTCTGAACCGGATGGCAACTCACTGAGATCACTGCGTCTGTGTGGCCTTCCAATCTCTGCAGTATATTTTTCTGTTGAAGATCCCACAGATACACACAATTGTCCTCTGATCCACTCACAATGTACTTCCCATTCGTTACAGAAAACGCCGATGTGATACAGAACACTTTGTTGGTATGTCCTGTGTACACTTTCAGAAACTTCCCCGTTGCATAGTTGGACAGCTTCTGTTAAATTTTTGATCCAAATACAAAGATGAATCAATCCATTAGTAAAGAGCATTACAAGAGAATCCATTAATCACAGATTCTACATTTTGTTCTGTATCAAAAAATGTTCTCAAGATCAACAGATAACACAAATGCAAGAACTCATCAAAGACTAGACGAAAGTTCAACACTTAACTTCTTTTTCATGTCCTAATTAAAACGTTGAATTACTATATTTGTTCTGTATCAAAATGGTCTCAAGATCAACAAAATGCAAGAATCCATCAAAGACTAGACGAAAGTCTGATTCCTAACCTTTTGTTCATATCCCGATACATGATGCATATTCGAAACCTAAATGCTACATTATTCAATTCATATCCAGATGATTCACAGATTAAGCCAACAAGAAGTTTGAACTTACGAGAGTACTATCGAGCGTAGCAACGAGTATAAACTTCCCGTTAGGCGAGAATTTGGCGAAAGAAACAGCCGGAGATTTATCATCAATAAGAGTCTTCAAACAAGTTCCTTCTTTAGCATCCCAAATTTTACAAGAACCATCATGACTTCCCGAAACAATCAACGACCCATCTCGATTAAAATGCACACTCGAAATCGGCATCGAATGAGCTTTAATCATCCTAACACACTTCCCAGTCTTCACCTCCCAAATCCGAATCGTCTCATCAAACGATCCAGACACAATCAAATTCGACGGAGGATTGAAATTAACACAGAAAACGAAATTCGTATGACCTCTAAGAACCTTAAGACACTCGTAAGGAGATCTAGCGTCCCAGATTCGAAGCGTACAATCATCAGAAGCAGAGCAAGTGTAATGCGAATCAGAAGACCAAGCTAGATCGGAGATACCACTAGAGTGACCTTCGTAACGATGAATAAGAGAGTAGTTTGTAGCTGACCAGAGAATCATGGTTTTGTCGACGGAAGCGGAAGCGAGAAGATTGCCGTCGTTGGAGAATTTGACGCAAGAGATCGCCGCCGTGTGACCTTCTAGGGTTTTCAGGTGACGGTATGGCTTATACATCGGAATGTTTCCGCTTGTTCCTGCGTTACCGGCTCCGTTACTAGCTCCGTTACCACCGCTTGGCATCGCCGTCTCTAGTCGGATTTAGCCTCGTAGTGGAGAGATGGATCGCAATGAATTTCACCGTTACACAATATATATACATTCCGTTTGAAATTACATTTCTATCCTTCCTTCCCCAACATTTCGGTTCTTCAGTTCGGTTTGGTTTGGATTTGTTGATTATGTGAAAAACTTGTCCGGACTAATATCGATCCGGTTGAGTTTGGTTTATTAAGTTCGATGGCACTTAATTCGGTTGGTTTCAATACTGAGTTTTCGGTAGATTTGGTTCCATTTCGGTTTGTATATTCTCGGTTCAATTCGATTTTATTGCTCACTTTCTACATAGGTGTTTGAAATCAAGAGCTTTGTATCCAAACATCTGTGAATGAAATTGAGATCATAAACCCATAGATGATTGTTATTATACACAAATAGAAGGGAAAGAAGATTTATGCAAGCAACAAATGTTATTTCGAGGATTGAGAAGGTCCTATGAAGTCTTGTTTTTGCCGTAAATATCTTCAAAACCATCAGCTACTCTTTTCCTTCTCTCAGCAATCATTTCTGAATACGACTGAAAACCAATTTAACAACCAAAGAACAGAAAAAATACCATCAGAACTCAAAAAAACAAGACCAAGATTTGCTCAATAAGACTATAGAAACTAGCATTGTCTGAAGATGTTTAAACAAGATACTTAGCTTTAACTCGGACTTACGAATTAAAGCTACACACTTCGCTAACTCGACTAAAAGGAGAGGTTATCATATTCATTCATTTCATACCTTTGGGTAGCTATAAAGGAAAATGTACCACCAAGCGCCAATTACAGCAACCGCAAGCGATGAAACTATGACCGAATGTAGTATTACCCAGCTACATGCCACTATTGATAAACCCGTTAACATTATCGTCCATGGCTGACACCTGAGAAACATAGCCAATTGCTTATTCAAAACCATATCTCAAGAAAAGGAAGAACCTTTAGCCCCTGGAAACGTGTAAGAAACACCGTAAAGTTCTTGATTGCCAATACACACCAGATCAATAAATATCCAAAGCTGTAGTTGGTGAGGTTGAATTGTTAAACCCATCTAAACCCAATTACGATTACATAATCTGTATTTTGGTTCTTCATATCTTCCTAACCTAAAGATTCAACTTTTGTCTTTCTATCATTCTAAAACAGAGTGAAGAACTACAACACAAATCGTGAAACTGTAATTGGGTAAGACTTGGTCTAAGTAGCATCAATCAATATATTCAGCTTCATATATGATTACAAAAAAAGTGAAACTTAAGACTCTATGAACAAACTCTATCTAAGCTCTAATCCAAATTCAGAACCAACAAATACGATTCCTAAGTCTTAACACACTACATCCAAACTACTTGAAATAAATTGAATTGGGAACTTAATTGAGATTGTACCAAGATGGTTTAGTGTCCCAAACGGAGTCGTATTCGAGAGAGAGATTGTCTAAGAAACCTTCCATGTCATCAACTACGCCATTTTCATCACTGAATCTCGAATCCTTCGGCTCTCTCCGATTCCCACCCAAACTTCTAATTTTCGTGTTAATCCTTATTGGTTTGAGATTAAATGAGTGGAGATTCGTTCGGGGACTGAGTTTTGTAAGACGAATCTGTGCCTGTGGTCGAAACGGCGACAGAGACACGGCGGAGATGGAGAGACTTGCCATCTGAAGACAACGATAAGGATGGATAGAGGACTCAATTGACTCTAATTAAAATGTGGGGTGCTTTATGTAAAACAAAAAATTTCAGTGGTGAATAATGCATGTTTTAGATCATTTTATTGGGCCTCTTTATGGCCCAATAAGGAAAAGGCGGTATATTTCACTTAAAAGCCCTAATTGGCAATCTGATAAGAGTTTTTGTTTTCTTCATCGTCGTCGTCGAAGTGAATTAGGGATTCGAGAATGACGATGAACTCGCTTCCGAGGAGATTTGGGAAGAATCATGGCTATCTAGATCGAGATTATCGTAATGGAAGGAGATCTGGTTCAGATTCCGATGAAGAATTGAAGGGATTGAGTCACGAAGAATATAGGAGGCAGAAACGGCTTAAGATGAGGAAATCGGCCAAGTTCTGCTTTTGGGAGAACACACCGAGTCCACCTAGAGGTCAGAACGAGGATTCCGATGAGAACGTCGACGAGATTCTGGACAGGAACGGCGGCGAAAGAGATGATAATTCGAAAGGGAAAGAAAGGAAAGGTAAATCAGATTCTGGGAAGTCAGATTCGGAATCTGAATCTGATGGTTTGAGATCTAGGAAGAGGAAGAGTAAGAGCTCTAGGTCTAAGAGCAGGCGAAGGAGATCTTATGATAGCGATAGTGAATCTGATGGGAGTGAGAGTGATTCGGAAGAGGAAGATAGGAGACGAAGAAGGAAGAGTTCTTCTAAGAAGAAGAAAAGTAGAAGCAGTCGTAGTTGTAGGAAAAAGCGAAGTCATAGGAGAAAGACGAGATACAGTGACTCTGATGAGAGCAGCGATGAAGATAGTAAAGCTGAGGAATCTGAGATTAGTGCTTCTTCGTCTGGGGAGGAAGATACTAAGTCAAAGAGCAAGAGGCGGAAGAAATCTTCGGGTTCTAGTTCGAAACGAAGCAAGGGAAAGAAAACGAAGTCTGAGACTGAAAGCGATGGTATTGAGGAGGATGATTCGAAGATGCAATTAGAAGAAACGGTGAAGAACACTGAGCTTGAACTTGATGAAGAGGAGTTGAAGAAGCTCAAAGAGATGATTGAATTAAAGAAGAAATCTTCAGCTGTTGATGATGAAGAGGAAGAAGCTGATGTTGGTCCAATGCCATTACCTAAAGCTGAAGGTCATATCAGTTATGGTGGTGCTTTAAGGCCTGGTGAAGGAGATGCCATAGCACAGTATGTTCAGCAGGGTAAACGTATTCCTCGTAGAGGAGAAGTGGGTCTTAATGCTGAAGAGATTCAGAAGTTTGAGGATCTTGGTTATGTGATGAGTGGAAGTAGGCATCAAAGGATGAATGCTATTCGTATTAGAAAGGAAAACCAGGTTTATAGTGCTGAAGACAAACGAGCATTGGCCATGTTTAACTACGAGGAGAAGGCCAAGCGCGAGGCTAAGGTTATGTCTGATCTGCAACGGCTTGTGCAGCGCCATATGGGAGAAGAAGTAGGGCCTAATCATGACCCTTTTGGTGCTACAAAGACTGATGAAGCTGATGATTGATTTTGCTTTGCTTCCTGCTACTGCTTGTGTGGGTACTCTATCTTATACTTTATCTTGTAGACTGTTCCTTATTTGCATCATTTATACTGTTGAGTTCTACTTGCCCGTTAATGAGCTTCATATTTTATGCTTTAATCTGCTATGTATCGCATGATTGCGTTTGTGTGTTAAAGATGAAAGATTCAACTTTAGGGATATGCAACTGTTCTTGTGCTTCTGCCTTAGGTCGATGATTGAATTTTGCAGGGGTTCACTTAGTTCTAAGACTGTAGAACGATCAATTATTTAGGATATCTACTTTGTGCCCACCTCTGTATTATCCAGTGAAGAATGTCCCTTACTGAGCTTCACAGATCATGTGTTTGTCCCTCTGTATTCATATCATTTGCGGATTTGCCTTAACGTTGGGTTCAATGATTAGATTGAATTTTGCAGTGGATTGGCCGAGTTCTAAGGTGGTAGAAAAATCAAATTTTAGGATATGCGCTCGATGCCCACTTCTGCTCATATCAGATGAACAATATATTTGATTTGCAAAACTTAGCAAATGCGATTATGTTGGTGACTTTTAGTCATCTTCCTCATGAGCTTTGATCTTATCATGGTTGCAGTGAAGCCTTTGTTGTGGTCATGGTATCATGTTATCATTGTCACCATTATTATCACTATTCTATTGGGAATAGTGAAACAAAAAGTACAGTATATTATTATTATTAAGATCTTTATAAGTAACTATAATTGGGTTACCTGTAAGGGTTTCGATTCTTTTTTCCTGATAAGCTATTACCGATGACCCGTATAACGAGTTTGATCTGATCAAACTCGAAAAATCACTTTTATATAATCGCAGTCTCTTTTTAGCTTAAAAGCTAAAAAAAGATAATTATTGTTGGAACTTTTGGCATGTTAAACAAGTCTTCTTAGATGGGCTTGTTGATTGTAGAAGCTGGGAGTGAATTAATCAACATAGTTACATAGGAATAGGATTATAATCAGAAGAAAGAAAAAAAAAAAAAAACAGAGATTTGCCGGTAATAAAAGAGTATCTAACCAGTAGCATCATATTTAACTTCTTCATTGATCATCTAGCACAACATATGCAGCCATATCCTTCTACTGCTCTCCTATGTAACATAAATTTAACTCATATCACCACAAAAACATTACATTAGAAACTCTATCAATCCTAGTATCCACTGAAGAATCAATAAAATCTTGAAATGTCTTAACATAGGGGATTCCTTGTTGCCCAAAAAAAAAAAAAAAAAAAAAGGGGATTCCTAAAACAGTAAAACTAAATTGGGATAGATCCAATCTAGAGATTCACCTAGAATGGGAACCTCATATCTCACTTTCGTCCAAAGTTTCAAAGCTTTTTTTCCGTTTAAGAGCGTGGACAACAACAATGGGGGAAGAAAGAAATAGTTGTTGAAATTTTACTTTTTATGGTTTTTCTTCTATTTATTTCACTGTTTGTATTTTACCATATTTAATTAAAATCAAAGAAATTAATACTCATGAATAAAAAAAGATAGGGAATATCTTGTGTTTATCGTTTCATTAATTAATTAAAATAAATCAAATTATTGCAATTTATTTCATTCTCAATATTTAATTTTCTTAATTTTCAATCCTTCTTAATTTTAATTTTTACTTTATTCTCATTTTGCAAATCTAACACGATGAACCTATGATGAGTCAAAAGAAAACTATAACTTTTTTTTTGCTATGAAGAAATTTATAAACTTTATTATATTAATGTGTGAGATTAATTTTTTTTGTTTAAAGAAAAAACAAATAATATTTCAAAATTATACAAGAGATCGAGAGCCTTGCTAATCATATCATCATAATATTATAACATCGTCACCATTATTGTCATCGTTCTATTTTTGGAACTGCGAAACAAACAAGTATATTACTGGGGATCTCTATAATTGTCAAGTGCAATAATTTCGGAATTTTTGAAGGCAGATCATATAGTTGTGTAAATTACATTTAAGGGTTTCAATTGTAGTTTATGATTCCACTTTTGTGGAACTATACAGTGTCTGAATCTTTTCTCAATGACAATAATTGCAATATCTCATTAGAAGACCCTACAAATTGTACCTAGTCCATAATCTATCATTAATTCGTTTTCAAAATTAATATAAGGCATTCAAAGAAGCAAATTGATCTTGGTTAATAGAATTGAATGAAAAAAGTTGACAAAAAAAACGACATCCAGTTGTTCAATTTAGTGGAGATTAGTGCTTTTTTGTATTATTAAAGCTAAAAAAATTGGAGCAAAGAAATGTCACGTAAAGGTCCTCCATGCACGAATAATTAAAAATAAAAATAATATTGAACAACAACGTTTAATAATATACGGTTTTTCAAATGATCCTTAATTGCTATGTTTATAAAATAATGTAATTACGTCAAAATAAAATAATTTAATTGCTCTCAGTCTCAGGTCACTGAAGAACGAGAAGGACAAAATGGTCAATGAATAAGTGAAGGGTATTAATGTAATTACACGTCAGCAGACTCATGAAGTAATTGTGCCTGCTCTGTTCTCCGTCACTCTCTCTCTCTTCTTCTTCTCTATCAACCTCATTTCTCAGATCCGTAGGATCTTCATTTCCATGGAGGCTTAAAAACCCTAGAAGATTTTCTTTAACACATCACTGATCCGCTAGTGAAGAACAAAATCATCTCTTTAGCTTCCTATCTCACTCTGTATGATCTGAAGCGAATCGTCTTTATATTCTTCACCAATCACCATTAAAAGGACCTCTTTTTCAAGGTGAATTTCTCTATGGAAAGTGTCATGTTTGTTCCTTTTTCAGGATCTGATCTTGTGATTTCGCTTTGTTTCTTTGTATGTGATGATTTACTTGGTTTTCCTCCATTTGTATGGCTTGAATTTGTTTGTTTCAGCTTGAGCTGGGTTTCGGATTCTGAGATCTTCAGAGACGCTTTCTGGGTTATCAACAAGGCTTTTCCTTTGAATCAAGCTTTGATTTTGATCAGAGAAACAAGTGTTCTTGCGTTGTTAAGCGACTAGGTGTGTGTGTTGTTGTTGTTGTAGTGAAAGCTTCTTACTGTTGACAGATCTCGAAATGGAAACGCTTATTGTAGCTGTGGAACATAGGGATCAATATTATGGGAAGAAATCTCTTGGACATGATCGTTTTAGATCAGCTCCTTCCAAAACTTTTAGGCAAATCAATTGTAGAACTTTTCAATCTGGTGTGGGTTTGCTTCCAAGACCTAAGAGAACTTCTTCAACACCTTTAACCAAAGGAGCTCTTCCTCAAGTTCAGTCTCCTCGTTCTCCTAAGTCCGTTTTGCCGGTTTTTAATCCTCTTTCGGTAGACAGCTGTAGAACCAGTCCCATTCCAATTGCTAACAGCAGAGGTTCTCAGATCCGTAGGTGTTCTAGTGAATTTGTTGACAAAAGGAGAAGCCTTTCTTACTCTGAGCTTTGGGCAGGACCTACTTACTCCAACTCGCCTCCGCCTGCTTCTGTGCCGATTCCTAAGTTTTCTCTCCACCAAAAGAGGACGGTATCTTTGACCTTTCCTCCTCCTGACTCTGCTGTTGATATTCGTGAAGTTGCTAAGTCTGCGCCGGTTTCTCCAACCTCATCTGGTGACAACCCTTTTCATTGTACTGTCTCTGCCACTATGACACTGCGTCGCATGCTCAATCTTGAGCTTGAGACTGCAGATGAATGAAGATCAGGAGCCTTTAGGGGGAACAGGGTTAGTTTTAGTTTTATGCACATAGAAATAAGGTGTTAGTCACCAAGCTGGTTTGAGTTTGTTTCTTAGCTTTTAATGGCGATGGTAAAGGAACACGTAAGCAGTATTGACTCGGAGTTGGTCAGCAGTTACTGGATCTCCTATGCAGATTAGGGGGGTACTTATGGTGGAACAGCTGGTTATAGTGAGTAGTAACATTCAGGAAGCAGATTCATGTCGCGTAAAAGGGAAGACTTGATTCTTGGTGTAGCATATAGGATGGCCAAAAATTTACCAGTCTCTAACATATACCCTGGGTTAATGCTAAGTTCATGTGGTGATACTGATACTTGAACATTAGCGTTTCCTCTTTGCCCTTTGTATAGTTTCTTCTTAGAGTTGTCTTTTCCTTTTGGCTTCTTTATCTTAAGTGGGTTAGATAGCATCTAGCTAGCCTGTATATGCAGTAGAGCCTTTGATCATACTGGGTTTCTGTTTCATTCTTCCAAGTTTCGTCTTTTCGGGTTCTTAGTCTTACCTTTGTCTTGTATCTCCCTCTCTGTCCATATCTTTTCTTTTAACTCTCTTTTTTAAGTCTTCTTCTCTTCCTTCTAATTCATTTCTGTCAAGCCTTAAAAGATGTAAATCTAACTACTCTCCTGCTAAGTGATCTTCCTCTTCGCCTCGTTTCCTGTTTTTTTTGAAATGGAAAAGGGGAAGAGGAAGTTTTACTGACCCTCTTAGAGTCTTAGACTATCTCTGCTGGTAAAGGTTCATCCAGATTCAAGCCATTTCAGTCTCACCTTTCATCCACTTCTTGTGAAGAATAGACATTCCTCAGGTTCTTACCTAGAACACTTTTGTCTCATTGGAGTTTCGTGATCCTGCCTAATCTGCTCACAAGGTAATCTTGAAGCTCTCCTTATCTCGTCCATTAAAAGAATCTGAAGGTGTAACTTATACAAGTTTTTGATTTTGTAACAGAGACCTGGAGAAGCTGCTGCTCTGCTTTTGATGCTTGCTGCTTCTTAGTTTCTTTGTCTCTCTATTGTCTTTGGTTGGTTTGTTAGATAAGGAGACAAGTATTATCTCTGTGTTTGGAACTCTTGTGTGAAACTTTCCACATAAGTTTGTTATGTCTTGTCTGTTGTAGTTTGTGACAGTGTTGTAGAGACGTCTTGCTATCTTGTTTCGAGTTTTTTTAATGGTGAAGGATATGTATCCCTTGTTCCCTAGTTACTATCGTTCTCTATGCCTCTATGGTTAATTTATTGCATAGTGAGATTTGGTGAAGGTACAAGTACTTCGAGATTTGGTGAAGGTACAAGTACTACGTTGTATTTATATTCGAAAATTCGAATTTTAATCGTGAAAGGAAAAAAAAAATCATATAAAATCTCCTCTCTGGAAAGAAAAAAAAAACTTGGTTGGATATTGAAACCAAAAGTCTGAAAACTAAAAGATCCGAACAGAAGTCCAATCAAAATTTGGATCGAACACTCGCTTGAGATGCGAGGAGAAGTGGATTTCTAACAATTTGCAGTTGAGATGTTAAGCGAAAATGGCCCGTTATGGGCCCGTTGGACCACCGTTACTTCTTTAGTAGGCTTTGTTTGGCGTCGTATTACTACTATATATATGATCTCGTGAAAACGATTTTCCTATTTTTTTCTCTAAACGTTAAAAAGACAAAATTTCAATACTTTAATTATGGTGGTAGGCAGTCTACTTGAGACAATGTCGAGGAAGATTAAAATAAAAGAAATAGACGTTTGGGTCTTTGGGACCAAGTAGAGAGGTTGTTGAAGAAGATAATTATTGAGAGTTCTCAATGTTTGGTTTATGAGTTTTCATGATGGTTCATTATTACTATTGGGCCCAACAACAACAAGAAAGAAAACTTTCGTGGCATTTTCTGTTCGTATTTAAAAGTTCAACGTATGGATACCGACAGGTTGTGGTTAGAGCCACATTGTTTCATACTTAACTCTATATTAATCTAGAACTACAGTTTTTGGATCACTTAGTCAAAAATACACAATGGAAATTTTCATAACTATGATTTAATAATCGAAGAGTTTCTTTATACGTCTCTTTAATAATAAATACCTTAATTAATCAAGCTTAGTTGATAACATGTGCAACCGATGAAAAGTTTAGCTATAGGCCTATAGCTTTTACACGCAGCCATTTATATGACATATGTTGAAGGTTTCACGATAAAAATAAATATATTATTTCTTCATTTCACAACAAATATCGTTTTGACAAATTCAACAAATATACTCAAAATTAAATTATATCTTCAATACTAAAAAAAGTTTCACGGTGATTAGTGATTACCAAAAAAAAAAAAAATGGTATTTGTATTTGATACGCATGGGTGAGTTTTGCTACGTGGACGAATATGATTGGGTGGCGTATGGTGGACCCAAATTGTTCAGCTCTAGTACACTACGCCTCTCTGTGCCTTCGCCTTTTCCTTTTTTTGATTCTCTCTCATTCCAAAGATTCTCTCTTTCCTTTTTATTATTATTATATATAAAGAAAAATATATTTCTTTGTCAACTAACTATATAAAGAAAAAATATGAAACCAGCAAAAGTTATCTTATTCAAAAATGTATAATCTTGTATTTATTTACAGAGTTTGAATACTTAATTTAAACCAAGTATTATATAGAATAAATATTATGTGTTAAAGGTTTAAATTTTTTTATAATATTATTATAGGTAAGTTATTCAACTTATCATATAATTGTTTTGAATTCCATGTAAGATAAGTTTTCATATTATAGAAAGAAATATAACCTATGACCTATTCTATTGCTGGCATTAACTGTAAAAATGAAAAAATATCACAGTCATGATAATACAGGCGTCATTTATGGCATAAAATTTACATTAAATTTTTGTTTCTCTTTAAATTACATTAGTTTAGGAAGTCAAATATCCCAAGCAATCCCAATAAAGAACAAAGCAGTGTTTTTCTTTATTAAGAAAAACATTTTAGAAAATCGTACACAAGGGTACTTTCGTCATTTGAAGTGTTTTTTTTTTCAATATCTCTCTAATCCCACTCATAACCTAAGCAAACTTTCTTCACAACGTAAAAAGCAGAAACAGAGCTTAAAACACCAATAGAGAAAAAGAGAGAGAGATCTAGAAGAAGAAGATGGCATGAGTATGCGAAGAAGACGACGAAGCGTTAGCTACACTAGGAGAATTTCTTAAGAAGAAACTTAGCGCTTCAATTTCCTCAAGGATTTTTCGATCACAACAACGTGCAATTCGTTTTTTTTTTCCGGGTATGAACTCTTCTTCAGTGTTTTCCGATTCGGTTTGAAAAAGGTCGGATTGTGATTTTCGAGCTCTCGGATCACTATAATCGACATTTTAGAGTGTGATCGTTTGATTTTTCTGACTCGAAACTTGTTGTTCTCTTGGTTTAAGAGCATGAGTTTATCTCTGTGTTAATCATATCATAGAAAATCAAATTCGTCTACATGTTTAGTTTTTTCAAATATTTGGTTGCTTTATTTTGTCTATTGATTGTTTCTCCGATTCTGGTTTTTTTCTATAGACTTTGTAATTCGTTTACTGTTTCTTTTTGGCATTTTTTCAGGTATTTTGTTTGTTAGATAGTTTGTGAGAGTCTGAGACGGAATTTGGTGCACATACTTGTGGTTTGTGTGTATTTTTGCTGGAAAAAAATGGAGATTGCGGCAAAGAGTAACTCGAAACGTATGTATTCATGGTGGTGGGATAGTCACAATACCCCCAAGAATTCTAAATGGCTTCAAGAGAATCTTGCAGGTGCATATGTTGTTACTTCTAGTGTATCTTGATTGCTATGTTCTAAATTTCATTTCCTGCTTTAGCTGTTGTGGCCTATGATATAGAATCGTTAGTGTTGTAGTATAGCTGATGATTTCCATCATGATTTATGATTCAGAAAACTTGAAACTTTTTTGACTCTGTGATTTCAAAATAAATGTTTTTTTTTCTTATTCTTTTGACAGATATGGATAATAATGTGAAGCAGATGATCAAGGTTCTTGAAGAAGATGCAGATTCCTTTGCCAGGAGAGCAGAGATGTATTACCGTAAACGTCCTGAGCTTATGAAATTGGTTGAAGAGTTCTACCGTGCATATCGCGCTTTAGCTGAGAGATATAATCATGCAACGGGCGTAATCCACAAGGCTCATGAGACTATAGCAGAAGCGTTCCCAAACCAAGTTCCGTTGATATTTGGTGATGAGTCACATGTTGGTGCTTTGACAAATGATGTTGATCCACAAACACCAGATATGCTTCCTCCTACCCGAGCTTGGGGTAACCCAGATGAGTTGCGAAAAGATGGTTTTGGGTTCTCTTTATCTCATGTCCATGATGTAAAGAGGAATATAGATTTTAGTGAAGAACCTACGTTTGTGAGTAATGGAAAAGCAAGAAAAGGACTGAATTTCAATGATGGAGATGGAAAAGGAAGAAATGATCTCAAGGCTCATATTCTTTCAGAATCTGAACGAGCTAGCAAAGCTGAAGCTGAAGTTGTGGCTTTAAAAGACTCCCTGTCTAAGATGCAGGCTGAAAAAGAAGTTAGCTTAGCACAGTTTGAGAAGAATTTGGAGAGACTGTCAAATCTAGAATCTGAAGTATCTCGTGCACAAGAAGACTCAAGGGGACTTAACGACAGAGCCGCAAGTGCAGAAGCTGAGATCCAAACGCTCAGAGAAACCCTCTACAAACTAGAGTCTGAAAAGGAATCCAGCCTTCTTCGGTATGAAAAATGCTTGCAAAAGGTAGCTAATTTGGAAGATGGACTCTCTGTAGCCCATAAGGAAGCTGGAGAAATAAATGAGCGAGCCAGCAAAGCTGAAGCTGAAACTCTCGCTTTGAAGCAGAGCCTTGCTAAAGCAGAAACTGACAAGGAAGCTGCTCTTGTTCAATACAGGCAATGCTTGAATACGATATCTAACCTAGAAGAGAGACTGAGGAAGGCTGAGGAAGATGCAAGGCTTATCAATGAGCGGGCTGAAAAGGCTGGGATAGAAGTTGAAAACTTGAAGCAAACGGTCTCAAAATTGATCAAGGATAAGGAAGCTTCTGAACTTCAGTTCCAACAGTGCCTAAATATAATTGCGGATCTAAAAGTAAAACTACACCATGCTCAAGAAGAAACACAAAGTCTTAGCCATGAAATAGAGGATGGAGTTGCTAAGTTAAAGTTTTCTGAAGAGAAATGTCTTGTGCTTGAGAGATCAAATCAGAATCTCCACTCTGAGCTGGATAGTCTCTTGGAGAAACTGGGGAATCAAAGTCAGAAGTTCACAGAGAAGCAAACAGAGCTGGTCAAATTGTGGAGTTGTGTACAAGAAGAGCATTTGCGTTTCCAAGAAGCTGAGACCGCGTTTCAAACCCTACAGCAATTGCACTCTCAGTCTCAAGAGGAGCTCAATAATTTGGCTGTGGAACTTCAAACCAGGTCTCAGATCATGAAAGACATGGAGATCCGAAACAGTGAGTTGCATGAGGAAATTGAGCAAACCAAGATTGAGAACAAAGGTCTCAATGAGCTCAATTTCACTTCGGTTGCATCGATTAAAAGTTTGCAAGAGGATGTCTCAAGCTTAAAGGAAACAATACAAAAACTTGAAGCAGAGGTTGAACTAAGAGTGGACCAGAGAAATGCTTTGCAGCAAGAAATATACTGTCTTAAAGAGGAATTAAGTCAGGTAGGGAAGAAAAACCAGTCCATGATAGAACAGGTGGAATTGGTTGGGTCATCAGTCAAAGAATTGCAGGAGGAAACCTCAATCTTAAAAGAATGCAATGAGAGAGAAAAAAGCGAAAAGACGGCTCTTTTAGAGAAATTGGAAACTGTGAAAAAGCTTGTTGAGAAAAACCTTATGCTGGAAAAATCTGTATCTGATTTGAATTCTGAAATGGAATCAATCAGAAGGAAGCTGAAGACGTTTGAGGAAGCTTGTCAGTCACTCTCAGAAGAGAATTCATGTCTTATTTCTGAAAACCAGCACAGTGCCATTGAGAACATTGTTCTTATTGAATGGCTTCGGCAACTTAAGTTAGAAGCAGTTGGTATAGCAACAGAGAAGAATGACCTTGAGGGTAAGGCAAAGAAGATTGGTGATAAGTTAACAGATGCAGAAACTGAAAATTTGCAGCTAAGGAGAAACCTGCTTTCTATCAGATCGGAGAAACATCACTTAGAAGATGAAATTACTAATGTGAATAATCAGTTACGTGAGAAGGAGAAGGAATTTGAAGAAATCAAAGAGGAGAAAGAAAAGCTGAATCAAGAGGTTTTCAAAGAGAGGAGCAAGGCTGAATTGTGGGAGTCTCAAGCTGCGACATTCTTCTGCGATAAGCAAATCTCGGCTGTACATGAAACATTGATTGAAGCAACGACACGGGAGTTAGCTGAAGCCTGCAAGAACCTTGAAAGTAAAAGCGCATTGAAAGATGCGGATATTGAAAAGTCTAAAAGAAGCCAAGCTATTGTCTTGTTGAATGAAAGCATTAAAGCTTTGGAGGATTATGTTTTCGTGAGTCGTGAATCTGCGGATGAAATTTCAAAGGTAGTTTATCTTAGCCAGTTATCTCCAGTTGTAAAGTTGATTCTTTGATAAAATTGAAACCGTTTTGAAGTAATGTTCTCATCTCTTTTACCAGGGTGCTGATTCAATAGATAAACTCCCCAAGTTGGAAGGTATGTGTTTAAGAATCAAAGCTATTGCAGAGGCAATAATGGAAAAGGAGAAGCTTTTGATGCTTGAGAACACGAATGCCTACTCTATGCTTGAGGCGTCACTGAAACAAATCAAAGAATTAAAAACGGGCGGCGGAAGAAGCATGAGGAAGCAAGAAGGAGTAAGTGGCAAAATGCGGAAGCAGAGTCACGAAATCGAGATGGTAGTGAAAGATATTGTGCTTGATCAAACCTCTGATGGATCATCGTATGAGATTGTAAGTAAGAAAGGAACTTTGGAGTTAGATCATCACGGTTTTGTTGAGCTAAAGCCAGTTAAGACTCACAAGACAGAAACTGCGACTAAAGCCACGAAAGGTAAATCCTTGTCTGAAGAGTCGCTGATTGTCGATAAATTAGAGATTTTCGACGGATTCATGGATCCGAACAGAGAAGTAAACAAGAGAAAAGTTCTAGAAAGACTTGATTCGGATTTACAGAAGCTGGAGAATCTTCAGATCACTGTAGAAGATTTGAAAAGCAAAGTCGAAACAGTGGAGAAGGAAAAGACGAAAGTAGGAGAAAACGAGTATGAAACGATCAAAGGACAGCTCGAAGAAGCAGAGGAAGCAATAGAGAAACTGTTTACTGTCAATCGAAAGCTGACCACAAAAGCCGAATCAGAGAAAGATATTGATAGAAGAAGGAGAATATACGAACATGCGAGAAGAGGATCAGAGAAGATTGGGAGGTTACAGTTGGAGATACAGAGGATTCAGTTTCTCTTGATGAAACTTGAAGGAGAGAGAGAGCATCGAGCTAGGTCGAAGATTTCAGATACCAAATCGAAAGTTCTTCTTCGAGACTATATCTATGGTGGATCCAGAAGCGTATCGATGAAGAAAAGGACGAAGAAGCGGTCTGCGTTTTGTGGTTGCGTTCAGCAGCCACTGTCTCCTTGAAGTTATTGAAACTGTTGTTACTTCATTCGCAAGTAACAAACAATATATTAATGTTAATTGTTTAATTGCGTTTGCGATTATGTTTTTGAACGCAGACGCGGTAGTAGTAGTGCGTTTAAATAACAGACTCTTGTTTTTTCAACCCTTATTTCTTGATGACAATAAAACCTTTTAGGAATGTGAAATCTTAAACGTTGTTAGATTCCGGTATCGGCGAGTCGGGTTTAGCCGTGTGAAGCATGAAATTGCAAGCTGCGACGGCTTCTGCCACCGTGAGATAAATCCGTTCGTTACCAATGCTCTCTATGAAGTTGGACTTGCTTAGCTTCTTCATCACCTCTGCTCCTGGGTTCGCTATAACTAGCTGAGAAAATTAGAAGACCAAATCGTTAAATCAATAAATGTTTGGGGACTTGTCTTAAAAAGAATAAAGGCTTTTTATACCTTAAGCTCTCTTCGTCCCATGATTTTGTTGAGTTCCTCAAGCATACTTATACCGCTCGTGTCAATGTTCCCCACAGCTACATTCATATAATTTGATGTTACATATAAAAAAAATTAGATGTTTCATATTCTGGAATCCAACATTTATATTAAAAATTAAAGTGATAAATTGATTCAAAAAAGTTGGTATTCTCAAGCTAATTCTATTTTTTGACGTAAGTAATTTCATCCTTTCTTAATAAATTTCAGATTACAAAAATATATACTTTATGTTTCTACGTTTGTTTCATTATTGAAATTAAAACCCTAATAGTAACGATTTAATTGTGTTATGAGGTTGTGAACAAATGAAATGATATATAGTTTTGATAGAGCTAACAAGCACGATAGATTCTTTAAGATATATAGTATCATTTTTAGATATTTCCCATGCTGAAAAAGCAATCTAAGAACCTAGCCAACTAAAAACAAATTGGACTATATCATAAAGTTTCTTACCACTCATGTCGATAACAATGTATTGTAGACTGATTTCTCCGCTAGTTCTCAATTTATCTTCCTCTTCATCGATCCACCTTCCAATTCTATCAAAATGTTATACATAATAAAAAAAATTAATAAGTCACGTATAAATAACTAAGATTCAATAATTACAAAGATATATCTATTATATAACATCATAAATAAATAACCTGTCTCGCAAGTAGCTAGAGTTGGCGAAGTAAATCGGACCATCGATGTGGAGAATGAGGAGAGAAGAGAGAGTGATGGCTTGAGGGTAATGTTCAATGTTCCTAAATATTTCTGTGTTTTGAATGTTTCCCATTACATAAATCTTTGGTCTTCCCACGAACAACACTAACCTCATCACTGATATTCCCACCTATATATAGTTATTCCATTATTCTATCTTGTGAGTTTTTTTGGGAGTGGCACAAGGGTAATTAATGAAGAAGTTAAGATAGATAGATATACGTACGGAGAGGATGAGACCAATCTCGATGGTACCAAAAACGACGCCTAAGTAAGCAGAGAGACAAACGAAGAAATCGAACTTGTCAAGTCTCCAAAGATGAATAGCTGCTTCGTAGTCGACTAGGCCGAGCATGGCGGTGATTATGATCGACGAAAGAACAACTAATGGCGTGTAGAAGAATAACGGCGTTAAGAACAGTAACGTCACCGTCACTGCAACCGCCATTACCACGTTTGATAACGCTGTTTTGCAACCCGCGTTGTAGTTTACCGCCGAACGTGAAAATGGCCCTTCAACATATTTTTTTTTTTAAAATAGGCTTATATATATATCCATCAACATAAAATCTTCAATTACGTTTTTTGTCAAATCTTTAAGAGTTTATTATCATTATGTTATAAGAAAATATATCAGCATTTGATATAAAAACAAGAACTAAAAAATCATCTCAAAACTACAACCATTCAAAGCTATACACACTTGATATATTTGGTAATTTGTTATGATAACATTGACGCAACTATTGATTTTTTTGTATCACCCAATTATGTTGTTAATTAATAACCTTTTAATGTAGTGTTAACGTTGAGTGATTAGCCGGACCAAACATATGCAAATGCTCTTTACTAATTAAGATAAATAAATGGTAAAGATCAAATGAAAATAATATAGATTACCGGTAGTGAGATAGCAAGAGGAGAAGGAACCAAGAATGTTCATCATCCCAAAGGCTATCATCTCTTTGTTCCCATCTATGTTGTAATTCTTGTACATTGCAAAGCTTCTCCCCACTGCTATCCCTTCCTATTTTTTTAAAACAAAATTTACTACAATCAGTAAAGGACACTCTAATTGGTAGAGATTTTTTTTTTTTTAAAACATACAAAAAATGTTTTAACGAATACGTACAGCGAGAGCTATGACTCCAGTGATCATGCCGATTTTGAGAGCCAACATGACATAAGGTGACGTGAATACCAAATGTGTGATTGATGGTGGATTAATCCCTTTCTTTAGTTCTCCGATCTACTTCCCCAACAAAACAAAATTAGTATATTAGCATTTTCAAAGATATAAACTTTTCCTTTAGCGTTAAAGTTTATAATTAACAACACATTTTGTTGGAATTGTTCAAAGTTGTGATGTTTTATATGTCTAATTGTGAGATATTAGCGGTAGACGCAAAAGAAAAGGAGAGGAAAAACTTACAATTTGGATGTCATGGAAATGGGCATGAAGGAAGTAAAGGAAAAGGGTTCCAAGAATGACAGAAACAAGTGGAGACATTGCAGATATCCAGAACAGCTTTGGTCTCTTCTTGCTCTTCACTTGCATTAATACTTTGTTAAATTAAAATCTATAACGTATTTCTTTAATCAGTACTTAATTATATATATATGGATTAAATTAAGAAGTAAAACTTACAATGTATTTAGTTGTAAGAAGGAAGATGAGGAAGCAACACCCTAGCACTCCACTCTCCCATCTCCACTGCAAATTTTAAAAATAATTCCATGTACTGTATATACTAAAAAAATAAAACTAAAAAACTCTGTTTTACAGCTGACAGTGAATAAGTAAGCATCTCATTTATTTTTTATACTGATAGACTAATAATAGTATTAAGCAACCCGAAAGGACTCTAAATTGGTCGGTACAATATTGGCAACACATCCCGTGAATAATTAATTAACAACAATTTTGTCTCACGCCACTTGCCTAATTAATTTTAACTTTTAAGAGAATGAAAAAATAAAACCACATTAATTAAACAGTGGTCAGCCGTGGAAGATATTAATATATCACACACCAAATAAATTAAATAACTGCGCAGGTTAGTTTATGTATTTAAAACGAAAAAAGTGCCCAAATTTACGAAAATGTGTTATTTTCTAAGCCAAAATAATAATACTAAAATGGGAAATTATTATCGATTATTATTTTTTATTTTTGTGGGTCACTAGTGAAATTGATGAAACGAACCATATGAGATTGAGAAAAAATGGAGCGGAGAACAGAGACGATATCGGTGGAATGAGTGAAGTGATGGAGGCCAAGTAATCCTTTCAGTTGCTGCAGACACACCACCGTCGCGGCTCCTCCCATGAACCCTACAATCGCCGCGTGCGACAATATCTCCACCACGAACCCTAACCTGATTATGTTACATTCACTAAACCTGATTAGTCATAATTAAGTCATAACTATGTGTTTGTATTTTTGATTAATTTATTTTTATAGTTTTGTTCACGTGAAATCTGTTTGTAAACGTTAGACTAAATTTTATCATTTTTTTTTGTCAACAACTTTATATTACTAAGACCATCTCCAATCGTTGGCTCTATTTCTTGCTCTAAATTTGGAGTGCTCTAAAAAATAGAGCAGAGGTTTGCTCCAATAGTTGACTCTATTTTTTGCTCTAAAATAAATATTCTATTTTAATATTTTGTTTTAATTTTTCATATGGTCCTTTATTTTCAAAGTTTACAAATTTTATCCACTTAGTTTATTTTGACATAAATATCTAATAAAACCATATTATTAAAATTTAAATTTTATTACAACACATAAATAGAAGATCAAAAGATTAATATATTTTTATTTAAGCATCATCATTAGTGTACTTCTCCCACAAATGATCGACTAATGATTTTAATATAAAATTATGTATGTATATAATTTAGTTATATAATTTTGTTTAGGTATAAAATGATACTATATGAAAATTGAGGGAGTATTTTGTAAATAAAAAAGTTGTGCTCTAAAAATAGAGATATGAATAGTGTTGCTCCAAATTTGGAATATATATAAACACATGCAAATTCAAGCGGTCATTTCTACCATGCATGAATATTTTTAAATTGAGTAATTATGACTCCATCATATGTAAACCAATAATAGACATCGATTTTCACGTATTATTTTAAAAAAATATGGGTGTGATTTTGGAGTGTTACGTACCGTAAGAGGCCAAGACAGGTTTGCATGAGTCCGGCGAAGAAAGTGGCGGTGAAAGCTAAGTGAAGGTAAAGCTTTGGATTCTTCACTGCGTTTACCTCTTTTCCCAACATCGCCGCCGTCAACAGCGAGGCCACCGCCACTGTTCCCACCGCTAAATCTCTTGAACTTCCCATTACCGCGTATACCAACGGCGGCACCAAGCTTGAGTCTACATTTATTTTCCATATAAACATAGTTATATAGTTAGTTATAGTATATATATGAAATCACAAATACTATTACATATGGACCAATCTAAATGAAAGACACTTTAAATTCGAGTTTCGTTTTTTACTCAAAAAAAAGTAACTCAAAACCAAACTGAAACGTTTTTTTATTGTTCTTAATGAATACTTTTCTTCAAGAGTTATTTTTCTATAGTAAAATCCTCACATATAGCGAGAAAGAGACTTGCAATTGTGAAAAATAATTACAAGAGGAAGAGAGCGTACAAAGACCAAGGATTGGAGGGAGATTAGCGAGCTGAGCATAGCTAATCCCTTGAGGAATAGCAAGACTTGCAATTGTTATCCCTGAGATAACGTCTGATTTTAAATACTCCAAATTGTAACCACGAGCCCATTCTAAGATTGGGAACACGTGTCGCAACCCTAACTCGATCTTTTTCGACGTTTTCGATTCGTTCCTGATTCTACGGAAGGGATCGTCGGCGAAAAGGATATCATTGAGAGTGTTCTTTAGTGATTTCAAGAAAGGTTGTGGTGGAGGGATTTCTACTTGGTGATATTGTGATGACCTTTTGCTGCTCATCTTCTAGTTTATTTGGAATACAAAATATGGAATGAGAATGATCAAAAGCCAATAACTCTCATTTGGATTTTGAAAGTGATGAGGAAGAGAGAGGAAGATGAGGTTTTTATAGGAAGGGAACATAGATAAATCATGATTGCATTTCCATTGGACCCACAAAATTATTGGTTTTTATTTCGTTAATATCTACAGAACAAAACCGTGGTAACTTTATTTTGAAATGGCCATAAGAAACTTAAATATTGCATGTAAGAAACCAGAAATGCTTGTTATCCATAGTTTTGTTAAGCTCATGGAGAGAATACGGGCCACTATTATGTATTGGCTACACAAACATTTTACCGTAACGTGTTATCACATTTGCATTATGGCCACAAATTCCTCAAATCCAACTACATAGAGAAAGCAAGATTTATCAAAGGACTTACAAAGGCTTTTTTTGACATTACTATCATACTATTGACATTACTATCATACTATGTATTGGTTACACATACATTTCACCGTCACGTAACATCATATTTGCATTGCAGCCACAAAGTTCACAAATCCAATTCAACAAAATCATTTTTTCCCCTTTTTGTTTTGGCTTGAGCCCTTTTCATCTTAAACTTCATCATAGTAAAGAATATGGGTCGAACCCTCACGCCAGAGACCACTTGCCCATCATCCTCATTGGCTTAGTGGTTACACATACATTTGACCGTAATGTATCATAATATCTGCATTGCGACCACAAATTCCAAGAATCCAGTTACACATAGAAAGAAAAAAAAAATTATCAAAGGAATTTTGAAGTTTTTATATCTAATTCTTTGTTTCCCTACTAGTTTTCCCACAATACGCTAAAATTTGGACAAATTAAATGATCTAAAGAGATCTTTAGACTTATGCGAAAACTAAATAAATAAGAGAAATGATTAAAATGAAGTAGCAGCATGAGCTGTTACAAATTACAAGACTTCCCAATTTGGAGTGATCACTCTCGTTACCATTATTGTTTTGTCCATTTGCATTTGGAGCATTTCATAATTTCAAACATTCGTTTCCCTTTTCTTCTACACACACCTCGAGGCTTCCCATGTTTTGTGTAGAGGTTTTTAGCCTCTCAAAGGCTCAAGCTTTATCTCATTTGTCATCAACACCATATTACGGAAACAAATCAAGTAAAGTATGGAGAAGAAGAGGAAGATAAAACAGAGCAAGATGAAGGAAGAAGAGGAGCACACAAAAGATTTGTTAACCCGGTTCACGGCATTAACGAGCCGCTACGTCCGGTTAGGATCGATAGATCCACAACTCCACTATGAAGAAGAAGGTATTACAAACAAGAAGCTACAAGTGACCCGTCTAATACCCTTCACTAGTACTTAGACTCACTCTGTACCACTTCCTGTATAACTCAGAGAACAACAATGACAAGCTTATACTAATACATGTTTTCTCTCATCTCTATACCTTACTAACTCTTCTTCTTAGATCTACATTGTGCTATTGCTCTCTCTCTCTCTCTACTCCCTTCTCCCCTAGCTTCTCTCAATGAAGATAAGCACCTATATATAGACACAGCTAACTAGGGCTTCCTTGTGCTAAAGCAAACCGCAACCCTTTTGAGCACAAACAGACAAAATGTCCTTATGGCTGAAATGAGGCTACTTCCAAGCAATTTCCTTCATAGCCGTTTCTCCATGACTCTGGTCCAAAAGTAACTTAACCCAACTTTAACTTGACTAGAGTTAAGCCTTGAGTTGCTTTTGATCTTCATTTGCTTGAGAAACAAGTTCTCATCTCCACAAATCTCCACCTGAGAACATGTTGATCAATCCACACAACCTGCAAACATTTGAGAGAGAGAGAGAGTACCTTTTAAGCAGTTTAAACACCATAAACCTGCTTGATCCTTCCTGTATTAAACTTATATTCAATACACTTCAGCTGCGACTATTCACACTGCTGAACGAGCCTGAGCCATCAACACATCTTTAGATCATGAGTTGTGAAAAATACCAGCTCCAATGCAATTTTGCATTAAGCTCAACTCTTCCCTGATCACCTCATATGATGCATTCAACACCTGAATACTTGATATCACCGCTCAGACAACTCCATTAACAAGTCAAGAAAACACTTCCAGCTTGTTAAACACAACAGAAAAAAACTCCATAAGCTTCACCGCTTATAAGACGTCCAATCACATATTCTCCACCATGGCTTCTGTTAAGGCCATGAGTTTGTACCAGTGACTGAAGTACCAAATAACCCTCTGCAAAACTTGATTCCCTTGCTAGCTTCTAGGATTTCCTCATGCGCATTGAGATCAAAACCCTTTGAATTCACTTGAATCAAATGCAGAAAACCAGAATCATTTTTAAGCTCAAACCTGAAGCTTCTTTGATTCACCATGTAAACCATCTAAACAGCCTGTTTAGTACCACAACAGCTTTAGATGACCTTTACAAACCTGTTTAACAAAACCAATCCAGAACACATCCTTTGTTCAACAGTTCTGTTTAAACAGAGCCTTTACCAGCAGATTTGAACCACTACCAGCAATCTTTAAACATGTCTCACATCAACAAGACCTTGTGATAACCCTGAGACAATCCTTACAGCACCTTCCACATCCATTCTAGAATTTTGATGCACTTTCTACTGTAGTACAGTCCTGCAAAACCTGCGGACCTCCACCAAACGACTTGAACCTTGCACCATCCGATTTTCAGACTTAACCAGTCTTTTTCTTCTTTATCATCATATGATACTAGAAGATACTCCACTTGAATGGAATGCAAGTATCTTTTCCTGAGAGGATACTTACATATACTCCCTTTTGGTGCAGACAACCAAAACTAAAAAATTCCTTAGTTGTTGTCTTCCAAATGCATTCTCTGCATTTACATCCTTCCTAGGATTCTTTTTTCAGTTACCAAGACCAGCTTTGAGATGGGTTGTTATCAAACTTGATACACAACACTTTCACATTCCCGAAGTGAACAGCCTTGAGACAACTCCTGCAACACTCGTGCTTGTCTCCTCTCAGTTTCTCCTTTAGAGAACTCACTTAACCACTTCAATGTCTTCATCTCTGTTTACATATTAGGGTCTTCCGAAAAAAGCTTTCAGAAACCTGCAACTCCATCATAGAAACCTGCAGCTCTGCTTCTGAATATCATCACCAACAATCAGCTTCAAACCAAAAAACTGTAACCAGCCTTGTACCCTTAGACTATAACCTTCTTTGAGCTGAAAACTCGTTGATAATAAACTGTTCTTGACTTGTTTTCTTATTAGCATACTGAACTTCCATGAGTCTGATATACTAGTGAGTTACACAGCCATTTAACTCTTTTATCTTCAGCTAACCTTCCGAGACACCATCCACAAACATAGCTCCACCATGAAGAAAAAAAAATATCCTTAGATATGCATTGCTCCTTTTGTAGCAACAATACTCCATCTGAAACTATAACCCTTGGATGCACTTTGTCTCTATAAGCTGAGCTTCACCAATCTGAATTAAAGCTACTCTTCACTGTATCTTGGATTCATTTCCACGTTCTTATGAATCACCATGATTACTTGCTTGAGAAAGTGTGTCAAAACATGAGACACATCTTCTTTCTGCCTTCAGCCACCTCAAATGATCCATTTGCAACCAAAAAACCACTAAGAACTTGTCTTTAATTTCTGCAGCCTTGTCCTCTCTTTACTTGGAACATTCTTCATGATCTAATTGTGAAACAACTTAGGCTGATACACCATCAAACCATACCTCAATCCCATAAATAAAATCTTGTACTTTCCTGTAGCCAATTCCACTATATACTTGTCTTGCACCGCTGTTCAAACGAACAGGACACGCCGCCTAACACCCTTTGGCTAGGAAGACTTTCGACACAAGAAAATAGTACAGCCAATTGCATACCATCAGATGCTTCTTTTAACACTTGAAGATCTGATCCAAAAAACAAAAAACACAAGATACACTCTGAGAAAATATTGCTCCACCCGAGATAACAACTCCTTGCTCCTTAAGCAAAATCACCATGTGTTATGCCAAACACAAATTTGCACAGAACATGAATCTTTTATGCTGCCACTACCTTGTCAAGAGAATTCGTTCTCATGACCAAACAACCACAAACTGTCCAGCTTACACCAAACAACATGCTTACAAACCACGCTGCATTCCCTCTGAAAATAGCAGCCTTGTAGCTTCACGTTCTCTGATGATCCACAACCCGTAGATTCTCTCATTCACAAGAACTGACAACTACACACAGAGATAAACCTGCAACCGAAACTCCTTTCAAAACTCAGCCAAAACCAATGAAGTTTCCATAACATTTTTTTGTCTTGAATAAACAGAAAACATGACTTGCTTCATAACCATTCTGCAACCTCCTTTAAACTGAACCAAGAGTATCCTTACTGATACACACACAGCCATAAAACGCCCATAAGCTTTAAGATTCTAAGGCATCCCCTAGTTCCATGAATCTTATGAGTTACCGGGCTGGAAACACGATGATTAGAACACCTCCTGAAAACTGACTTTACCAAAACTGATTCAGCCAGAAGATAACATGAAAACCATCATTGAATCTTGGCTTAACTCTTGTAAAACCAGTACATAACCCTTGTGTTCCAATAAACTTCTATTTCCAACAAATATGCAGAACTTGAGCAACCTGAAACTTCCATACAGAGCATCAGTGCATCACAAAATACCTTGTGACTGCAGCGGAATCAGACTTAAGGCTTCCCAAAACTTGAGTCTTGAAGTTGATGTTCAATTTCGACATCAACTCTAACCGGTTTCTTCAACAATGATCAAGAATCACCATCTTCGATCATATGCTTCTTGCTTCCATCTCTGAATTTCTCCTTCCATTCCAATCAAGAGTAAACATATACACATACTTGACTGTCGTTCTTTACTCATTGCAACCTCCAATTTCTTTACAAAAAATTAGAAACTTTGAATTTTTACCGGAAGGTCTCCGAGCTTCACAACTCCAACTTAAGCTTCAACTTTCACATCTCTTTCATATATTGAAGCTCCCTGATATCAACACCGACAATAACTGAAGCACCATCAATCGACGAAGCTTCTGTAGCCGTTGATTTTACCTTTGAGCTTCAGTCTCGAAGCTTGAACGAAAGAGAGGCATAAAGAGGAAAAATAACACGTGCCTTATTCCTCTTTTTCTCTTGGACATTAATAAATATTTTGGGCCCAATATTTATTAATAATAGAAGAGGTCCATCTTGGCCCAACAAAGGAAACAACTTTGTCGTCACCTGACTTCTTCTTTTGCTCACCCGTCGGCCACCGTAACATGATTTTGCCGGCCAACATCCAGATGTTATCCGGTAACTTTATGGCCACCACATCTCCGCGATTCTCTCTCACCGTGCGTCTCTTCCTCGACAACAAAACCCAAGGCTTCTTCTACGACTCGTTCTGCTCGTGACGGCGCCGTCTACACTTTCACGACGTCGTGGGAAACTCGAGCCACTCCGCCGGGATCTCAGCCTTCTCCGGAGAGAATCATCGCGTCATCCATGTCATCGAACTCTCTGAGAATCACTTGAGCTCGTGACAAACTTCCTCTGCCAAGATCCGAGATTTCTGTTGAAATCTCTATCTTCCTCCATCTTTATCTCTCAATGCTTCCAACAGGTCTAGTTCTTCTTAGATGGACAAGACACTCCGTCTTCTATGAGATATAATCTCCAAACCATCTTTCTTCTCTAGAGCTGCACTTCCCGAAGCCATTGCTTGATAAAGGTGTGACCTTTTTCGACAAAACTTGCATCTTCTTTGTAAAGCTTGAATCTTTCTCACGGAACCTGAAGATTCAGAGCAAAGCTTGAGTCTTTCAGCACTAACCTGGCTCTGATACCACTTGTAGAGGTTTTTAGCCTCTCAAAGGCTCAAGCTTTATCTCATTTGTCATCAACACCATATTACGGAAACAAATCAAGTAAAGTATGGAGAAGAAGAGGAAGATAAAACAGAGCAAGATGAAGGAAGAAGAGGAGCACACAAAAGATTTGTTAACCCGGTTCACGGCATTAACGAGCCGCTACGTCCGGTTAGGATCGATAGATCCACAACTCCACTATGAAGAAGAAGGTATTACAAACAAGAAGCTACAAGTGACCCGTCTAATACCCTTCACTAGTACTTAGACTCACTCTGTACCACTTCCTGTATAACTCAGAGAACAACAATGACAAGCTTATACTAATACATGTTTTCTCTCATCTCTATACCTTACTAACTCTTCTTCTTAGATCTACATTGTGCTATTGCTCTCTCTCTCTCTACTCCCTTCTCCCCTAGCTTCTCTCAATGAAGATAAGCACCTATATAGACACAGCTAACTAGGGCTTCCTTGTGCTAAAGCAAACCGCAACCCTTTTGAGCACAAACAGACAAAATGTCCTTATGGCTGAAATGAGGCTACTTCCAAGCAATTTCCTTCATAGCCGTTTCTCCATGACTCTGGTCCAAAAGTAACTTAACCCAACTTTAACTTGACTAGAGTTAAGCCTTGGGTTGCTTTTGATCTTCATTTGCTTGAGAAACAAGTTCTCATCTCCACATTTTGCTTCTTCTTTTTATTTTTAATATCAAAACAATCATATTTTTATATCAATAAAAAATTTACAACAATCTACTTTTAACTAGCAAAGTAGTCTAAATCTAAACCCCAAACTCCAATTTTATACCTAAATCCTAAAAATTTAAAAACTAAACCACAAATCATAAACACTAACCGGAGCATATTTTTAATTTAAATAGCAATATTATTAATACATGGTTTCAATAATCTCATTTTTCTTATGAGAGAAACAAAGACTTGCACTTCTCGTGATGTCCTTAGCTACACTACACACATACTTTGGCATTGTCGTTATAAACATTACATGATCCACAGTTTCTCTGTTCCCTCTATAATCAATCACATGAACATGTGAACTGCATGTAACCACGGATATGTACAATTTTGTTTTCTTATTTCAACATTTTTTAGAGACAGAGAAAGCTAATTACCTCATCCTCCATAATCATCATCTCTGTAGAGCTCTAAGTACAGAAAGAAGAGACAAGAAGAGGTTGATGATGTCTAGGTAGAGCGAAATCGCTGCCCAGATATACTCATCATACGTGTGTCGTTTGATCAGATTGTCTGTATCATAAACTATGTATCCGCAGAATATTATCGATGCCAAACAACCGTAGATCATCACCGATATCGGCCCTAATGGAAACAAAATCTGCACAACATAACCCAAATTAAGATACAAAACCTGGTTATGCAATCCAAAGCTACCACATTTAAAATCAAGTTTCAAGTTTCTCATTTTATGCAATGCTTTTAGTGAATATCAAGTTTCAACTTCTAGCCAAAAGAATACTATCAAAAGTACCAGATTCAAAAAGTTAAAGCTCTCAATATTCTCTGTACTGCCTATAGTGAGAAATCAAATTGCTTATTTCTTAAGGTAAAAACTGCAACCAAAACTAGCACATTTCACAGGCTAAATAAATCCCTTATCTCTAATGTCTAATGTGAAGTCAAGTTTCTCACTTCTTGGCCTCGAAAAACTGCTATCATATCCGTATGCTTATATATCTCGTGCTTTATAATGTCTAATGTGAATCAAGTTTCTAACTGTTTAGCCTAAAGAATGCTACCAAAACTACCACATTTCATAAACTAAGACTGCAACTCTCACTCCCTCCAATAGATATGGTGAATTTGGGGTCAGTATAAGCTTTACTTGTATCATGGAGAAGACAATAAGCACGATGAGAGCACCGAACAGGAACGGTCCAAGGAAATTAAAGTCATATCCTTTCCTAGCAGCCCAGAAGGTGTATAATGTGAGGGAAAGCACCACGACCGATGTCAAGATCGCTGACTCGAGAATCACTTTCCCTGTGTCCAACACAGAGTAAGATTTAAACATATACACAATGAAACCCCAAACATCAAAATCTCAGTACAAAAGTGATTGATGAAGTCTTACCATTGGTGAAAGCACATGTTAATCCAACAACAAAAGCCAGAGCCAAAGTGAAAATCCCCAAGAGCAAGTAATTAACCGGATGTTTCTGATGGTAATAGTACAACGGACACAACACTATACATCGGAGAGAAACACAAATCCAAATTTTCAGCTTGAGACTTTATCAAAATTCGAAAAAAGATTGATACTTTGATTTTTAAAACAATTGTACGTACCTAACAAGGGCGTGATGATGATGACAATGTAAAGAGCTAATCCAAGTCCGGTGGTGGCGAAGAACAGAGCGATTGGATGGACGGTGACCACCGTGGCGGCGACGGCGACGGTGGCTAGAAGCTGAAAGGCGATTATAGAGTAAACCTTGCGTATAAATCCCCACCGGAGCTCGGGATTTTCAAGCATCGTTGGGTATAAAGGCCTTCTTGAGCTAACGCCTGTTTCCACGTCATCTTTCCGATACGGTAAGTTCCACTGATACATTATTAAGGAAAGCGCGGGAAATTCGAATCCTTTCGATTACTGTATCACACAATCAAGGAGAAAGAACTACGAGCGAAAGAGAGGAAAGTTGGATCGGTGCTTTGCTTGCGATTCTTTGTCCTGCGAGCGAGAAAAAGCGAGAAAATTTGGATTTTCCTGGGAAAAGCGGTGGAAGAAGAAAGTTCATGAAAGCCTCGGTTAAACCGGAGATGACACGTGGCAACCGGAGATGAAGCATGAACCGTGACAAGGATGGTTCTGTTTCTTTAGACTTCCTTTGATGTGTCCAAAGGGAAAGTGTTTTTAGTAGATAATTAGATAGATTTTTATAACATTTTCCGCCGATTTAATATTGGTTTGTTGTTGTGTTCGAAATTATTTATTTGTTTTCAATTAAAATAATTAAAAGTAAATAAAAATGATTTAAAATTAGATAAAAAATAGGATGTATAAACTACATTGGAGTTTCTTGGAACTAAAGATTAATTTGGTATTTGTCAAGTATTTTATCCTCGAGATAAGTAATATTGAAACTAAAATTGTTTATAATGATGCAGTTTTTTAATTTTCACGCTAGTTTTTATAATTTTGTTTGTTTGTTTCAGTGGTCAAATGTAAGAGTTGATAGTTTAACTTGTTTAATGAAAATAAAATTATAATGTAGATTCCCAGATTAGACTTTTAAAAAATATATAAATGTAGTTGAGACACAAAAAAACTCCCAAAAAAAGGCTGTCTAAACATATGCTCGCTCATTTTTCTAAACATTATTGTAGAACGTATAAAATTATAATTAATAGAAAGATTAATAATTTGATTGACAAAAAAAAAGAAAGATTAATAATTTAGTTCAAATTATAATTTTTTTTTTTTTTTTGAAGAGTGGCCAAAGAATCCGATAGTGGTGGTTACTGTTTGTGGAGATCTTCAAAAAAAAAAAAAAAAAAGAAGAAGAAGAAGAAGAGAGGATATGAGAAAAAACAATTGAAAAGAAGAAAAACTTTCCCTTTTACCAATGAAACAAAGGAGCTCTGAGAATTTGGAAAAATATTTCCCACTCTCTGCTCATATCTCTCTCTCTCACTTCAATTCACTTTTGCTCAAACTTGACAACTTGTCCGAATCTCTCCATAGCACACCTCCTCTGTTTTAGGGTTTTCTCTTGAAATTGCAGAACCTCTCGCAACAACACTGGTGGTTTCTTCCTTGTCTCGCTGGTTCAAAGATTCTTACTTTACTTTTTGATGTCCTAGATTTGTTAGATTCTCTTTAATTTTTCTGGGTTTAGCCACTAGATTGTGTTACCACTGCTAGTAGATTAGGGTTTTCTTGAGAAAGCTCTAATTTTGGTGATTTATTCTCTTTATAGGGTTATCTGTTGTTCAATGGTGATTTCGACTGAGTTTTGTAATTCTCATTTATGAATTTAGGTTTGTTCTACTTCTATCTGCTGCACATAGAGAAATGCTTTAGCTTTAGGTGTTGGAAGATCTCATAATACCAAAGTTCAGATTTTTTTGTTGTTGTATAGAATTCCATTAAGTGACCCATCTTCACTTAGTTTCTGGGCTGGGTAGTGTGAAAGCAACAAGAAAATAGTGTTTTGATTATCCTCTGGCTATCCTGGAGATCTGGGATTTGTTTCATCTGTTATGTCAGATGAGGACTTTTTACCCATCTGATTCTTGTAAAGAGTCACAGCTCAATTCCTTGAATCCACAGTCATGGCTTCAAGTTGAGAGAGGGAAGCTATCTTCCTCTGCCTCTTCATCTGCGTAAGTTTCACTTTTCCTTCTTTCATGCGTATGTTCTTGTTGGTTATTGAGCTTCAGACGTTTTGTATATGGAGTAATATTTGGTCTTTTGTAGTCCACTATGCAGAGAATCGTTTATCAAAGTTCCTCAGCCGCAGATACTGCCGCATTATAAACCTGTCAACTACGTAGAAGTTCTAGCTCAGATTCACGAAGAACTCGAGACTTGCCCTTTGCAGGAGAGATCGATTCTGTATTTATTGCAGTATCAAGTGTTTAGAGGTCTTGGAGAGACCAAACTTAGACGGAGAAGCCTTCAGTCAGCTTGGCAAGAGGCTGCTACTGTCCATGAGAAAGTTGTGTTTGGGTCTTGGTTGAGGTATGAGAAACAAGGAGAAGAAGTTATCACTGATTTGCTTTCTTCTTGTGGTAAATTTTCTGAAGAATTTGTGCCGCTGGATATTGCATCCTATTTCCCTGCTATTACTGCTTCTTCCCCTGAGGCAGCATCTGTGAAGACCAAGCGCAGTGTATCGAAAAATGTTGTGTTTAAGATAGGAGAAGATAAGATAGCTTGCCAGAGGCAAAAAATTGCCAGTCTTTCAGCTCCATTTCATGCAATGCTTTATGGGAATTTCACGGAATCACTTCTTGATGAGATAGATATGTCAGAAAATCATGTATCCTCGTCAGCTATGCGGGTTGTTAGAGATTTCAGCGTTGTGGGTGTATTAATCGGAGTTTCCAAGAACCTTCTTTTGGAAGTTTTAGTTTTCGCAAACAAGTTTTGCTGCGAGCGACTCAAAGATGCATGCGATAGAGAATTGGCATCTTTGATTTCTTCTATGGAATGTGCCATTGAGCTTATGGACTTTGCACTCGAAGAAAATTCCCCCATCCTAGCTACATCGTGTCTGCAAGTTTTTCTTTATGAGATGCCCGATAGTTTGACTGATGAGCGTGTTGTCGAGGTTCTGACTCGAGTTAATAGATCTCAAGTCTCAACCATGGCAGGAAAAGCTTCATTCTCCTTATACTCTTGTTTAAGTGAAGTCTCGATGCGTATAGATCCTCGGTCTGACAAAACATTGGGTTTCTTGGAGAAACTAGTTGACTTTGCAGAAAATGACCGGCAACAAGTATTGGGGTTCCATCGGTTAGGGTGTATGAGGCTGTTGAGGAAAGAATACCGGGAGGCCGAAGAAGCTTTTGAATCAGCTTTTAATTTAGGCCATGTGTATTCTGCTACTGGTTTAGCAAGACTAGGATACATCCAAGGGCATCGGCTTTGGGCTTACGAGAAGCTAAGCTCGGTAATCTCCTCTGTTTCGCCACCTCTCGGGTGGATGTATCAGGAAAGGTCTTTCTATTGTGAGGGTGATAAGAAATTGGAAGATCTCGAGAAGGCAACCGAATTGGACCCGACTTTGACATATCCTTACATGTATAGAGCTGTCACTCTAATGTCGAAACAAAGTGCTAAGGCTGCGCTTGAAGAAATCAATCGGATCTTGGGGTTTAAACTTGCTTTAGAATGCTTAGAAATTCGGTTTTGTCTTTATCTTGGTATGGATGACTATGAAGCGGCTCTTCGTGATATTCAGGCGGCTCTTACTCTGTGTCCGGATTATCGAATGTTCGATGGGAAAGTAGCTGGGAGGCAGCTCCGGACGCTTGTGTATGAGCATGTCGAGAATTGGACGACTGCAGATTGTTGGATGCAGCTATATGAGAAATGGTCGAATGTTGATGATATAGGTTCTCTTTCAGTAATCTATCAGATGCTCGAATCCGATGCTTGCAAAGGTGTTCTTTACTTCAGGCAATCTTTGCTTCTGCTAAGGTGAATTTAATAATTCAGCACTCTCGTATTCATCCTTTAATATGGTTACCAAGCCGTAGTGGTGTTCAATTCGTATTTTTTTTCTTCAGGTTTTCAGTTTTTGAAATGATTGTAGCTAAAGTAAGACCGGTTTTAGTACGGTTTCAGTTGGAGTTCGGTATTTAATCAAATCTATAATTGATTTTAGAAAGCACAAGTTTTACACTGAATCTATCTGTTTTGGTTAAGAGTGTGGTATTAATCAAATATATAATTTGGTGACTTTAGTTATGTTTCTGATCTGTTTTATCCTAACAAGACCGTTATTTTAAGCATCTCATTCTCATACCTTTGTTTTGACCAGGTTGAATTGTCCCGAAGCAGCGATGCGTAGTTTACAGTTAGCCCGCGAGCATGCCTCGAGTGACCATGAGCGTCTAGTTTACGAAGGATGGATCTTGTATGATACAGGTCACTGCGAAGAAGGGCTTCAAAAGGCTAAGGAATCCATTAGAATAAAGAGATCATTCGAAGCTTATTTCCTCCAAGCTTATGCCTTAGCAGAATCTAGCCTCGATCCATCGAGTTCTTCGACTGTTGTTTCACTTCTTGAAGATGCTCTTAAATGCCCCTCTGATAGGTTGCGCAAAGGTCAGGTACGGTTGTTCACCATCATCAGTACATCTATTTGTTTATCAGTGAAGAAAAAAACTATGTTACAGGTTTATTGGAATTGGTTGCAATAAGCTCTGTTTTGGATCGGTTTTGTCAGTATTAGCCAATTATGTTACTGCCTGATTTTTGTGAAATGTCCACTTTGGTTTTGTTTTAAATATATTTGGCTTGAGTCGATTTTGTTTTTATGTTTATGCTCAGGCGAATAGATGCATCCGATATAATCTATGAAAATGCTATTTGTTTTTGTTTTGTTTTAGGCTCTGAACAATCTTGGGAGCGTCTATGTCGATTGTGAGAAGCTAGACTTAGCTGCGGATTGCTATATAAACGCTCTTAAGGTGAGGCACACGCGTGCACACCAAGGCCTAGCTCGTGTCCATTTCCTTAGAAATGACAAAGCCGCAGCCTACGAAGAAATGACCAGACTAATCGAAAAGGCTCAAAACAACGCATCCGCCTATGAGAAAAGATCCGAGTATTGTGATCGTGAACTCGCCAAATCTGATCTTGAAATGGTCACCCGGTTAGACCCTCTCCGGGTTTATCCTTATCGATATCGCGCTGCAGGTTTTTCTTCACTTGTAACCCTTATACACTTTTTTTTTCGTTATCTCGGAAAATAATTGGCTTAACCGAAACTCGATTTTTCGTTATTTTTTTCTGGGTTTTTGATAGTGTTGATGGATAGTCGGAAGGAGAGAGAGGCTATTGCGGAGTTATCCCGAGCTATCGCGTTTAAAGCGGATCTTCATCTTCTTCACTTAAGAGCGGCTTTCCACGAGCACATTGGTGATGTCACGAGTGCGTTGCGGGACTGTCGTGCAGCACTCTCAGTCGACCCCAACCATCAGGAGATGCTCGAACTCCATAGCCGTGTTAATAGCCATGAACCTTGAACCGCAACCACACACAACACAGAGCTTCGAGATGAAAGTAAAGTGTGAAAATTGTAATACTAAAAGAATCATAGTTGGAACTTGTAATCTCTTGTCACTCTTTATTCTTTGTTGTTTGTTGTCTTCAGTAAATCGATTTTATATTTTCTCCTTTCGACCTAAACTTAAAATTTCACTGGGCCTAAAACGTGAACTTGATATAAAACTTAAGACAGAAAGTAATTAAAATGGGGGTCACTAGCAGAAGCACACTTTGCGATCACTAGCAGAAGCTACACAAATTATCATATATGAGACCACATGATCGCAAAGCACAAAATCAACTAAAAACTGGTCCACCGTTAGTGATGATCGTTAGTTCACAAGTCATTCTATTTTAGACTGGTTTCAACAATGTTATTTCTGCATATTCACTTAAAATTTTGCTATGAATAGAGGTGTTAGACCGGTCCGCGATGGACATTATTTTTTTGTTAGACTGCGATGAGACAGTTTATTAGTTCTCTTTCTTCTAAATGAGTAGGTTCTGCTTCTGCATGCGATGAATCACCTATATCATATCAACCTGAATACTTTACCAAATGGTTTAATTGCGGACGATCGATATACAAATGACAGAGATGAATTAACGCAATTTGTTACTAGAGTTCGAGTAATCCTCAAATGATCTAGTTTGTTCCCTTCTCTTGTACTCAAAAGTATACATTCCTTCGCTTTATTGGTTACAAGAATTCGAATATTCATGTATAATTATATCTTGTATAGATTATACATTTAAGAATATTTCACAATTCAAAAAAGCCTTTTTGAAAAGAAAAAAAAAATTAAAAAGAAGAATATTCGATGTTGCATGGTTTTAGTTACGCTCGTGTCTCATGATGGTCACACGTTTTTCTTAGCCCAAAGGAATCCCATCATAAACTGAAATTTACTAAAACAGACACGCCTAATCCTATTTCAATGAATCTAATGGACACGTACAAAGACACGTCTAGGGACAAAATCGGCTTAACAAAATCTTTGTGTTTTGATTGGAATATTTTTATAGAAAATTTCAAGAGATAAAAAGTTAAAGAACGGATGAAAGAGTGCGAAAAATTCTTGTTGGTGGGGTAAGTATTTTCTTTTTTGGACATGAACACTTTTCAAAGGATATTAGAGAATATTAATCAAAAACTTAAAAAGGTAAACTAAAAAAAAAAGAGGAAGATAGCACAAAGTCATCCACAAGAGTAAATCATAGGAAGACGAAACAAAAATTCAACAAAGTAACATATTCCATTTTGATATTCAAAGCCAAAATGCTTTAAGAGCATTGGTTGCTTTGTATATCCATTGTGTGTATGTATTTTTCTCCCCTACAATTCTCTATTATCTTTGTGTGAGTGATCCAAACTTAAGTTCGGCTAGGAGGTATGGAGGATGTTGAGTTCATGTTTCGGAATTTAAACTTAAAGTAGATAAATACACAATAAAATTGTTTAATTCTTCTTTCGAACGAGATAGTTTTAAACCTAGAATTCGTTTTCTTAAAAAAAATCTTTGTAAGATTGTTTGATGAATCTTTGAAATTTATATTGTTTCAGAGAAAAAAATTCAAGTTATAAAATATTGGAGCAAATCTAATTGATTTATTTCATAGCTTATGATAAGTTTCATTCAAATCAGTGTGCCTTTTAAAAAATTTTTGGGTATCTTATAAGAGAAACTATGAGGAAAAAGGAGATAAAGTTTTAGCAGCCTTAGTAGAAGAAAGAAAGTAACATCACTCAAATTCATAATAACACCACAAGTAAAATAAAAATAATATTTAAAGACGAATTTAGAAGAAAGTTATAGTTTTTTTTACATGAAATAAAATCGAACTAGTAAAAGAGCACAATTGAACAATAAGTCAAACAATTTCATCTTGGAAACTTAATTTTCCAGTATATAGTTTCCTATTAGGTATTCCTCAATGGTTATATTACTAAATATAGTTCTTCTATTATAAGAACAACGTTTATTTTGGCTAAGTAATTGTGTTTTAGATTCTCTTACAAACTAAAACATGACAAAAAAACGTTCCCTTTATTCAAAACCCAATAAATTGAAAAGAGGCACTTTTCTTGATAAAAAGTAATTATTACTTCCATTTAAGGAAATTAGGCCTGTTAAGTCTCATCTCACAATATTTTCCATTAATTGCACAAATTGATAGCTTACTTTTTTTTTTTTTTTTGCTTTCTGGGTCTACTCTTCTTTTTAGTAGACAATTTTAAGTAAATGCTTATAGTCTGGTCATGTAATCATCACTCTTCTCTGTAATGCAGAACACTTAAAAAATAACATAAAAATAATCACAGTACTCTCTCTTTCAACATAAAAACAAAATAAAACCCAGGAAATAAAAGAATAAACAGTTAAAAAAACATTTGAAAAGAAAGTCAAAGTCTCACTTTCAAACCCAATCTCTCTCTCTCTTCTGTGGTATTTATCTGCACATAGAAAACTATAATACAAAAATGGGAATCAAACAGTCTTTGCATTTATTGTAAGCACACACATATATGTATATGATAGTGACATTGGAGAATAATCCATCATGGTCGTCCTCTTGCTTTTGAGACTATACATATACATGTGAATTATACATACTCAAGAAACTAAATTATTAATTTTTGTTTTCTTCAATATATAGCCAAAGAATGATGTCTTTCTGTGTACACTTACTTCTTACTCTCTAGGTACTTGCATCAAAGTTCCTTATTTTAAGAGATCAGATTAAACCAAAGTTCAGATCTTTTTATAGTTTTCTTCCAAGTTTTGTTTTTGTTTTTTCTTTGGTTGGAGTTTTCTTCTTCATATAGCTAGCCATGGAAATGTTTTCATCATCTCGTTCCTTGTCCTATAAACTAAGCTCTTTGTCTACTGAAGCAAGTGCTTCTTCTGGTAACAACACACTCAGTACCATCCAAGAATTCAGTGGCTTTAACAATGTGATTTCTAGTGTTTGTACACACACAGAGACTCACAAGACTAAGAAAAGGAGAGGCCTTCCTGGCAATCCTGGTAAGAAAATACTTCATTTCATTTAGATTCTTGAAAACCAATTGAATCCGGATACTGTTTTCATCTGGTTTTTGATTCCTGGTAGAATCTTGGAACCTTCACTTTTTTTCATATGGGTTTTTGAGTACTAGCTAGTAGAATCTGTTAACTTTTCATATGGGTTATTTTATTACTAGAAGAATCTAGGAACTTTTTCATATGGGTTTTGCACAAAAGTCTTCCTTTTTTTTTTTGTATAATTAGGGTTTGTAAGAATATCATCTTTATACCAAGATTATGTGTTTGAGACTTTTTTTCATGTGAAACTGGTTTATTAAATGGCAGATCCAGATGCAGAGGTGATAGCATTATCACCAAAGACACTTCTTGCAACAAACAGATTCGTTTGTGAGATATGCAACAAAGGGTTTCAAAGAGATCAGAATCTACAGCTTCACAGGAGAGGCCACAATCTTCCATGGAAGCTGAAACAGAAGAACAGCAAAGAACAACAAAAGAAGAAAGTTTATGTCTGCCCAGAGACAAACTGTGTTCATCATCATCCATCTAGAGCTCTTGGTGATCTCACAGGGATCAAGAAACACTTTTGCAGGAAACATGGAGAGAAGAAATGGAAATGTGAAAAGTGTTCAAAGTTCTATGCTGTTCAATCTGATTGGAAAGCTCATACCAAGATCTGTGGTACAAGAGAGTATAGATGTGACTGTGGCACTCTTTTCTCGAGGTAAGTCTTTTTAAATTTCATTATTTTTTTTTTGTTTCTTCTTATGTGAAGATCTTTCTTGTTCCTTGTTATCGTTTTCTTGATGTTTTTACTGATGTTTCTGTGACAAATCTAAATTATTGTCTATCTATATAGAGATAGGAGTCCATAATTTTTCTTCTGAGTAGTTTGATATATATAGATGAATTTAATGCTTTCGTGTGACTGATTTCAATTGTCTTCTTTTGGTTATGTTCTTTGACAAATCTGCTAGTGTCTGTCCATGGAATATAGTTCGATTGCAATTAAATGCAGTGGCAAAATTCATGGATTAATTAAGACATTATATTTACTTTTTTTTCATCAGACATTATATTTACATGTTGGCCATTAATGCGTGTATAATAGTAAAAAATAATGTATAAGTCCATAAGTAGATTCATCACATAAATCAATTTACACTTTTTTAGAGCTCATGTGTATGTATTTTTGTAATATGAATCAATTTTTGTCCGACAAAAAATGGTTTTTTTTTTTATCGCTTTCTTATTGTATGTAAAATTTGTATTGCGTTAATGAGGAGGTAAAAAGAAGCCTGCAGGTGAATCTTCTCCTTCATCATCATAATGTTGAAAAAGAATCTTGATTTGATTTATATTTATTTTTGTAAAAAAAAATTGCATTGGTCCATCATTACATAATAGGCTTCAAAAGCTTTTCTTTGAATTTTGAAACTTCTATCTCTCTGTATGGTCCACTTCAATCTATTTCACTTGCAATTGCATCATTATTGATCATACATTCATAAATTGTTATAACATCTCAACCATTAACTGTTTATCGACTACATATCTAATATTTGTTTATTTTTGTGATATACTTTTATTAACAGGAAAGACAGTTTCATAACGCATAGAGCGTTTTGTGATGCATTAGCAGAAGAAAGTGCAAGAATCCACTCAACTTCTTCCTCCAATCTCACAAACCCTAACCCTATTTTCCACGACCATCATCACTTTATGGTCAACAAATCTTCTTCCTTCCTCTTCACGTCATCACCTCTTTACAACGAACCATCACATTCCACGGCCGCTCTTTCGACGTCTTCCACGGCAGCTCTTTCCGCGACGGCTCTCCTCCAAAAGGCCACCGCTCTCAGCTCCTCCTCCACTTTGGGCGGCGGAGGACAGACTCGATCAATTGGTCATCACCGACATTTAACGACGGTCAACGAGCTTCTTGGTGTTGATCGTGTCATGGTGACGTCATCTTCTTCGTCTGAGTACGACCAGCTAGTTGTTGATGGGTTAACGTCCACGTGGCAGAAAGCTGACCGTTTGACCAGAGACTTTCTTGGACTCACGGGTCATGGAATGCACGTTAGCGTGAGACCCGGTGATATGCTAGAGTACGCAGGTGGAGTGGCGTTTCCTATGTCGGCGTACGATACCGAATCTCATCATCACTCGTTTCAGAAGGCTTACGATCATCTGGGATTCTCAGGGCCCCATCGTATGTAAAAGGGCAAAACTGGAATCTTATTACTTTCTTTATTTTGTTGCTCTAAAATTACTTAAATACCCTCGTGAACAAAAAAAAAAAGACAAAGAGCATTTCTTTTTGGTTTATCTTTCTAGGGATTATTGTTTTTCTAATTGTTACACCTTTGGAATTTGGATTTTCTAGTAAATTATATATTTTCAATTTTAAAACATTAAAACTGCACTTCTCTAGGGATTGACGAATGTGTCCTCTCAAAGCCAGCTTCTTTGATTGTGATAGATACTATACAACTTCATCATATCCATGTACATGTAATATGCACTTGTTGAAGATATATATAAAACATATAATTCGTCGTCAATCTTATACACATTGAGAAATACGTAGTTATTGCTAGTATATGGGTCGAGATTCATCATTAACTCAAACTTGGCAATAGGTGGCGACAAAAATATTTATTGTTGTTAACAAGTTTCTATCGTAATCACTAATCAGTGACAAGGATCTTGTATTATTGATGGTCATTTATGTTGCCACTACGGCATTAGCAACGAACAACAACATGCATGTATCATTTTCATAATTTCATTGCATACTGTGATGAATAGTCGTTATACCCATCACATTTTTTTTTTTTTTGTTAAAATACCCATAACAATTTAGTGACAAATCATTACAAACTTATCAATGCATTTTTAATAACGACGGTTTACGTACGTATCTAATCAAAAGGAATTTTGTAACACCTAAAGAAGGAGGGTGAGGAGGAATCAAATAAAAAAGATATAAAACTACGAGGAATAATATAAAGTAGAAAAGATTAAAGAAACGAATTAGGTCAAAGAGCTTGTTGATGAGGACACGCATGAACATGCGAACACTTTAAACCAAAAACGAAAACAAAAACAAGAACAAGAACATGCGACCACTAAAAAGTTAAAAAGATAAATTAAAAGAACATTGTTAACGGCATCAATATAGTTTCCTTTTATGTTTTTACGAGCTCTTAGTCCCCATTCTATACAATTTCTTTTTGCTTTGCTTTTTTTTTTGTGGCTTGTGATTGGAAATTGTAGGTTGATATAAAATGTACAATTCCCTTTCTTTGCTTGAACATTCAGACATATTAAATATCTCTAGAGTACGTATTATTTGGTTTGGCTGATATATAAATGATCATGACTTGCATGCAATACTGTTATGATCATTTTGCATTATCTAAAACGTCACTGCTTAGATGGTTATATGGTCGGAAATTCTCTTGCGACATGCTCCATTGGTTTGACGGTGTTAAGATCCATATTTGACGCTATTTCAAATCGTTATGCATGTAATTTCTTAATAGTAATATGACTTAAATTACGTCTAGATGGACCCAAATTGTAATTTAAAAAGTAACGGGGTTAGAATATGAAATAGAAACATTTCAGGGGCAATAATAAAAAAACAATTCGGAACGTTATTAATTGAGTTTAAATATCTATTTTAGGGAAATTAATTAACGAAAATCGCGTGAGTGAGGGAGAAAGTGAGACGACTTTGACTCTATGTTTGAAGCGAGAAACAAGGCGCGGAGAAACGAAGACGAAGAAGAAGAACACAGCACAATATCACAAAAACCAGACGACGAAATTGTTAAATTCTTTCGTTAATCGATCAAATGAAATAGTTTTCTTCTCCGTAAATTGTTCGCTAAAATCTCGATTTTCTGCGTTCTCCTGTCAAAATCTGTTTCCGCATTCTTCTCAGATTATCAAGGAGGAATGAGAAATTAAATTGGTGGTTGTGGTGTGAATCGCGTTAATCGCAATTTGGATCTCAGATTTTGTTCTTGCGACCAAACCCTAATCGAGAGTTTTGATGCCTGGGTTGTTGTTCGTCTTAATTGATTCCGTTTCCTCATTGTTTGATCGAAGAATCGGGTTGATTTCTGAGCCCCGACTCGGATCTAGGTCGTATCGAACCGAGTCAGGAGTGGTTATCGGATGAATGTATCTGGAAACGAAACTGTGGAACGATGATGAAATGGGGAACATTGCTTAAGGACTTGAAGGATAAGGTTGGAGTAGCTGAAACAACCGGCGAGTTAATCGCCGGAGACTCCGTCAGTGACCCCACTACTCCACCGTCCTCTTCCCTAGCTGCTTCTTCGTCCTCTAGTTACGCTGCCTCAGCTCAACATGACTTCAATTTATTATCTCCTTCAAGGTATTTTACTTTTAAGCTTCTTCCAATACTTTGTAGTATGTAGGGCAAAGGAATTGAGAAAGCAATTTAGTTAATTAGTTTTGTCAAGGAAATTTATTATGTGCACTTTGACTGATCAATGTTGGTATAAGTAACCAATAATTCTCCTATTTACTCCTTCAAAAGCCGAGATAAACTTAAGTTGGAACTGGACTTCAAGAGATACTGGGAAGAGTTCCGTTCATCAAGCTCTGAGCAGGTTCGTGTGCAAGCTTTTAGCATGTGTAACTTTGTGTTATGTACAATCATTTCTATTGTGTTCAGATAAAAACTACTGGAAATCACTACTGCTAATCATTCATATATGTCACAGCAGGAGAAAGAAGCCGCCTTGAATCTTAGTGTCAATACGTTTTGTAGACTAGTGAAGCAGCATGCTAACGTAGATCAGTTAGTTACCATGTAAGCCATTTCTAACTCTCTCTTTTTCTATTTGTATGGATTCATATTAAGCTAGTCTTAGCCTTGGCAAGGGAAAATTTGATAAATGTCTCTGACTCTCCACGCTTTTATAAAGGGATTGCATATTTCCTATCTTGAATTGAACGTTCTTCTTCGTTAGAGTGTCTTCTGTACTTTTTTTCCTGCCCAGATATCTGATATGAGATTATCAACCATATTGAGAATTTAATTTCAATTTCAGGTTAGTAGAACCACATATATTCTCTTTCGTCATTGGGAGAGCATTTGTGGCAGATGTTGAAAAGTTAAAAATTTGCAGCAAGACAAGGTCATTAGATGTAGAGAAATTAATAAAGTTTTTTTCTGAAGTCACCGAGGTCTGCCTTTCCTTCCCAGTACAGTGAATCAGGATATGTTACCTTCTCTTCTTTGTTTATCATGATTTTGTTGTTTCCCGCAGGAGGGTTTAAGTCATGGTGCAAACCTTTTAACTGCTATTGGAGTCCTTGCATCTGGGGTACCTTTTTGACTTTTACATGTCTTCCAGTTTTTCTGTTAGTTAAATATACAAAGCTCAACTATGAGTTTTGACTGTTTACCAATTTTTATTATTGAGATCTAATATCTGATAGCTAACTGGTAGTTATTCACTTATTCTCACATGGTTTTTGGAGGCCGTGGAAAACCTTTCAGGGTGATGGCTCTTTGATGGCTTATATGATAAATACTGTATTGGTTTATATACTCAACCTTTTATGTGTTTTCTTTTCAGCCTTTCGACAAACAATCTCTACTGGATTCTGGGATATTATGTTGTTTAATACACACTCTCAATGCGTTTCTCACATATAGTGTAGCCAGTGAAGGTGAAAAAACTGAAAAGGTAAATATGGGAGATGTAGTACTTTCCAAGTTAGACACTTGAGGTTCTGTTTCAATGGTTTTATTCAGAATCATGTTTAACACATTTTTTCTACAATATAACTGTTTCATGCTAGCCAAAGTTTACACTCTGAAATGCCTTATCTGTTGAGACTTTAACGCATCCTCATTCTTGCAGGTTGAGGGGAGTGTTGTCCATATCATGAAAGCATTGGCAAGCCATCCTTCTGCTGCACAGAGTTTGATTGAAGATGACTCCCTTCAGCTGCTTTTCAATATGGTTGCCAATGGTTCTCTCATGGCTTTCTCTCGATATAAAGAAGGCCTGGTTTCATCCCATAACATACAGCTTCACATACATGCAATGCAGGTAATTTTTTACTCACCTGTTCTACAAATCGAGCAATGAGCAATGTGTTTTGAAACTGAAACAGCTGTGAACTGCTCTGTAGCATGACCATGAAACTTGAGCGAATGTTGTGATGCTTAAAGTTCCATTTGTGATTCCCTTTCGCGTCTCTTTCAGATTCTTGGGCTTCTTCTTGTCAATGACAATGGTAGCACGGCAAGCTACATACGCAAACACCATCTGGTATGCCATTGGATTTTGTAGAAAGCCTCACTGTAGAATATCAATTCTTGTGTGTTTTATGCTAATGTTCAAGCTATCTGAGGTCTCCCGTGATAAATAATTTGGTTTTCAGGAGACTAATGTTAATTTACTTGAAGAGTATGAGACTAAAGCTAATGATAAGTATTGGTTTTGTGCATATACTCTTGTTTGTCACAATCTCAGCATTGCCATATGATAGCTGCAATCTGGTGTTTAAAAGGTTTCTTTTTTGATGCTTACAGTAATGTTCAAATTTTTTGACAGATTTTGTAAGAATGCTTGTCCTTGGTTTGTGAACTTAAGATCTATGTTAGGAAGCTAGATCCCTAGGAAAACTTCTGCAGATAGATTTTGTAACTAAGGACAACTATTTGGATTCTGTTCAGCGTGAAAAAACTATGCACCTATTATTTGTTTCTGCTAAAAATGAACGGTGCTTTTTAAAACAAAATTCTGGCACAAGTTAGTGGTATGACTGGTTCCTCTGTTTCGACACTTCCGAACTAATTTTTTTGCTGAGTTCATCTGCAGATAAAAGTTCTTCTAATGGCTGTCAAAGAATTTGATCCGGATTGTGGGGACTCTGCTTATACAATGGGCATTGTGGATTTGTTACTTGAATGTGTGGAACTTTCATACAGACCTGGTAATTTCGCTTAAAATACATAAGAACTCAAAATATGTCAATGCCTGTGGAGAGTAAAACTATTCGGTAGTCACCTTTTCACTTTTGGGTTGGTAAAATGCTCTGATTATGGTTGCTAACTTTTTCAAATTTTGACTAATGTAGAAACTGGTGGAGTCAGGCTAAAAGAGGACATACGAAATGCACATGGTTACCATTTCCTTGTACAGTTTGCCCTGATTCTATCTTCCATGCCAAAAGACATTGTTTTTTGCGTTCAATCATTCATCTCCACCCAAAAATAGCGGTTCCGATGACTCTGAAAAACAGCCACCCCTCTCATTGAATAGTAGGCAAAATGATGAGTTTGCTTCAAAAAATTTCTCCCCTTCACTTTCCAGATTGCTTGATGTTCTTGTCACCTTGGCTCAGACTGGTCCCATTGAGTCATCTGGAACAAGTACATCACTATTGTCCAACGCTAAGCCCACTGGGTATAGCAGAAGTCAAACACCATCTGGTAACAGTCAGTATGATGACGCATGGGAACAGGGAAGTGGTAAAGTTAAAGACCTTGAAGCTGTCCAAATGTTGCAAGACATCTTTCTGAAAGCAGAGAACAAGGATCTTCAGGCTGAAGTGTTAAACCGAATGTTCAAGATATTCACGAGCCATTTGGAAAACTATAGAATGTGCCAAGAATTAAGGACAGTTCCACTTCTCGTGCTGAACATGGGTGGTTTTCCTTCCTCACTGCAAGAGTTAATCCTCAAAATTCTTGAATATGCTGTCACAGTTGTAAATTGTGTTCCAGAGCAAGAACTATTGTCACTTTGTTTCTTGTTGCAACAGCCAATCAATTCTGAGTTGAAGCATACCATACTTTCTTTCTTTGTAAAGCTCACATCTTTTGATCAACAGTACAAGAAAGTCCTAGGTGAAGTTGGTGTTTTGGAAGTCTTACAAGATGATCTGAAGCAGCACAAGCTTCTCAGGGGTCCAGATCAGTATAGTGGAGTTTCTAATCATTTGGAACGGGTACCTAGCTCACCTAGCTTCAAACAACACCTGGATAATAAGGATGCCATCATTTCATCACCAAAGCTGATGGAATCTGGTTCAGGAAACTTACCTATCTTTGAAGTTGAAAGAACTATAACTGTTGGTTGGGATTGTATGATCTCATTACTAAAGAAATCTGAAGCTAATCAGGAAGCTTTTCGTTCTGCCAATGGCGTGACTATTATTCTTCCCTTCTTGATATCTGATGAACATCGTACCAGTGTGTTGAGGATTTTGTCATTATTAATCACAGAAGACATTAAACAGGTAAGTCTACATCCAAGGAACATGTAGCTTGGTTATTTATATATTACAGTGTATCTTCTTGTTTCTCTGATCAACAAAGTCAAATTCTATTAGCTTGGCAAGGCTTTTTATTCTTTAGATCATGCCGCCACTATTGAGGTTTCTGTTGCTGAAGTATCATAAATCCTTGAGTTTTTGTAAAGGGTAAATCGTATCTTACCCATTGTCCAACCAGGTCCATCATGAAGAGTTAGAAGCTGTTATCGATGTGTTGAAGAGTGGAATGGTCACCCGAGTCTCTGGACATCAATACAAGCTTCACTATGAAGCCAGATGTGATATCATGGGTGCTCTGTGGCGTATTATTGGGGTTAATGGCTCTGCTCAAAGAGTCTTTGGTGAAGCCACCGGTTTCTCTCTTCTATTGACCACCCTTCATACGTTCCAAGGGGAAGAAGAGTGTAGGGATGAGTCTCATTTGATGGTTTACATCAAATTGTTCAAACATCTATTGCGTCTCATGACAACTGCAGTCTGTGAGAATGCTATCAATAGGATGAAACTGCACAGTGTCATTACATCTCAGACATTTTATGATCTTCTGGTGGAGTCTGGTTTGCTGTGTGTTGATCTTGAAAGACAGGTGATACAACTGCTGTTAGAACTTGCACTTGAAATTTTGCTTCCACCGTTTTTGACATCAGAATCTATGGCATCAGCGGAGACGGCAGAAAGTGAAAAAGCAAGCTTTCTTGTAAAAACCCCGTCTGGCCAATTTAATCCTGACAAGCAGAAGATCTATAATGCAGGTGCTGTTAGAGTTGTGATCCGTTCACTGTTGCTTTTTACTCCAAAAAAGCAGTTGGAATTTCTGAATCTTCTAGAAAGGCTTGCACGTGCCAGCCCATTCAACCAGGAAAACCTCACGTCAGCTGGTAAGAACTTTGTCTTAGTGTTCCCCTTGGGCTCATTATTATTGGCTAAGTAAACTTTTAAATCATATCATTGCTGTTTATCTCTTCTTCACTCTTGTTGCCTTTCTCTCTTAATGAATTATAATGGAGCAGGTTGCGTAGAACTCCTGCTAGAGATTATCCACCCCTTTCTTCCGGGTTCATCCCCATTTCTTTCTCATGCTTTAAAGATTGTTGAAGTTCTTGGGGCGTATAGGTAGTCGACGAAAGCTAAAATTTTATAATACATAGTCTTAAAGTGATTACGTTTGTTCGTAGACTGATCTTACTCAAAATACGGTCTTATTCTGGTGCAGATTGTCTCCATCCGAGCTCAAAATGCTGTGTCGATATGTCATGCAAATGAGGGTTATGAATTCGGGCCCCTCACTAGTTGGTATGATGGAAAAGCTAATTCTCATGGAAGACATAGGATTGGAACATGTTTCCCTGGCTCCTTTTGTAGAAATGGACATGAGCAAAACTGGGCATGCTTCTGTTCAGGTGTCCCTGGGAGAAAGATCTTGGCCTCCTGCTGCTGGTTATTCATTTGTTTGCTGGTTCCAGTTTCGTAATTTTTTGACAACCCAAGGAAAAGAATCAGAAGTCTATAAAGCTGGTGGTTCATCAAAGACGCCCATTTTGAGTGGGCAGCAAAGTGATCAAAATGTTTTCCGGATATTTTCTGTTAATGCCATAAGTAATGAAAGTCCATCCTATGCAGAACTTTATTTTCAAGAAGATGGTATTCTGACCCTTGCCACTAGCAATTCAAATTCTTTGTCATTTTCTGGATTAGAAACTGAGGAGGGCAAGTGGCATCACCTCGCTGTTGTTCATAGTAAGCCGAGTGCTCTTGCTGGACTCTTTCAGGCTAGCGTTGCTTATGTTTATATTGATGGAAAACTAAGGCACATGGGTAAACTGGGGTATTCCCCTTCACCTGTTGGAAAATCTTTGCAAGTAATAATTGGAACTCCAGCTACTTGTGCCAGGGTTAGCAATTTGACATGGAAATTACGCTCATGTTATCTCTTTGAGGAGGTGCTCACGTCAGGCTGCATTGGTTTCATGTACATTATCGGTAGAGGGTATACAGGTCTTTTTCAGGATGCATATCTCTTACGTTTCGTGCCTAATCAGGCTTGTGGTGGGGGAAGCATGGCTATCCTTGATTTGTTAGACACTGACATGTCGTCATCGTCTAGTATCCAAAAATTTGACGACAGTAATAGACAAGGGGATTTTAAGGCACATGGTAGTGGGATTGTATGGGATCTCGAGAGGTTAGGAAATCTTTCAATTCAGTTACCTGGTAAGAAACTTATTTTGGCATTTGATGGAACATGCTCAGAGTTCATGCGAGCGACTGGAAGTTTTTCCCTCCTCAATCTTGTTGACCCATTGTCCGCTGCTGCCTCTCTTATTGGAGGTATACAACAATCATATGTAATTTCGTTCATGTTTGACCTTTTTAGTTAGTTTTAGTTTCAGTTTTGCTTCATTCTACGTTTCTCAATTATATAGGAATACCGCGTTTCGGGCGCCTGGTGGGAAATGTGAGTATCTGCAGACAAAATGTGATTGGCAATAGTATCCGCCCTGTGGGAGGAATGGCTGTTGTACTTGCACTTGTTGAGGCTGCCGAATCTAGAGATATGCTACATATGGCTCTTTCATTGCTTGCCTGTGCGCTTCATCAGAATTCCCAGAATGTAAAGGATATGGAAACATACAGAGGCTATCACTTACTAGCTCTGTTTTTACGTCCCAAGATGACGCTCTTTGACATGCAATGTTTGGAGATATTTTTCCAAATTTCTGCATGTGAAGCTTTCTTTTCAGAGCCAAAGAAGTTGGAGAGTGGACAAAGTACTATTAGCATGTCACCTACGGAGATTATACCTGAAAACAACTATGAGGATCCTAGTCTGTCAAAGTTTCAATATGAAACTTCTTCAGTTGGATCTCATGGAGATATGGATGATTTTTCGGGGCCCAAAGATTCCTTTAGTCATTTGTCTGAGCTTGAAATGGGAGATAGTGTTGAAACTTCGAACTGCATTGTCTTATCCGATGCAGATATGGTGGAACATGTCCTCCTGGACTGGACCCTCTGGGTGACAGCCCCTGTTTCCATTCAGATCGCCTTACTTGGCTTTCTAGAGAATCTCATCTCAATGCTCTGGTACAGGAGTCACAATCTTACAATTCTGCGTCGAATCAATCTGGTGAAACATTTGTTAGTAACACTTCAACGAGGGGATGTGGAAGTTCTTGTCCTAGAAAAATTAGTTATTCTTCTTGGATGCATCTTAGAAGACATGTTCCTTACTTCTGAGCTTGAAGATGTGGTTAGGTTTGTGATTATGACATTTAATCCACCTGAAATAAAGTCACGAAACTCATCAATGCGCGAGTCAATGGGAAAGCATGTTATTGTGAGAAATTTGGTTTTGGAAATGCTTATTGATCTCCAGGTAACCATAAAAGCAGAAGAACTGCTGGAGCAGTGGCATAAGATAGTTTCATCAAAATTAATAACGTACTTCCTTGATGGAGCTGTGCATCCTAGTAGTATGAGATGGATTATGACTCTTCTCGGTGTTTGTCTTACTTCTTCCCCAAACTTTTCTCTTAAATTTTTTGCAAGTGGAGGTTATCAGGGGCTGGTACGGGTACTTCAAAGCTTTTATGATTCTCCAGACATATATTACATTTTGTTCTGTTTGATTTTCGGAAAACCTGTTTATCCAAGACTACCAGAGGTCCGAATGTTAGACTTTCATGCACTAATGCCGGATGATGGAAGCCATGTGGAGTTGAAGTTTGTAGATCTGTTGGATTCAGTGGTTGCCATGGCTAAATCTACTTTTGACAGATTGATCATGCAATCAATGCTTGCCCACCAGTCTGGGAACCTTTCACAGGTGAGCGCTAGCCTTGTAGCTGAGCTTGTAGAGGGCAATACAGATATGACTGGAGAGCTTCAAGGAGAAGCTTTAATGCATAAAACATATGCGGCACGGTTGATGGGTGGTGAAGCATCAGCTCCTGCCACTGCAACGTCTGTTATCCGTTTCATGGTTGATCTAGCAAAGATGTGCCCTCAATTTTCAGCTGTTTGCAGAAGCACAGAATTTCTCCAAAAGTGTGCTGATCTTTACTTTTCTTGTGTCAGGTTTGCATCATATGCCTTTTGCATAAATGTACATTTTTCAGTACCACATACTAAACATAGATATTTACATTCAGGATTCAAATTATTTTCTGCGTCCCTTTTATATAGTCGTGGCATAGATACATTGGAGACCGTATTTTTTTCCACTAATCATCTATTCCTGCATATGTCAGAAGGTCCTAGATAAGACCAGGGTTTTTTTTTTGTAGTTACTGTGAGCTGCAAGATGTTTTGCAAATCTTGACCAAAAGCTGGGTCGTGTTGCAGGGCTTCTCATGCTGTTAAGATGGCCAAACAGCTCTCCATGAAAGCAGAGGAGCAGAATATAAGTGGTGGTGATGATAGCAGCGCAGAAGGGACTTTCTGTAGATTGCCTCACCAGGACCAGTCCACAAAAACCTCCATCAGTGCTGGAAGCTTCCCTCAAGAGCAGGCCAGTGTGAGTTCTGAAGACATGTCTTTCCCTTCGGATTATGTGGCTGTTGATAAGGTGGAGAACATTCTTACAACACCGCCAGGAGAATCAAACAAATCATTTCAAGGTCGTGAATATGTTATGAAACAAGATGGTGATCATGTTGGCCCTGTGTCAGCCTCCAGTGAAAGGAAATCTCTAGATCTTACAGGTAGTTTAAGTCAAGTTCAGCCAATAGATTCTCAAAGTTCTGAATCTTTCTCGATGCTAGAATCTCCTCTTTTGTCTGAAAAATCAAGTCTCGAAGTTCCATTCATTCCATCCCCATCTCCGGCTGCATCCTGGCTAGGCTCGAACTGTAATGAATTAAAAAGTTCTACAATTTCCACTCCTCATCCGTCGCATATCTCAGTTAGTGAATTTGATGCATCTTCAGATCAATCATCAGGTTCACAAGGTTCATCTGCTGCCCATACATTATTTAAAATTAGCCCAAAAGTTCTCCTCGAAACTGATGAGTCTGGGTATGGTGGTGGGCCGTGTTCTTCTGGAGCAAGTGCGGTGTTAGATTTTATGGCAGAGGTATATGCTGACATAATGACTGATCAGATCAAAGCAGTACAGGCTTTGGAAAGCATTTTAGAAATGCTTCCTTTATATGTGGATCCTGAATGTGTTCTAGTATTTCAAGGCTTATGCCTTAGCAGAGTCTTGAACTATCTTGAAAGGCGTTTCTTGCGTGATGATGAAGAGGATGACAAAAAACTAGACAAAAGAAAATGGTCTGCAAACTTGGATGCATTTTGCTGGTTGATTGTGGATCGTGTCTATATGGGCGCTTTTCCTCAACCAACTGGAGTCCTTAGAACCCTTGAATTTTTGTTATCAATCCTGCAATTGGCTAATAAAGATGGTAGGGTTGAAGAAGTCACTTCTTCAGGGAAGGGTTTGTTGTCCATTGGAAGAGCAACCAGGCAACTAGATGCTTATGTGCACTCAATCCTGAAGAACACAAATAGAACAATACTATATTGTTTCCTACCATCGTTCTTGATAACTATTGGAGAGGAGGACCTACCATCACGTCTGGGCTTGCTTGCTGAATCTACCAAGAAGCAAACTTCAAAGTTAAGTGTCGAGGAATCTGGAATTGATATCTCAGCAGTTCTTCAATTGTTGGTAGCAAACAAGAATATCATATTATGCCCAAGCAATCTTGATACAGATTTGAATTGCTGTCTGTGTGTGAATTTAATCTCTCTACTCCATGACCAGAGAAAGAATGTGCAAAACATGGCATCTAATATAATCAAATATTTGCTGGTTCACCGAAAATCTGCTTTGGAGGATTTGCTTGTCCAAAAACCACACCGAGGACAAAAATTTGATGTACTACACGGGGGTTTTGATAGATTGCTGACTGGAAATCTTCCAGAATTCTCTAAGTGGCTGGAGAGCTCCGAACAAATTATAAGTAAAGTACTGGAGCAGGGTGCTGCAGTTATGTGGATACAGTACATAGCTGGCTCGGCAAAATTTCCTGATGTTAGAATGAAAGGCATGGATGGTCGCCGCACGAGAGAGATGGGGAGAAAATCACGAGATACGTCGAAGTTAGACCTGAAACACTGGGAGCAGGTAAATGAGCAAAGATATGCACTTGAAGTTGTGCGTGATGCAATGTCGGCTGAGCTTAGAGTTGTCCGGCAAAATAAATATGGTTTGATTCTTCATGCCGAGAGTGTCTGGCAAAGTCACCTCCAACATCTTGTACATGAGCGTGGTATATTCCCATTGCATATTTCCCGTGGAACTGAAGATCATAAATGGCAACTCTGTCCTATTGAAGGTCCATACAGAATGCGTAAAAAACTTGAACGATGTAAACTGAAAATTGATAGCATCCATAATTTACTAGAAGGGAAGTTGGAACTTGGAACAATTGAGCTACTCAAATCCGAAAATGAAGATGTTCTAGTTATTTCTGATATGGATTCTGAGCCAGCTTTCCTGCTAAGTGAACTTTACAGCGAGTCCTTTTCCGAGGAGGCTGATGATCTTAAGGATGTTCGCTCTGCTAGAAATGGATGGAATAGTGATCGATCAAGTAGTAAAAATGAGGCGAGTCTTCATAATGCTCTTTCTTTTGGTGGCAAGTCTAGTACTACAGCAGCATCTGTACCAATAAGCGACAACACAGATGAAAAATCTGAGACTGGATCTCCAATTAAGTCATCTTCTGGTAAAATGGATGAAATCAGAGCTGTGGAGGAAGAATCAGAGAAGGAACTGAACGATGATGGTGCGTATCTGATCAGACCTTATCTGGAACATCTTGAAAAGATTAGGTTCCGATATAACTGTGAGAGAGTTGTTAGTTTGGACAAACATGATGGGATCTTCTTAATAGGGGAACTCTGCCTATATGTGATAGAGAATTTTTACATTGATGATCATGGGTGTATCTGTGAGAAGGAATGTGAAGACGAGCTATCCATTATTGATCAGGCTCTAGGTGTGAAAAGGCAATTTACCGGAAGCTTGGAATCCCAGTCCAAGTCTAGCACATTATGGAGTACAACAATAAAAATCGGCGCTGTAGGGGGAAGAGCATGGGCATATGGTGGTGGAGCTTGGGGGAAGGAAAAAGTACGTGTGACTGGTAACTTGCCACATCCTTGGCGTATGTGGAAGCTGGATAGTGTTCATGAGATTTTAAAACGTGATTACGAGCTACGTCCAGTTGCTGTTGAGATATTTAGCATGGATGGATGTAATGATCTCCTTGTGTTTCACAAGAAAGAGAGGGAAGAAGTCTTCAGAAATCTCCTTGCCATGAATCTTCCAAGGAACAGCATGTATGGCATCTTCATCTTGTAGCTTTTCATCTCAGCAAATTCCCTTTTTTCTCATTTTACTTTAGTCATGAATAAAAATGTCAAGTTAAGCTCAAGAGCTGAGCACTATATAGCTTAGTCCTCCCTGAGGCCCTTCCTAAATCTATGAAGATGTTGTTTATTCTGTTTGTTTTTCTTTTCAGGCTTGATACAACCATATCAGGATCAGCGAAACAGGAAAGTAAAGAGGGTAGCCGTATATTCAAATTGATGGCAAAGTCTTTCACGAAAAGATGGCAAAATGGGGAGATCAGCAATTTCCAATACCTAATGCATCTCAACACCCTAGCAGGACGTGGATACAGTGATCTCACACAGTATCCTGTATTTCCGTGGATTCTAGCAGATTATGATAGCGAGAGTCTTGATTTGTCAGATCCAAAGAATTTTCGCAAGCTTGACAAACCAATGGGTTGCCAGACGCCTGAAGGAGAAGAAGAATTTAGGAAACGGTTTGTGATGTGCATCTTAAACTTGATTTAGAGCTTTTATTTTGTGTTCTTCACCATACGATTTTCCCTTTTAATTAGTTATGGTTTCATCTTGTTGTAATCATATCCAAGAACTGCTTCTCATGTTTTCCTTCTCCCTTTCTCATTTCAGATATGAGAGCTGGGATGATCCAGAGGTTCCAAAATTTCATTACGGTTCTCACTATTCAAGTGCTGGCATTGTTTTGTTTTACCTTATTCGCCTCGCACCATTCAGTGCTGAAAATCAGAAGCTGCAGGGTGGTCAATTTGATCATGCCGATCGACTTTTCAATAGTATTAGAGAGACTTGGCTTAGTGCAGCTGGAAAAGGAAATACATCAGATGTGAAAGAACTAATTCCTGAATTTTTCTACATGCCTGAATTCTTAGAAAATAGATTTAACCTTGATTTGGGTGAAAAACAGTCAGGGGAAAAGGTAGCTTAAGTTGTTCTAATGGTTCTTATGTTCCTTTTACTTCTCTGTTTCCCTTTTATGAGCAAGTTCCTTGTATAATGTCAGGTGAGTGATGTAGTTTTACCTCCTTGGGCTAGAGGGAGTGTTCGTGAATTCATCCGCAAGCACAGAGAAGCTTTAGAGTCTGATTATGTTTCAGAGAATCTGCATCACTGGATAGATCTCATCTTTGGGCACAAACAGAGAGGAAAGGTACATTACATGTTCCCTTTTTGGTAGTCAACAGAGAATCGAACTATCATGTCTTAGAGATGTTGCTTCTTAAAATATCGAATCATGAGGCTGATTATTTTCAGGCTGCAGAAAATGCTGTTAATGTTTTCTATCATTACACATATGAGGGGAATGTGGATGTAGATGCAGTTACGGATCCTGCCATGAAAGCATCCATACTAGCACAGATTAATCATTTTGGACAAACGCCGAAGCAACTATTCCAGAAACCTCATGTTAAAAGAAGGACAGACAGAAAATTCCCTCCACACCCTCTGAAACACTCGATGCATCTTGTTCCTCGGGATATACGTAAATGCTCATCATCTGTAAACCAGATCATCACTTTCAATGATAAGTTGCTTGTTGCCGGATCTAACTGTTTCCTGAAACCCAGAGGCTATAAGAAATACATAAGATGGGGTTTCCCAGACAGGACCTTGAGATTTATGAGCTATGATCAGGACAAGCTCTTATCCACCCATGAAAATCTCCATGAAGGCAACCAGATCCAGTGTGCTGGTGTTAGTCATGACGGGCGCATTGTGGTCACTGGAGCAGACGATGGTCTAGTCTCTGTGTGGAGAGTCAGCAAGGATGGCCCACGTGGTTCACGACGTTTACAGTTAGAGAAATCCCTCTGTGCACACACAGCCAAGGTCACTTTTCTACGTGTAAGTCAACCTTACATGATGATTGCAAGCAGTTCAGATGACTGTACAGTTATCATATGGGATCTCAGTTCTTTAAATTTTGTGAGGCAGCTTCCGAATTTTCCGGTTCCCGTTTCAGCAGTCTACATAAATGACCTTACAGGAGAAATCGTAACTGCTGCTGGAAGTGTACTTGCTGTTTGGAGCATCAATGGCGATTGCCTTGCTGTGGTTAACACATCACAATTACCATCTGATTTGATTGTATCAGTAGCAGGTTCAACGTTTTCTGACTGGCTGGAAACAACATGGTACGTGACTGGTCATCAAAGCGGGGCAGTTAAAGTGTGGCGGATGGTACATTGTACTGATCCGGTGAGTGCCGGTAGCAAAACACCTAACAACAGAACAGAAGGACTAAATTTGGGGAATCAGAAGCCAGAATACAAATTGCTTTTACACAAGGAGTTGAAATTCCATAAGCAAGCGGTCACAGCTCTGCATCTCACGACCGACCTGAAGCAATTACTGAGCGGCGATTCAGCTGGACATTTGCTTTCATGGACAGTACCAGAGGAGATATTAAAAGCTTCACTCAGAAAAGTTTCATAGTTTAGTATCAAAAGCATCATCTAAAACTAGGACTAGAATCTAGAGCAATCACTGATGATCAGGAGACTTAAGGACAAATCGCTGAAGCACCTAGGAGGTAGATCAAAGTCAAAATGTAATACCTCAGGCCAAAGTCTTTCCTTTGTTGAGTCTCTTACCTCGCATCTGATTCTTTTTCCTCTGATTTGCAGAGTAAATGTTGTTGCTAAATGGAGAAAAAACAAAGCAAGACAGAAACCCGTGGATCTGACAATAACTAAAAGGTTTCTCTTTAGAATGTGTAAATAGAGTTAACAGGGAATTGTGTGTATAGTAGACTATTCTGCAAAGAATAAGCTGAGCAAATTTAGTATTAGAGAGCCCCATATATATTTTCTCAGATGAAATTATGTAATCATTTATATTGTTGTTATTAGTAGCTTAGGGACTTTTAATTTGGATTATTGCTTCAACATCAATGGTTATGTCTTATGTTAATAACCTGTAGTCATTATGTTTGTTGCTTTTTGTTTCTAATGGAGAAAAATATTAGAAGTACAGAAATTTGGGGATAGTATTACATTTTCTAATTTTGGGGAACTTTAGAATCTAAAAGTAGAAGAAAACATTACATTTGAAGGGAAATTGAATAAAGCGGTTGCTACCTTATATAAATTCTTAATATATAGAAATATATTCTATTTTCGTGGGGGTTCGAATCCTAGTATACTAAGACAAAAATACTGCATAAACCCAAATCCTTAAAAAAAAAAAAAACTATAATGTAAAATCAACTCAAAATAGTAAACAAGTGTTTTAACTTTTCAACGTCAATCACAGAACAAATCAATGGAAAGCACAAGATACATTAGACAGGAGCTTCGAACCTCCCAACCATTTCTCCATAACGTACTCCTTCACTTTCTTCTCATCATTTCCAAACACATTACACATCGCCTTAACATAGTGAGCTGGAAATTTTCCGGTTATCCTCACATAGAACATGACGGCACGAGCCATGTCTCTGCACAAATTGTCCCTAAGAGAGTCGAAAATTGACGTCTTGTGTTCGAGTGAAGAGCTTGGTGGTTGTGACCTGTTGATGTTTCTTCGTATGCAAGCTTCCTGGGGGTTTAAGGGAGGAGCAGCAGAGATAGCGAGGAAGGTCGCAAAGAAGACTACGACGACGATGCTCATGGAAGTCTTCATTGCGTTAGGCTTCTATTGTTTTTTCTGTGAAGATTACAAGTGCATAGACATTTTTATATAGTAAGTAATGAGAGATTTAAAACTTGTTTCGCATTAAACAAAAGTTCAGTTTACTGTGTTGAAAATTGGGGGTTTCAAATGTTTCATCAGTTTCACTTATATATGTATCAGTTTGGTTTATATATAATATATAGTTTCATAGGTTTTGTTCACAAATTTCAAAATTATATTACAATTTTAGACTTTGTTATTAAATAATTTATGTGTTGTAGAAGAGTTTTGGAATGTTAAAATTCGAAAGATAATCATTCCAAAAGCAAGTTTCACATCTTATGTTTCTGGTGGTTTCTTATATTCTTAAGTTTACAAAGTAAGTAAAATGACCAGAAGAGTTTACACACAATATAATGTTAGAGTGACAACAAAAAAGAAGCTAACACCTTTCTTTCAAGCTCTTCAATGGTGATTGTATGTTTATATAATTTCAATAGCGAGGCGTGTAAGAATAAGGTCCCATGGAGTATGGAAGCTGATAAAGTTGTTGTTGTTGGTTTTGTCTGAAATTCATGTGACCTTGTCTTCCATTTCTGTTGTATTGATCCCACATTATTTGTTCTTCCATTAACAATCTTTGTTTTTTCTCCATATCACTCATTTGCACGTATGCTGGTGGGGCTACCTCTAGCGACGCCGCAAATGGGTCCACCATTACCGGACTTTTGCTTCCGATTCTGTTTCCGTTGGCTGTAGGTGGTGGCGCTGGCAATGCCAACATTGAGGCTGCATCACCATTTAGATCAAAATCAAATCCAAATTGAACTTTTGGGATTTCACTCTTTAAACTAAGATAAAAATTGAGAAATGATTTTCATTTTAAATTTTGTTTACCTGCTGGTCTTCCTGCAGAACCAAAAGCCACACTACTCGCACTCCCACTACTTCCATAAGCCGTAGACGTTTTAACCGCAGCATTAACCGCACCGTACTGATACATTCCATCAAGCAACAAAGTATCAAATCCTCCTCCGAGCTCATTCTTTTGTCTCGACAATCTCGTTGCCGATTTCACCAAGTCCGTCTCCCAATCCGCCGAATTATCGTTAAATGCTTCCCACCCCGGTCCAGACGCACTCTCAGTCGACACAGCTCCATCAAATAACGCTAACGCCAAACTATCACCAACCGTTCCTGCCGTTTCACCTGCTTCATCTGTTAAATCCAGCAAATCACGCTCTTGCTCTTGGCTTGAAACCACTTCGTCAAAATCTTTCTTTGTTTCCATTTTTTCTTCTTCTTTCTCTTCTTCTTCGTGTTCCGGTGCTGGTAATGCTTTAATGGAGTTCAAATCTTCTTGATTTTCTTGAATTTCCTCTGTTTTGTTCTCCTCCTCTTCAGATTTGTTAGACTTGTTTGATGATGATTTTGTTGATTGTGCAGCTAAAGCTGATTTATCTCTTATAAACTCATCCATGAGATCAAGTTTCTTCTGTGTGATCTTTTCCAATTCTGGATACTCTGAAGATCTTGCAACTCCCATGTTCTTACACCATCCGTAAAACGGATCTAACTCGTCAAACTGTTTAGAAACTCGACAGAAGATTTCATAGACTTTGATCGAATCATGAATGTCTAATTCCATGAATCGATCTATTAATACTCCCATGATCTCTGTTATGTTGTAGTATAACTGAAAACTCTCTCTTACTATCGGATACAGAGCCACAATCACCACTCTGTTGTTCTTCGCATTACCTGTAGCAGAGACCTAACTTGTTAACCAAGAAAGCTGAAAGTAGAAAACGTGGGTTCCAAGGAAAGAGATTGGCCTGAATTTAGACTGGCTTGAAAATATGATGCTCACCATAACATTTCTAATTGAAAGTAGTTAATTAATTATTACCTGTTGGACGACAAGCCAAGAACCGATCAAGAAGCTGTTGTAAATGTTGTACTCTGACGAAAATTTTCTCTGTTTTCATCTCTGTGACCAGTTTAGATTTAACCACAATAGCTTTTGACCGAATATCTGTACTGGTCTCTCGATGATCATCATCCTCGCCGGAATCACCATCACCGCGACTGCGTTTCCCTCTCCTTCCTTGCATCCGGTAATCAAGACGTTCATCCAAATACAAAGCATAAGTCCGAACAAAAGCAGAGTAATCCCACGAATCAGACTGACTCGCATCTCTGAAATCAGACATGTTAAGCAATCTCGTTCCTCGTCTAGTCGCGAAGAATATCTCTTGCTCGTAGGCTCGATCGCCATCTGTTAGCAACCGTTGGATCAAAATCAAGGTTTTGAGAGCAACGGACCAGTTCTTGGTCTTGTTGAGCCGTCTCGAGAGAATTGCCACACAAGCGCTTACGTAGTTGCGTGAGTATGACGTTAGGCTTAAGATCTCTCTAATGTATTTCTCCTCCGCTGGATAATCATCGTGCCGCGTCGCTTTCACGACAGCTACTTCGAGTTCCGTTAAAGAACTGCTTCGACCTCCAACTTTGGCTAATCCTACGCTTGTTTGATCTTTCACGGCTCCTATGGCACGTTTTAGCTTACTTGAACCCATTTTGACTAACGTACACCGTAAAACAGAGGAAGAGAGAGAGAGAGGAGAAAAAAAATTAGAAGAACGACGACTTTTTTCTTTTACTTGTTTGTCGTCGTCGTCTCTTTTTCTCCTCTGTTTTTTTCTTCTTTTGGTTTTTCTGAAAGAGAAAATGTGGTTGCTTGATCGATCTACCATGGAAATCGCCAATGTAGTCGGAATTTAATGATGGGGAGAATTAGAAAAGCCATGTGGGATATGATTTGACCTTTCCTTTTTTATAATATGATAAAAACAGATATCCACTCTGTTATTATTAGCTATAGATAGAAAGACGATTCTCAAATAAGAATCTTGTAATGTTATAAGACAGAGCTTATATAAGCCATGAGAATGTAATTTTCACAAAATGTTTTCTCATGATTCTTAACTTATATAACACTTACAAATTACAGATACATAGACATTAATATAGCGCGAAAACCGCTTCTAGTTTCATCAGTCCCCACATTTTTTCGGCCTGTAAAATGAGCAAAAAAGGGGGAAACAGTAATCTGATATGTATATAAACAGGGATCATAGAACTTCAAATGGTCTTAAAAGAAAGAGCCACGTTTTAAATTACCATGCTGAATCGTTCTGAGGTTCAGTAGTCCAACCATACGGGTTGGCGCTTGGAGCAACATGGTGATTTTGCCCATTTCTTATTCTCTGCAACGGAGAGCTGGTTTGGGAGTTTAGTGATGGAGGAGGAACAAAATTGTTTCCGAGTCTTGGAGGTAGAATGGTTGGGATCCCGATGTTAGGATTTGACATATGGTTTAGGTTTGAGTGTGGTTGAAAAGCTGGAATAGTGCTAGAAGAATCCATCCTGTTGTTACCAGTTAATGGCATTCTGTTGTTGTTATGTCCACTTGATCTCCCGAGAAGCATCGGATTCATTCCTGTTACTCTCTTCACCGTTTCTTCCGCCATTTTCACCTTAACATAACATAAAAATTACTATAACTGTATACAAAAAAAAAACATAAGGGTAGTTCAGAAAACTTAAGTCTTCTTACCTTAGCTCTTAATGTCTCAATGTCAGCTTTAAGTATTCTATTGCCAACAGCGGCTTCATCATACTTGTGATTCATGTTGCTCAGTTGCTTAAGGAGTGTCGAATGTTCACCCTTTAGCTCATTAACCTATCAAAATAGAAATTAGGTCTCATTAATATCCTTTGATTCAAAAATGAGGTGTTGAGAGGATACGATATGAAACCTGTGTTTCGAGATCACTTGTTTGCTCCTGCTTTCTCCTTCTAGATCGCCTAGCTGACTCACGATTTGACAGCATCCTACAAATATTAAAGGAAGAACAAAGCTCTATAACTAACTGTTTCCCTATAGACGTAATCTTCAAAAGACAAGAAATTGGTCATTACCTTCTAGATTTTTTAACGTCCTCTGGCTTCAAAGAACCGGTGGTTTCATTCTCTTCATCAAGGTCATCGTCATCAGAATATTCTCTCGACGATCCACTAGTAACCTGCTTCGTTGGTACACCAGTTTTTTTCACCTCAGCTGGTAAGGAAGAAGTAACTCCTGGGGTCATTAAAGAACCTACCACAATTAAAACTTACTACGCGTAAGACTCTATCTGAAAGAGAAATAGGAGCGCCAAAATTATGATTTGCCACCTTAAATCCGTTCCTGTTTAAAAGAAATATTGAACTAACCACCAGAATCCATCTCAATCCCAAGCTTATCGGTCTTCCAGAAAGAAGATTAATTTCAAGGAGAAAGTCACAAAAAGATTGAAACTTGATGGATAAAACTAGGCGCTTGATCCAACAAAAGTACTATTTTCCATTTCTACAACTTAATTCCTTAACTTGGCATCTAAATTAACAAACACAGAACAGAGAAACTAATCTCAAGGTTTATCGTCGCTAATCTACATGGTGAAACTAAGAAGAGGCTCTTAGTCTCTTACCTTGATGAGTAAGAGGACTGGATTGAACTGGTTGAAATTGAGTTTCTGGAGAACTAGTCGAATCTTCAGGCTTCACAGACCCAACCTAAGGAGAGAAGAACATCTGAGCTTCAGATTTAGATCAAAAACGCACAAATTACACATATAGATAAATGAAATAGAAGATTAACAAACCCTAACAGCAGCGCACTCAGTCTCAAGCTTGTTCTTAAGAACACGATGATGATAATCATCGGAATCAACAATCACCGTCGTCGTCGGAGCAGCACCACAATCCAAATCCCCTGAATCGCGACCGCGAAATCGACTATCATCCTCGAAATCATTCTGTCCAGAAACAGAAGGAAGAGACTGCGCCGACGAAACACCGACGATCGCGTTGTTTGCAAGTGGCTCAGAGCTCACCGCCGACGAAGAAATCTCTTCGAGAAACATCTCGAAAGTCCATTCGGGTTGACTGTGGCTGACTTCATCAGCCGTAACAGGCTTGGCAGAGTCGGGATTGAGAGGAATCGGAGGAGTTTCCCAAAAAGGATCGGAGAAATCGTCAATGGAGAAGATACTGTTCATGGCTCGCTAAGCTCTCTTTCTCTTTTCACTTTCTGATTCTTCTTTTGTCGGTTCTTTGCTTATTTGCATTAGGTCCACCCACAATAGAATATTCTCTATTTTTATTACGTACAAAAAATATAAACAATTTTTTTTTTTTACAAATTTCTATACATATTCTGATTTTGAAGAGTTTTTCTATTTGTATAACGTCCACTAATGTTTCCATGAAAAAGGTAGCATTGTTATTTAATTAATTATTCATCAAAGTTTGATTTATTCATTGACTAGTCATCTAATTTTGATTGAACAGCAAAATTAACATAAACCATCAAATTATATTTTAATTTATAAAAAACTAAGAATATATGTGTTTATGAAATGTCACCAGAAGCTTAACAAATAAATCACTAGGCTATATTACAAATTTACAATAGATCGATTTAATAAAGAATACATATATATTATATATATATATGTAGAAATTCGTTTTCAATTTAAAATTTTGAATATTACAATAATCTACACAAAAGCTTCTAAAAACAATTAACAAACTAAATAATTTTTTCGTGCCATATGTAAATTTAAACGGTCATTTTCAAAGAAACTTGTAATAGTAATTTTCATATATATGGAATTTACTCTCTATTACTAACGGAGTAACGGACATAAATAAAAAAACCTTAACATAGATGTCACCTATAACATATTGCACGTGCAATTTCTAGACCGAGGGCATGGACATCCTTTAACCGATCAAGGGGTTATTACGAGAATTAGCATTTATTAGGTCAAAAGTTTGATTTTTTTTTTTTTTTGTCGTCTAGATTTATTATTAATTGCAAATTATGAGAACTGTTACATAGACGATTCTACAACTGACAATTCCTTCCGACCCTTATTAGATCTACGACAGACTACACTTCCTTCTTCATAATCTTGATGAATACCTTCAATGATCCACGACCTGGCGACAATTCCTTCTCTGCGTAGAATCCTGGCGAACGGCTATAATTGTACATCGCTGGAGATCTCCTGCACACTTGCCTCTATTAATCTGCAAATTTGTTAATAAATCGCAATATCTGGGACTCGAACCCCAGACCTCTTGGTGTAGAAGCATTAATCAACCCTTGGTCAACCAATGGGCCAAGGGGGCTTCCACCAAAAGTTTGATTTTAGGTTATTCTTTCGGGACTTGCATATTTAGGTATTTTTGGATTTAGTTAAATGATGTTTTTGCCCCTACTGAATTAAGTGGAATTTTGGAGAAATTAAAATTTCACTTCCATGAAACACAGTTCGCTCCCCACAACCACCGCCTAATCCGTCGGTATCTATTCTGAACCACTCGTCCGGTCCCGAAACCCTAGCCAAGCAGATCTGAGCACCAAAAGAACCGCCATCATCTGATAATCTAGATCCACCGCCCGTCGATGTGGAGTGGAAGCCATTGGGTTTGCGGAGGTCTTGGGTTGCTCACTTGTGGCGGATCTGTTGCCGCTTGAAGACGACGACACGATCTGCTCTCCGATCCGCCGCCAATATCATCTCCGATCCGAAACACAAATCCTCTCCTCTGTCAACACCATCTCCGACAAGTTCAGTAGATTCAACTAACTCTTTTTGAATAAAGGAAAATAAACCCTAAGGGGATAGATAGTATCTACTAAACCCAAGGGATCCAATTGAAATAATTGTCAAAATTAGAGTTTTGGGTTTCCATTGTTGAGATCTTCCTGTGAGATTTTGGTAGGTGAAAGAGAGAGCTAAGAAGCTTTTGTCGTTCAAAGGAAAAAAACAATTATTTTTGCTTTAGTTTGTGATAATTGATAAGGGTAAAATCGATTTTTTCACACCTTGAGAAATGCTTAAATCAGAAGGATAGGCAAACATACCCAAACTGATAATTTTGTCTGGAAAAAGTACCGATCCGGTAATTGATTCATCTTTTCAATTGGCGATGAGAGCATGAAGAGACGAAGGCAAACTTAAGAGCTTTCCTTATTACCGTAGTGTGACAAGATATGATCATAGTCAATCATACGTAGCTCAAAGCTACCTTTTTCGGTTATAAGAAGGGTTTACTATTGAGAGTTGTGTTACTTAATGGTAATGTTCATTTTTGTCTATGTTGGTGATTGTCTTTAATCCTTTTGTTGGATTGTAACAAAACTGTTACAAAAGTTTAATGAATTATCAGATGAAGAAAAAAAAGATGTCACCAATAACACAAATCACCACTATGTAAGCTATATTACAATAGAACGAACCTAAAGATAACAAAAAAACACAACTCTTCGAATTTTATTTAAGAGATGGCAAAGCCGTTAACAAAAAAAAAACGTCTTTGAATTTGTATTGTTTCAAAAGGAAATGTTTGGAACTTTGGAAAGCAACTAGACAACACGGTCACTGAAACAAACGCAGTACATGACCACAAACCAAATTAAGAACTTAGAGGATATAGTTACACAGAGTGTGAGAAAATCAAGCCAGGGAGAGGGAGAGAGAGAGAGACTTGAAGATAAGGTGTACCACTGTTCAGGAGTTCCGTGCTTCCAATCTGAGCCCTTCCCACCCACTATTCTTCGTGTCTCAGTAACTCAGTGGCAGCATTCGGTAGCTTTGGACAGTCCCTGGTCGTGAACTTTTTCAGGCTCGGAAGAGCTGGAAGATTCCAGCTGATTCCCTTTAGTTCTTCCATAAGACTTACATCAAGAACTTCCAGCTTCCCAAAGGGTACAACAATATCCGGATGCACATTGGTAATACTCATTGCTTTCTCTCTGTTTATTATTTCTTCTATGCTTGATGGCCCCGATACAGATAGAAACGTGAGGTTTTGGGCGAACAACAGCCATGTCAAATCCCTTGGACCTTCCAACTCGAATATTTGAACAATGGAGAGGTGCTTGAAGCCTTGAGAACTTGTGCACATTGGTAAAAGCCCCGCACTTTCTTTGCTTTTACAATCTATCTTTATCTCAGAGATTTTGGAATCCAAAATTACAAAGCGTTGAAGACCACCCAGAGCTACAGTGTTTAATCTTATAACAGGAGCTGACATATTGTTGAGACATAAACCTCGGATAGTACTCGCCAATTGGTCCACTTCTTGTATACTTTCCAAAATCTTGGCATCCTCAACGGTTACTGTTGAAATCTTTAAGTGCTTCAAGAGTTGTAGCTCTTTCATTAATCTGTCATCAATACAAACACGGGAAAGAAATAGCTTTAACACTTGAAGATTTGGTAAAATTGTTGCTATCCCCACAATACTTTCAAGTTCATTAGTATACTCCAGATTCAAGTTGATTAGTTTCGTCAACTCCTTCAGACCAACTGGTAACCATTTTATCATCGTGGATGATAAGTTGAGATATTGTAAAGAACCCAAGTTAGAGATTTCTTCCGGTAATCCAGAAAGACTCTCATTTCCCGAAAGATCCAAGACCACAAGTGCTGGCATAAACAGAAAGAATTCACCTGAAATATTCACCAGCTTGTTTTTCTGGAGTAATAGGGTCGAAAGGTTGGGGCAGTTGAAGCTGCAAGATATCTCCACAATCTTATTACTCGCTAAGGACATCCTTCTCATAACTTCCCAATTGATGTCCTTCGGTACATGGCGTAACTGGACACCGGATTTCACACAAATTGTTTCTTTCTGTTTTCCAAAGTCAGACGATATCCAAAGAGCCATCTCACGTATCACATCATGCATTTTCACATTCGTTGAAAATTCACCATTCATCAATAAATGTGCACGAACTAACGAACCAATTATATCATGACCTTGGTTGTTAGCTACATCTACATCTCCATTTCCATCTATAAATCCTTCGCATATCCAATATTCTATCAACTCCTCCTTGTTTATTAGAAAATCTTCAGGAAACAAAGAACAGTATAACAAGCAAGATTTGGCTGTTTCATCCTTCAAACTATCATAACTAAACTTCAAAATGGAAAGAATATTTTCTTCCATGCCTGGAAAGTTGAGGCTAGACGAATTCAGCACATTAATCGCATGATGCCATTCTTGTATAGTCTCTTTACATGCCATGGCTTTGCCGATGACACTGAGAGCAAGTGGCAAGCCACAACATTTTTCAGCAACTTTTCTAGCAAGTGCGGGAATATCCTGATGGCTCTTCAACGGGATTTCTCCAACTTTCTTTTGGAACAAATTCCAAGCTTCATCTGGAGACAAACACTTAACTTCCATCGCATCATCAACCTCCATGTCTTTGCAAACTTCTTTAGAGCGTGTGGTGAGAAGTATCTTGGATCCATTTTCTCGAGTTGGAGGTGGAACTCCAATTTTGTTCAAATCTACTTTGCTCCATATATCATCCAATAACAGCACAAATTTCTTTCTGTTAAGGATATTATATATGTAAGAAGCTTTCTCCTTCTCTGTTTTTTGTTTACATTCCTTGTTAAGACCTAGTCTTACCAATATCTGCTCCTGGATGGCCTCGTTTTGCAAATCTTTAGAGACCACAACCCATATCACAATATCAAATCCACTCATCACTTCAAGGAACATATTGTTAATACGAGCCAAGAGAGTGGTTTTGCCTACTCCCCCCATACCATAAAGACCCAAAGTTGTGCGTCCATCTGTCATGAGGTGGTTCCATGCGCTTTCGACAATTGTATCCAAACCAACTGTGCTTTGCATAGGCTTCTGCTCCACCTTCGGTGCAGGTATTTTCTCTGCCACCACTTCAAAAACTCCTTTTAATAGAAGTCCTTGGACTTCGTTCAATTTCTTGGATAACTGTTTACCATAATCACAGCCTGATATGAGATTTTTGGAACAATATCCGCAGAGACACAATCTTTGGGCTTGAGCTGATCTAGCCTTAAGCAGATCATTGACTTGGGATCCAACAGTTTCTACCCTTGAAAACCATCCTTGGACTTGAGCAAGCCGTTGCAAACCTTTATCTTCCTCTAAGACAACTCTTCTTAACAGATCATCTCGTTTTGCCTCGAGTTCTTGCATAGTGTTCTCCAGAGCCTCGAGATTTCCTTCCATCATGAGAATGTAATTTTGATCACCAAATAAGCAGCCACAAGCGTGATTCAACACTTGATCGCATGATATTTGAAATGCTACACAATTTCCCATCTTGCTCAAACTTTCAGAAAGCAACCGGGCTTTACTAAGAATTCAAGAGAAGGGACTGATCGGGAAGAGAAGAAGAACACACAGAAAGTCAACTGAACTATCAGAAAAGAAAAGGTCAGACAGCAACTACATTTTAGTTTATTGAAAGTGGCAGCTTCCAGGAAAGTCAATGTTCGTTCAGATGTCACTTTGCATTATTGCCCATTAAAATGGAGAGAACGTACGTCTCTCAGTTTAAGTATTTAATTTTTTTTTTTTTTTACATATTTCTATCTAATTTTTATACATATTCTTATTTTGAATAGTTTTTAGAATATTAAATATCTATTGTATAACGTCCACTAATGTTTGGATGAAAAGGTAATATTTTTTTGCCAACATTGTTATTTACTTAATTATTCATCAAAGTTTGATGTATTCAAATTTCAATAACTAGTTGTTTAATTTTGATTGAACAAAGAAATTAACTTAAGCCATTAAAATCTATTTTAATTTATAAAAAACATACACATATTAGTCAGTAAAAATTACTCCCTCTTTTTGTATACAAATTAAAAATTCACAAAAATCTCATTTAATTTATATTTTTATATAAAAAATCATAAACTACAACTAATCAACCAATAAGAAAACATACAGTAAAATATAATAGATCAAAAAATATTAAATCTATTTAATATTTGCATAAAAAGTTGAAAACATTGTTTAATATGAAAAAAAAAAATCTTTAAAACAGCACTTAAAAATTAAAATGATACGGAAAGAGTGTGAAATATCATAAAAACTTAACAAATAAATCACTAGGCTATATTACAAGTTTACAACATACCCACCTAATGAAAAAGAAGACATATCTATAGAAAAAAAGTTTCAATCTAAAAGTTTAAATTCTTGATAATTACAATAATTTACGCAAAAACTTCTAAAAAAACTTAACGAACTAGATAATTTTTTCGCGCGATTTTATCTCATCGTATGTGACGAAATTTACCATTATATATAAGGTACTCTGTACCCTACCTATAAATGAAAATTTAAACAGTCATTTTCAAAGAAACTTGTAATAATAATTTTCATATATATGGAATTCACTCTCTATTCCTTTTTATGGACGTAAATAAATCAAAAGACCTTAATAGATATGTCACAAATAACACAAATTACTATCTAGGCTATATTACAATAGACCGAACCTAAAGAAAACAAAAAACCATATAGATTTTTTTTTCAAGCAATCCCCATTTTTAATTATTGCAAAATTACAAGAATCTACACACACACATACATACACACACAAGAAAAAAAAAATTCAAAAATAGTAAACAAAATTATAATGCCAAAGCTTTCTTTTTTTTACTGACTCTCCTTCTTCTCCAAAGCTAATTGGTCATTGTTAATCAGAACAGAATCACCACTCTCATCCTCTGATTCATTCACATTTGTCTTCCTCCGCGGTGACCTTCCCTGTTCTATACCTCCTCCTCCTCCTCCACCGGAGTTTCTCCGATCATCTTTAGAGATTAAGTCCTCAGCTTCAAGCATGTGAATGATATGACCCATTTTAGGCCTCTTTTGAGCATTAGGATCAACACATCTTAAAGCTACCAAAAGGGTACGCTTCAATGACCTTAACGACGGTTTATCCACCATCCTCGGATCCAAAACTCCTTCCGCATCTCGATTCGTCACCATTCTCTTCAACCATTCCACAAGATTCACTTCTCCCGGAGCCCGGCTATAATCCACAGGACTCCTCCCTGAAATAATCTCCATAACCAGAACACCGAAGCTATAAACATCGCTCCTCTCATTCAACATCCCGGTACTCGCATATTCAGGAGCCACATACCCAAACGTACCCATCACACGAGTAGTCACATAGCTCATCTCTGAACCCAAGAGCTTAGCTAACCCAAAGTCCGAAACTTTCGAGTTCCATTGCTTGTCAAGCAAGATATTACTCGATTTGATATCTCGATGAACAACTTTAGGCTCGAGACCTTCGTGTAAATACATTAACCCTTTAGCTGTCCCAAGAACAATGTTCATCCTAATCTCCCAAGTCAGAGGACTCTTAAATCCCAACCCACCACCGTGAATCCATTGTTCTAAATTCCCATTATCGACATACTCGTAAACTAACATCCTATGAGCTCCTTCAACGCAATAACCAAGCAATCTCACCAGGTTCTTATGTCTCACTCGACCAATAGCTTCGACTTCGACTTTAAATTCTTTCTCAGCTTGTCCCCTGTTGTTGAGCAGATTCTTTATAGCCACCATTGATTTATCCTCAAGAACACCTCTATACACAATCCCATAACCTCCTTGTCCGATCACATTCTCGTCAGCAAATCCATTAGTAGAAACCTCAAGCTCTCTCAACGTATACCAATGTCCCCAACCTAAATGAGAGACCTCAGGACCTGACGACATAAGTAAACCCTGATCACCCGACCCAGACCCAGACCCGGAACCAGTCCAACCACCTCTCTCCGGGTACGAAATCCGATGATCTTTTCCAATTTCGATGTGAATTTTGTTATCGTCTTCTCTTTGTTTAGACACAGCTTGGTTTTGGTGTGGCTCCGGTGTTGGGTCGGGTTGAATTGGAGGTCGAATCTCTTGAATCTCCTTGGAAACAACGGGAACAATCGTATGGTTAGATTTAGAAGAAGACTCAAGAGCTTTGTTCTTGTTGCTTCGTCTATAAATGAACCAGAGAGAGATGAGAACAAGTAAAAGAACGATCGCGGCTCCAACGCAAACGCCGAGAACAACCCATAAACGTAAACCAAAAATAGAAGTGTGTCTCGAGAGCTGATTGTTGACAGAGTGAGAATCCGCCATTGCAGCTCACTGACTCTTGTTCTTCTTCTTCCTCTCTCTCTGACTCTGTCTCTTTAGATTTTGCTTTTGTTCTGCTTCACATATAATAATCATCACAGGAGGTTTTTCTGAAGTAGAGACAAGAAAAGGGATGTTGAAAAGACATAATTACCCTCGAAGAGGCAAGCTGGCTTTGATGGGACTTGCACTCATATCATTATTTTAGTATATAATTACACTTTTGCCACTTTTACTGTTAAAGAGCAATTATTAAAGGAGGGTAGTATCGTTATTAAAGGTAGAAGTCAGGGGTAATGTAGTCAATTGAATCGTGTTCTGACTTCAAGTTTTTTTTTGCGCGTGGGTCTTTTGGTAGTGATTACAAATCTATCTATCAAATCAAATCGAAGAAGGAGAAGAACAGAGAAAAAGAGGTAATGAGTAAAATCTAGGAGCTTTTGCTTTATCTTCGGATCTAAGATCAGGAATTTGATTAGGGTTTTAACCCAATTTCGATAATTGTCTTCTTCGCTGGATTGATTTTGGTTCTGGATTTGTTTATCGTGTGTAGTTGAATCAAATATGGCTGGGAGAGCTCCGATCCCTGCTCGCAACTCTGCCCTTATCGCAATGATCGCCGATGAGGTAATATCGTTACCAAAAAACTCATCTTTTCCATATGTTGATGTAGGATTTGAGGTTCCATTAGTTTGATTCTTTAGATAAGGTTGATTTTTCATTTGCATCTTCTGTGTTGAGTTTTGAATCTCTGAGATGTGATCTGAACTAAATCAATGTGTTGTGTGTGTGTATATAGATTTGTTCATCCGTAAATTGCTTGACTTTTTGGATTTGTTTGTAAAATTTGTAATCTTTCTGGTAGTGAATTCATGCCCTAGAATAGCTTTTTCGTAGTTCTGTGCATCTCTTGGTTTTGGATCAGACCAATTCTGCAGATCATCTGATCTGCTGTCACTGAATTTTGATTCCATTTGATGCACGAATCAGGAAACTAAGGAGTAGAAATCTTGTTTAAATTCTTCCTAGAAACTTTATTATCATTGAAGAATAGGGGATTGAGGTTTTTTGTGTTAGTCTCAATTGTTCTGGCTTAAGATTTGGATTTACTCAGTTGTATTCTACCAGAAAATTATGTCTAGTCTCTTATTATAGACTTAACTTGCAAGTTCTTCCTTGTACAACGACTTGTTACTGGCGACACTTTTTTTGTCAATTGGTGTTAGCATTTTTTGGAACTATCCGTTGGTATAACCCTTTCGCAATCTCCAGTTTCTCTTACTTGACTTAAATTTTGTGTACAGGACACTGTAGTTGGATTTTTGATGGCTGGAGTTGGTAATGTTGACATAAGGAGGAAGACAAATTACCTCATTGTGGATTCAAGTATGTTTTTCTTACTCATTATGATCTTTAGGAAAGATTATATTTTCAATCATGTATCAAGTTATGTCACTTATCTCAAGGTGGTATCCGTTTGACAAAATCAAGTTAGTTGAAGTTTTCCATCAAATGAATTTCATGTGGTCTTGTTAGGAGATAACTTTCCTAACTTCTATTTCTGTAGAATTGTGTAAAATTACAGGCTACTCTTCTAAATCAATTGATTTTTCCTTTCTTTCAATTTTTTTTTTTTTTTGTCTTTTAGAGACAACTGTGAGACAAATTGAGGATGCTTTCAAGGAATTCTCAGCGAGGGATGATATCGCTATCATTCTTTTAAGCCAATATGTAAGTGGTTTCTTCCAAGTCTAGTATACTTGTACTTGTCACTCATCTTAACTGCTGTGTATGTGCTGTGTTATTTAAGTCTTTATCAAAGAGGTCATGATTTCTACTCCTCCACTTTATTGAGCCCCTTATGTTTACTGCCATTAATGACTATCTTCCGTTTAGTCATGGATCAAGGTCGCCATTATGTAGGGTAGTTTTGCTATCATTTTCCCAGCAATTAGTATATTAATGGATCCATATGTGTGAGAAACATAAGGTGAAGCCACTTTGCATCAGTCCTTTGAGACATATCATTCATGAGCTTGAATTAGCATGAGTCTATTTCTATGTGCTCTATACTACTTTAAAGTCTGTTTTTTTCTACAGTGCCAAAAACTTAATGAGAAAATTTAATACTTGTAGATTGCCAATATGATCCGGTTCTTGGTGGATAGCTACAACAAGCCAGTTCCTGCAATCTTGGAGATCCCTTCCAAGGACCATCCCTATGATCCTGCTCATGATTCAGTTCTCTCCCGTGTCAAGTACCTCTTCTCTGCTGAATCTGTGTCACAGCGTTAATCATATGCATTCTGCAAGCTCACTGAGCCTATATCATTTGTTTGTTTTTGATATTCTTGTATTTCTCCTTCGGAACCCGAAAAATCTACAATAATGTATAACTCTTGATTTTTATTTGGAGATGGGTGTTATATTATTAAGAAGCAATGGTAGCTTCATCTGCTTCTTTGCATTAAAATAAGAAGAATCATTGTGTATTCAAGAGACAAGAGCAGACTTTAAAGATTTGGTGAAGACTTCTAGCTCCTCAAGTCCTTGCTCAGGTGATTCAGACTCGCCCAAGATCTTAACCATTGCGCTACCAACAATGACTCCATCTGCTCCCCATTCAGCTACCTGTAATGTGAAATAAACCAAGTCCGGTTAACAAATTCAATTTCCAAGATATTGCTAACCCAGTGTATGCAGCCCAACCTGTTTCACATGCTCAGGTTTTGATATGCCAAATCCAACGGCCACTGGCTTGCTTGTTGCCTCTTTGATTTGTTGTAAAAGAGATTGAACTTTTTCGTTAACAGACTCTCTTGTACCAGTAACCCCTACTGAACTTACCTGAAAAGAGCTCGATAACAACATTCACGCATTAAGAACATTAAATTTACACGCAACATTTACTGATCTAAAGAATCATGGAACTGTGATTCTTACGAGATAAATGAATCCTTCAGATGCTTCAACAATGGCGTTCATTCGTTCTTTGGGGGTTGTGGGTGTTGTGAGCAGTACCTTGATGACAACATAGTAAAAATGGTAAAGGAAAGAAAACAGTTTGCTATTAAAGATGCTATGATTTGATTTTACTGACAGGTAGAGGAAAACATCATACGAGTTCAATCTGATGCTTCCGAGCTTCGTTCCGCAGAGCCTCAGTTTCCTCGAGTGGAACATCAGGAACAAGTAGGCCTATAAAGAGACCCCATGTTATGTAATAAACTGTTAATGTAGAGAAGACAGGAACGAAGAATAAATGGAAGCAAATGACGTCAAAACATGAGCATTTTCTTTTACTTGGGAGAAAACTTAAAAATGTTAATGTACCATGGACTCCAGCATTCTTAATAATAGTCATATAGTTCTCGATTCCTCGCCTCAGGATCGGATTGTAATACGTAAACAATGCAATTGGACAAGATAACTGAGGAATAACCTGAAGAAGTTTGGGATAAAAAGAGGCCCTTTTTTAAGTAAACTAAAACCAAGATGATCAAATACACTATGTACTCAACATTGAGAGTTGTAATTTCATCATCAATAAGCCATATTAAAAGCTAAGAGAGGTAAGTAAACAAAACAACACACACCTCTTTAAGCATAGTGATAATGGAGTTAAAGTTGGTTCCTTTAAGTAACGAACGTCTCGCAGCAGCCTGAAACAATAAAAAGAGAAGCTTTAAGGTTTAGAAGAAGATGACTGAAATGTGCGGCTTTTGAGGATCGAACCTGGATTGCTGGACCATCAGCTAATGGATCAGAGTATGGAACACCGAGTTCGATTATGTCGGAACCACACGAATCAAGCACTTTAAGAGCTTTTGCTGTAGTAGAAAGATCAGGATCACCAGCTGTGATATATGGAATCAGAGCCACCTATAAAATTGTTTCCAACAACAATCAAGAACAAATCGAAAACCCCAGATCAGAATTTGTAGAACGAATCAGAACAAAAGAGTTGGGGGAAATAAAAATTGAAACTTTGGAAATTTGAAGAGATGTTGTTGCTTACTTTGCCTTGTGATTTTAACTTAGCGAAAGTTTCTGATAGACCAACCGTGGCGGGAGGATTCTTGAGAAGATCCTCCATTTCAAGCTTTCAAAGATGATAATGAGTGTAGTAGCTTTGGTTTGGAGCCGAGAAGAGAGAGTGGCTTTGACTCTCGTGCAAAAGTAAATCTTAATTTGGAGCCGGTTTAATCATCCAAACCGAACTAAAATAAACCGATCTGAAAATCAAACCGAAGGAATATAGATCCCGTTTAACACATCATTCTGATTGCATACAAATCCAAAGTCTTCAAATTAAATATACTTCCCAACACTGTTAAGAAAAAAACTCCAACTGAATAACATTTGGTTTTCCATTGGTTTCATATTTTATAACCCAAAACCAAAATAATTGAACCAAAAGTTAACCGAAAATCTAGAATGAGCATCACACTAACTACAATGTTGTTCCAAATAATACAACACATACAAAACAGATTCAATTCCCAATTCTAATCCAAAGATGGTAACTTTGTAACAAAACAAAAAATCAAGTCACTATGGCTTTTATGTATAACAACAAAACCGGACCTTGAAGCTAAATCTGATGATGATCTTCTAAATGGAAAAGATAATATCTTTGCTCAGTTGTTATGATCAGGTGTAATCTCATTGTTTGTGTCCCCTGCGTTGTTTCTTGTTAACCTGCCGAGCTGAATTCCTGCAAAACCTGCACCAGGACCAGCAGCAGGAACAGAACCAGAACCAGAATCAGGACCAGGACCAGCCTGAGAGCTTCCTTCGTTTCCGTTACTAGCTGCAGCTTTAAGGTCTCTCTTTTGCTTCACTTTCTGTGCCCAACCAACAAGACCAACCTGCACATTCTCCTCGAATATAGCTTTCTTGAAGCTACTTCCCATCTGTTTTAACATAATAAGAGGGTCAACTTTTCAAAAATTCAAAAAAACTGAGCAAAATATTCTGAAGCTCTTTTAGTAGAAATTAGCTTCTTACCTGTGAGACAATCGCGTAAAGAGGCAGTGTACTGTAACTGCAAAGCACTTGAATGAAGACCCTAAAGAGAAGAAGAAAGATATCGGTATACGACTAGATATATTCATTGAAACAATATGAGAAAGAAAAATTTGCATATTTTCGCTTACCCGATAACCAATCTTGGAACAATGTATCTCACCTGTCCCATAATGCACGAGTCGAATCCATATGTAACCTAAACTATAACTCATCAGCCTTAACCATTTTAAATGAATCCATATCAAATTTGTTTTTTTTTCTTAAAGAACCAGACTTACCCAAATCCAAAAGAAAAACGCAATCTCAAAAGCATTCTGGAAGAGGATAAAATGGATCAAGTAGAGAACAATTTGAGGTTTGCTGAACCAGAAATGCTCATCTGAGGGTTTCACCACTAAGTCTCCTTCAATGGCTACATGTTTCTCTGCAACTTCATGTGCTAACTGTGCAATCACATGCTCCAACTTTGTTCCCACAGCAAGAAGCAGCTTCAAATTTTCAAAATAAAAGGAACAAAATTAAGTTTAATTGAAAGAAGATTTTAGCACATCCCAAGGAAATAAAATGACGACAAAAACAAATGACTCACAGCAAAGGGAATAAATGCTATCCAGAAATATGTGTGCCATCCTGCAAGATAAAGATTTGTAGCTTCGATATAAAAGGACTCCAATTTATATTTGGAAAAACGTAACAAAATTTTCTTTTCAAAGATATAAGAAAATGGTTTAAGTTCTGTGAAGCATACCGTTAACATTTAGCAGCAAGAAGATGACGACAAAGATCCAAAGATACCAACTAATACCAACAACTTGTTTGAAATCATCCTCTAGAGCGCGCATCATATACTTGTGGAAATTGAGCTTGGGGTTTCCCTTACAATGTGTCTGTAAAAAAACCATGTAGATGTTAGTCTAAAAGATCAAAGCAAATGTTCTTGAATACAAATTTTCAACTTTCGTAAATGATCAAGATTTTTACCATAATGAAACCAAGACGTAAAGTCACGTAATCTGATTTCGTCACTGATCCATAGAATTGCTTGAAAAAGGATTGCTGTCATATAAACAACATATTCTCAACATTGGGTAGTTCCAAAGGACAAAAAACCAATATAAAACTAGCAATGTAATTTAAAAATACCATACCGTCCATCCGAGGATGACTGAATCTTTGCCAATACCAAGAAAGTGTTCTTTAATAAAAGCATGGTTGTGTACATGAGTGACCCTTCTTTTCCTGAGAGCTGCAACAAGGAACAGTAAATAATCAAACAATACGTACAATATTCCGCTAGCATATAATTATTCATGAATCTTGCAATTTAGTACCTGTTTCGGGGTCAAACTTCTCATCCGCGATCGAATCCTCCCATTTCTTCCATTGGTGAATCTGCATTAACATAGATAAACCAGAGTTTTCACACCTGAGAACTTAATTTAAATATATACATTGAATGTAGAAAATTGCTATATGGTTTGCGCTCACCCTTGTGCTTCCAAAAACCACGGTAAGGACACAGAATGTCACATGGGATATAGCGAGAACGAAGATGAAGATATGTAGATGATGCAATGCCTCAACCGAAAGCAATGGTACTTTATGCTGAAAACAAGAGGGCGAGAACTAAGTACAGATTCAATCAAGTAATATCAAGAGAAAGACCTAACAAGACTATAAGGAGGCTCTAAAGGTATGATAATTTACCTTTTGGCTACAATAACCAGCTTCAGCAGCAGCATGTTCAGCAAGTAGACGCCTAGTGGTTCCAACAATAGGGAGAAAAGTCTGAAAATGTTCTTTTGCTGTAACGTTTTTATGTTCACTTGCCTCAGCTTCTCGTCTTGAATCAAGTGAACATGGAAGCATATGCAGAAGCACATCTTCTTTCACACAGAATTTGGAAATAAGTCCTTGGAATACCGTCAGTAACAAGGATATGAACCCTAACAACATCAGCTCTGCAGTTCCCAAAATGATTTATCAAAGATCCACAAATTTGCACCAAAGCAACAAAATAAAAGTAGTAAAGTTTTTAACTTTTAATACTCAAAGCTGCTTATAATTTGATGCAACATCTCACTTAAGATTTTATGAAACAATTGGTCCACAATTTACCCTAACAACATCAACTCTGCAATTAAAAATAATGGTCCAATATTAACTCTAGCAACACATCAACACTGCAATCCAAAGAAAATTAATGTGCAACACATCAAGTAGTAAAGAGTTTAACTTTAAAGACTTAAGCTGCTTCAAAATCTGACATAGCTACATTTGACTTAAAGATCTATTGAACAATTAGGTCCAAAATTTGAAAGAGAAGAATCAATTTGCAGATTTTGTAAACTAAGAACCTTAACAAAAAAGAGGCTAAAACACTGTGTCATAACACAGAAAAACAAAAACTGAAGAACAATTTGGGTGGAAACTAAACAGTCACAAAAGATCCGTGGAACCCACTCACAAAACAAAAAAAAAAAGGTTTAGATTTTGTTTTTGGTGTGTGGGTACCTTCTTTAACCTTTTGAAGGGCTTCGTAAAGAGGTTTTTGCTTCTTCTTCTTAAGAACAGTACCGAAATGGTGAAGCAAACGCTCCACCGCCAGTGAAATCGCGACGATGACCGTACAAACTCCGGCGACGACCCACGTCGGAGTGAATTCAAGCGACATCCCTTCTCCTCCATGACCCATTTTTACTTCTGTCAGAAGAAAAAAGAGAGAATTTAGAGATATAAAAGTTGAATCTGGGAACACAAAATCGGACAAAGGAAGAGTCTTTATTATATGTACCACACTGGAATGTCGGGTCGAGGAAGAGAAATCAGAAATGAGTGAGAGACAGATTTTTCTGAGTTTTTTTTATTATTGTCCCTCTGTGTTGATTTGTCAACAATACTAATAGCTTGATTAGTTATTAATTATGGTAAATAATCTCTATGTAATTGATAACGACCTTAATATAGAAAGAAATTAGAACTCTTTCCACACTTTAGTAGTATTAATAAAAAATCTGTGCGGCAAATTTGGAAACGCGTTTTCCACTTTCCAGTTTCCATATTATTCGTTCGTTTCGTTTCTATTCTTAATTTGTGACAGTTGTATATAATTATGATTTATGAGGAGGTCTAAACTCTAAAGTTATAATAACTGATATGTGATTTTAGACCTTTAGATTCCCAACTCATTTGAGCGGTTGTTGTCAATTAATTGCATGTGGTCAACTGTCGACTCATCCAATTGTCGGAGAATCATACCGTTGTCCGAAACAGTAATGCTAATTTATCTATTTTATTATAGTACTGGATTAGATTGGATTGGATTAACGTGATTATAGCACGAAGTTGTTAAAAAAGTGTCAAAGAACAATGTGAACTCTGGTTTCTTCAGATCAAGCATTCATGTCTACCTGATAATGCTCGAAAAATATATAAGATATATAAGATTGATTCGGTTCGACCGATCTTATATTAAATTTGATTTTTATTCCCACTACATAAATTTTTACAAGCATTTAGAGGAGTGATGATTTTATTACAATTATATATTTTTTTTCTAAGTTGGACTTCTAAACTAGAAATTTATTTTAATTTAAAAGTATGGTTTTGACAAGAAAAAAAATTCTATATAATTTTAAAATTTTAAACTTGTAAAATAGAATATAAAAATTCTAATAAAATTCTTATGATCTTATAAATTACATTATATACTTTTTTTGTGCACCAAATTACTATCTATATAGTAAAGAAAGTCATTTATGCTTATGTGTCACATTTACAATTATTTTCAGCCTTTTCATTTTTCATTTATTTAATTTTACAGTCTTTCTTTCTAAATATTTTGATTCTACTATATGTCTATCCATCTTAATAAATTTGTGCTATTTTTAGAACTTTGAAGATTGTGTGCTAGTTTTAGTAAAAATCTTATTTTTGTGCTATTTATGAGAATTGTCCAATATTTTACTATCTTAATAAATTAAAAATTATATTTTACTAGTAACTTAAAAGTCAAAATGTAAGATTGTTTTTGAAAATAAAAAATAAACAAAAAATGATTCGACGAAAAACAAAGGAAAACTAACAAAGAAAAAAAAAACCTACGAAGACTTGAGCCCGAAAAGAAAAGAACAAATACTGAATAAAAAGGCCCATATTTAGAAGAAATAGTTAAGAAGGCCCAATTATGATAGAATCCAGCCCATTTATATTATCTGGAAGGCAAATAAGAAAATGGCAAAAACGAAATAATCTGAAAAAGTAAGGTCCTTTACCAAAAAAGATAATTTTTATAAACAGAGCATAAAGTTTTCACTTTTCTTCTGCTCCTTTCTCGTCTCTGTCTTCTTCGTCCTCATTCGTTTTAAAGCATCAAAAAAAATCATCAAATAAAAAAGTCTGTAGCTTTCGCATGTAAATCCCTCCTTGAAGGTTTCTAACTCGTTAATCGTAACTCACAGTGACTCGTTCGAGTCAAAGTCTCTGTTTTTAACTCAAAACCATGGCTAGTAACAACCCTCACGACAACCTTTCTGACCAAACTCCTTCTGATGATTTCTTCGAGCAAATCCTCGGTCTTCCTAACTTCTCAGCCTCTTCCGCCGCCGGTTTATCTGGAGTTGACGGGGGATTAGGTGGCGGAGCACCGCCGATGATGCTGCAGTTGGGTTCCGGAGACGAAGGAAGTCATATGGGTGGCTTAGGAGGAAGTGGACCAACTGGGTTTCACAATCAGATGTTTCCTTTAGGGTTAAGTCTTGATCAAGGGAAAGGACCTGGCTTTCTTAGACCTGAAGGAGGACATGGAAGTGGGAAAAGATTCTCAGATGATGTTGTTGATAATCGATGTTCTTCTATGAAACCTGTAAGTTCAGTTCTCGGTTTCTTATATTGTTTTTTTTACCTTTTGTTTGGTGTTTGTTACTTTGTTTATTAGAAATGCAACTTTTTTGATAACTTTTGTTTTTGATTTGTGGTAAGTAGTTGAAAAAGTCAGTCTTGGGATTTACTTATGGATTTTGAGATTTTTAGCAATGTTGATGATTTGCTTTATGTGTTTTTTTTTTTGGCTCAGACTTGTTGAATCTAATTGATTTTGGTTTGTTTAGTAGAACTATTAGTTTGAAATTTTTATGCTACATAGCTCTTGTTGCTCTATGACTATGAGCAACTTCTCACTAGTTCATGTAGCTGTGTGGCTGCTCTTGTCTTCTAAGTTGGTCAAATGAGTAATCTTAAGGCTCTTACTTAAATCATTTTCTTCATATGATCATTAATTAGCCTTGCAACTTTATTCAGATTTAAGTGTTTTCTCTTACAACTAATGGAGTCAATTCTTGTGCAAATAGTTTAATTTCGTCTGTTCTTACTTCTTTTGTGTGTTATCTGGAAGGTTTTCCACGGGCAGCCTATGCAACAGCCAGCACCATCGGCACCACATCAGCCTACATCAATCCGCCCTAGGGTTCGAGCTAGGCGTGGTCAGGCTACTGATCCACACAGCATCGCTGAGCGGGTAAAGTTTGATACACTTTCCTTCAGATTCTCCTTTACATTTCTTTATGATATACAGGTTGTTGATAGTCGAAAGATGTAGACTTTATTTGTTATCATCTTGTAGTGATATCTTGGTTTTTTGGAGGGATAAGCTGATAGTTTGTTTTACTTTGCCACAGCTACGTAGGGAAAGAATAGCAGAACGGATCAGGGCGCTGCAAGAACTCGTACCTACTGTGAACAAGGTCGGTATCTTTCTCCTGGAGCCTTACCTGTAGATAATCTAAGGCATGGGAACATTTCATATTTCTGTTATTTGAAGTTCTAGAAGGCTTAACACTTTCTGTTTCTCCCGTCTTTGTTTGCAGACCGATAGAGCTGCTATGATCGATGAGATTGTCGATTATGTAAAGTTTCTCAGGCTCCAAGTTAAGGTATATTCTCTCTTCTACAATTTTAAACTAGAACTTTTCTTTCCTGTGAATTGTCTTATTACTCCCTATGCAATATGTTTAATCTGTTTGTTCATAAGATTAGAGATCTAAAAATCATGTCTTTCAAATTCTCTGGATGGATTTCTGGTCTTAATTCTGGTCCCACCATTACCTACCCTTCAACCAAATTTCAATCTGATTAGATCAGTTTTTTAATGTATGAAAGAATAAACAAGTCCAAAATGCTTTTGTTTTCTTTGGCATTTAGTCTCTTTTCACTTTTTGTTTTGTCATAGGGAGCCTAATCACAGTTTAGGATTATAATACCATATTCAACAATAATTACAATCATCATGTTCACATTATTAATATAATCTGGTAGATCAAATGCTTCTTATTGTATATCAAAATGCAGTCGGTTACTTAAAGCTCTCGCAAGCGAAAAAAGGAACTCTCTTTACTTTAAAAGATAATGGAGACACTAAAGAAACAGAATGCAATGATGGATTTCTGATAAGATAATACATCTTTTGTTTAAAAATATAAAATGTGTTTCTTGTGAAATCTTCCATGCTCATCTAAAAGTAAAGCTTTTTTAATATAATTTTCGTGGGCTAAAGCTTATCCCTTTCAATGATATCTATCTCTCTTTGTCAACTTTGGTAGGTTTTGAGCATGAGCCGACTTGGTGGAGCCGGTGCGGTTGCTCCACTTGTTACTGATATGCCTCTTTCATCATCAGTTGAGGTAAAAACTTTTTAAGAGAAAAAGAAGAAAAGGTAAAAACTTTAGTAATGGGGTTTTGATTCAAATTTTACTTAAAATCTCAATAGGATGAAACGGGTGATGGTGGAAGGACTCCGCAACCCGCATGGGAGAAATGGTCTAACGATGGGACTGAACGTCAAGTGGCTAAACTGATGGAAGAAAATGTTGGAGCCGCGATGCAGCTTCTTCAATCAAAGGCTCTTTGTATGATGCCAATCTCATTGGCAATGGCAATTTACCATTCTCAGCCTCCGGATACATCTTCAGTGGTCAAGCCAGAGACGAATCCTCCACAGTAGGATTTGTGCAATAAAAGAGTTTGTACAGCAATCCAACGGTCCAACATGGGTTTTGCTTCTGCTCTAATGACTTCTCTACTCTCACACCCACTTGAAAGGTAAAAAAGGTGAAAAAGGCTTTGTAGATGGAATCAATGTAGGATTTGCAGTAGAGGGAAGAAATTGTCAAAAAGCTCACTTGATTAAGTATTATTGTTATTATTTTACCTTTATTTTAGGTGGACTTTGATGAAAGCAACTTTTTGTTTTCAAGACTTTAGTGGGAGGTTGAGGAAGGAGCTTGCAGGGGTATTATTATTAGTAGTAGTAGTGGGAAGGTGTGGGACCTTGTTGAGTTATGTTCAAATTGAAGAAAAATAAGTATTTGTAATTTGTCACCCCTTGTATTATTATTTATTTTGTATGACTTTGGAGTAATATAATAATCAAATAATAATTGTTAGTTTGTACTAGTAACCTTCTTTTGTTAACATTGGAAACATAAGGCAAAGATTTTAGGAGAAAAAGACCATGAATTGTGCTTCTTTTTTGAGTTTTTAAGTGTTTAATTTCAACTTCCAAATCTCAAATGCTAAAATATATACATTTTGGACAGAGCATGTAGCAATTTAAACGTTTACATTTGTATATAGTGAAGACAAAATACAATTTTTTTATTATCTTGTTAGTTTTTGGACAAAAAAAAACCAAAAAAAAAAAAAAACTCATCGAAGCTTTAAAGTTATTGATCTGATTATGTGATTCATTAAATAAATCATTCTGCCAAATATTCTTTTTAGACAAAAGTTTGGAAAATCTTGGTCTTTTAAAGTAACACATACAAGTTTTTCTTATTACAATTTCACATAAATCTTGGAAGTGAGATAGTAATAAACGAGGATGATTTTGGCAATTTGTTTAAAATGGGTCTAAATTCCAAACCAAGAAGACTACAAAGAGTATGCAAACTCAATTTGATGCTACAGCGTCAAACATCGCTATAGCCTTTGCGTTATTGAACCACATAAAACTGCGGCGAACAGAACTTAGCTTAGCATGCATCAAGATCACGGAATTGCGGTGGCTTAGGCTCACCAAGGAGTGTCGTATTTCCTCCTTCTGGTCCACACTTGATCCTCTTCGGGTTCTGAGTTCCATGCTGAGAAACAAAGATTAACATCATGAGAAGTTGGATTTGGGGTTTGACTTAAAGGGTGTGTTCAATCTAGGTTATACTGAACCAACCCAAAAATGCATTAAAAAATTAATCTGAAAACCAAACCAACAGGAAATAAAACACGTTGTTTTCATTTTTGCTATACACAAAACAAACAGTAACCAAAAATAAAATAAATTGTTTCAAACCTCAATCATTTTCCAAATTGTCTCCTAAACAAAACTCAATCGAAATCGGAAACTCCAAAATCAAACAAAGTGAACCGAAACCTGATTGGGCACCTCTTTAGACCGTTAGGCAACCAGATTGTTTTACCCAACCGTTTCAATGTGATAGTATGAGAAAAACATCAGGCAAGTATACAAATGCAATGGGTTAGTTTAATGTCTTACCGGTGGCTTTTCTCCTTTTCTCAGCTTTTCAACAATTTCTACGACTTTCTCAGGTGTGACATCTTCCTGTGTATTGTAGCATAAGATAGTGTTAATACGAATTTACTCTTTGTCGATGTAATCGAATAAACAAACAATAATGCGGGAGAAAGAAAAGTTATTGGATGAGGTTTGACATACGAAATAGTTATATGTATATCCTTCTGATCCATTCGAATAGTCTGCCACAGTGATCATGGGTGCATTAACACAACAACCCTGTAACAAAACCAAATACATGAGATGAGATTTCATGTGAAAGTATTAATATCGGCAGATGGTTCTGCATGAATTTACAATTTACAGAAAGTAAAGAGATGATGCAAAATCCATACCATGCATTCCATCTCTCCAACAGAGAACAAACCATCCTTGGTGACTTCTGCAAAAACACAATACCAAATATTGTTATGACTGAACATCAACATATGATTTTGTTAATGAAAGGAAGCTCATAGAGCTTTACCACCGCGTTTCACTCCCAAATGGTCTAGCAAAGCTGATTCGATGTCTCGTGAACCACGGATCATGCATGGTGTTGTGCCACAAACTAGAAGGTGGTACTTTCCAACCTGTAAGAGAAAATGAAGGATGAGTTTGTGATGCGTGTTTTGACGAGCACAATAGAGACTTGAGTTTATGGGTAGTAGGTACTTCTTACCTTTGCCCGGTTGAACATTGAGTAAAATGTTGCAACCTCATAAACACGGATAGGAGCAACTTCTATAACTTTAGCAACCTGAAACATTTGTTGTATCGTTATGCTGGTAAAATCACATCAACGGGTGTTGTGTTCCAAAAAATGAGGTGCAAAAAATCAAGTCTAACGGCAACAATCAAACAAAAGTGGAAATGTCAAAAGAAAGATATTTATAAACACCCACTTCAGAATCTTCAATCAGTAAGAGAAAAGCTGAATAATACTTAACAAAGACATACCGCATTCATAGCTGAAACAGGGAGCCAGCCTCCATGCTGCTGTTGTGCAAGATCTAGAAGAGGAATAACTGCGGACTGCTTGTAATTGGATGGATAGTAAGAGAGTATCTCCTTAACCTACACAAGTTGGACAAAATGTTAGAATGTCCAAAAATCTGGATGCATGGGAAAATCGAATTCACTGTATACGTAAGATTACTGCAGCTAAACATGAAAGATGCAGTAAACTGGAACCAAATGCACAAGAATGTATTAGTACTTTTAATTCCATAAAACCGGTATTAGTAATTCCTGGATAATCTTTCTCCCACACAACACAAGAAAATCCGTGTTAGCCATTTGGGTCCTTTACTCTAAGTCTCCCCTAAATCAGTTCCAGAGTAGCCAATTCTAAGTATGCATGTACAAATAGGCAATCCAAAATATCAAATAACCCAGTCCTTGCTGTTTAATATTCTTTCGAAGAATGCTAACTCAGAGGACCATAAATAATGCCTAATCAGGGGGCAGGGACTATGTTAACTAGGGTGGTCGAATAAAGCCATTTCCTTTTAATCAAAATGGGGAACGAGGGCTAAAGATTCCAACATTTTCCCGTAAAGAGTATAAATTATTTCCACCATTACTAACATTTCACCCGAAAATTCTGTAACTAAGGTGACAATCTACATCACCAAATTAGTTCATGTCTGTATTGACCTCTACTGAATAAAATCCCCAATTCGTTCAACACAACTGTAAATTTTTCATCATTATCACAGAAAGAAGCGATTTTATTGACTGACCTTAGATTGGTTTGCCTCAGAAAACTCCCATGGAAGATCGGGTTTGTTATCAGGAGAATCCAGATGCTATAAGTAATCAAAACAACAACAAAATCAAATGCCAATTAATTTCAACTAAAAAAATTAACCAAAATTGAAGCATAGATCAGAGAGAATATCCAACACTCACGTAATTTAAGGCCGTCGATAAGCTACGAGATACCTGCAAGATAGAGAATGACCAAAACGGAGAATGAGATCGGGAAAAGCCCGGAGAAAAACTGAGAGGAAGCAAGTTATACCTGAGAGGTTGGTTGACGGAAAACTTGACGGATCTCGAGAAGACGCTTAGCGGCGAGCCGAGCCAGCATTTTCGACAACTTAAGAGAACGAGAGACGCACACGAAGCTTTTTTGATCTGAGCAAGGAGAAGCAGAGAAACCAAGGAGCTAGACTCGGTATCTCTCACTAATCAATCACCTGGCGCAGGATTGACTAAAGCCTCTCTGGGCCTACTAAAATAAGCCTGAGTCCAATTCATTATAAGCCTATTACTATTGGGTTACGATTTAGGCCTTTTAAAAAAAAGGACTGATACATACGAGCAGGTTTCATTTTATTAATTATAAATAAGCCCAGACATGTATACATAAACCTTGCTGGTTGATGAAAAACAAAAAAAACAAAAAACCTTGCTGGTTGATAATTTGCATCCTCCTTCGTCATATATGGCAATGGCATGATTCTTTGTTTGTTTAACATAATCATCACAAAACATCTGGCTCAATGGAGTAAATGACTCAAAATATATATTGTAGTAGGATATGACCCGCGGTACACCGCGGGTTAATTATTTGATTTTTTTTTTTATTTTTTTATAAACTGATGAATTTGTTGTGTATGATATTTTTTGTTGTACATCGCGGGTTACATGCGTTGTATATAAAAAATAAAAATTTTAAGTTGTATTTGTTTTGTTTACTGTTTAAGATTGTATAATTAAATTTTGATTTGTTAATTCTAGGATTTCACCCGTGGTATATTGTCCCGTATTAATATCGACCCAAACCCGTCCCACCATATACTCCTGTCCTGTGGAATTAAACATCATTTTGTTATTTTTTTAATAACACTTTTATTTAAAAGATATATAATTCGAGTCAATTTAAAAGTTTACTTTCAAATAGTTTCCATAATATATATTTTTTAAAATTAGTATGTGTTTTTGGACCAACCCGTAAAAACAATTTATAATTGTATCTTAAAATACTAAATAATTGTATTTTGATTTGTTAATTTTAGGATCTCACCCGTGGGCTTACAAAAAAACAAAAGGATCTCACCCGTGGTATACTGTCCCGTTTTAGATAATTGTAGAAATTAAGAAAAGATCTGAATGACTCAATTTCGGGTCAGAATAAAAAAAACGACCCGATTAAATGTGCAATTTGTTCTTAAAAAATGTTAATATAGATTACACACATACTTTTTTTCTTTATCGATTGAGTAATATATGTCTGTTTTAAAAAATTTGAATCATAACATATGCAGAAAAAAAAAAAACTAAAATTTATTAACTATATATATTTTATAATAATTCAAAATAATATAAAAATAAGATCAAATAAAAGTGAAATGAGAATCATATATTTATGTTTAAATTAAGTAGAGAGATTTTAGGAAATTAGCTCAAATTTGTTATATTATCATTAAATTATCATATTTGATTTCCTACTTTATAAAAATTGTAAAAAATATACCATAAATAAATAGTTTAGATATAGTAATTAGTTGAGAAAATATATATAATTTAGATTTTATTAGGTATTTTCGTTTTTAAATTTTGCCATAATTTAAGGAAAGATCCGATTGAAGATTTCCGGGTCAAAATCAGAAAAAAAAACCCGACCCGATTAGAGGAGCAAATTTGTACTTCAAAAATGTTAAGTAGATGAACAGAATATCTCCATGTCGTATATATCCCTGTCTAGGCTCCAAATATCCTCTTGATGATCCGTTCATAATTCATATTAACCCAACCAACAAAAAAGAAAAAACACACATCTCCATCATCCACCTATTTTAAATTGTCATTAACCTTTACCCTATCCGTCTTTATAGCTTAGGAAAATGGTTTAAATATAAAACATTCGTCCTAAGCACAATCGCACGATTCTGGTTGACCCAATGACCTAGGTTATTCTGATGATTTTTAATTTCGCCGTTTGATTCCTTCTGTTCATCTTTGTCTCATTAGCGTTCGATTGTAAGAAATCTCTTAAGAATTGTTACCAATCTCCCATCCGTCAATATAACAAACAAAGATACATAAAACTTAAATAATATGATCAACGATGAATATATTTGAAAGCAGAGATTCAATCATTAAGGCCATTTCTCCATCTCCATTAAATATCCAAGAAACAAAACCCCACAAGGTAAATTTGCATCCCAAAAAAAAAAACACGACCGAAATTTTTAAAAGAGGAAAAAATAGCGAAAATGAAGCGATAATTTTTTTAGGATAGTATCCATATGGACTTCTAATATACAAAGCAGATCCTCCGATGCATTACCTTTCATGAGCCAACCACTTCCATAGTTGTTTTGCCCTAAGCCAAGTACCTAAACATGTTAGGATTCTCCTTGTCCCTCTCCAAATAATCTCTGGTTATTAAATCCTCCATACGTTTCTTGATCGCTTTGATATCAGGCTGCCACAAAGTCACAAATCCAATGAGTTTCATAAACTCATCACTACCTGCATTTTCAAATGTCTCTGTATATCTGTCTAATTACCTTGAACATTCGGCTAAGTTGCTCAACACACTCAGAAACAAGCTGTTGATGTCCCAATACTTTCCTGCTCTTCATGATCCTGACAATGGCAGCATCAATTGCATAGCGTCTGTCTTTATCGACATCTTCAACGACTTTCTTCCTTTCATCAACTGGGGGAAGAGGGATCTGTGATGCAAATCACCGAACGAAGTTGATGTTAGTGATGAACAAATATGTAAAACATGACAGAAACTTGCAGAATTTTGAGTAATTATATTAACGTCACAAACCTTGATTCTGCGCATCCTATCGGTGAATTTTGAGTTGAACTCAAAGACATCAGTCTGAGAGACAGTCTTGGTGCTTGGTTCCTTAAGGAGAATCTTGTACTTAGCACATGACAAGGAATGAAGTAACCTAACTAGATCTTCATGGCTTAGGTTCAGTTGAGCCAAGATCTCAGTGTAATTTAACTTGTCAGTTGTGTTGAAGAGTAGAAGCACAGCAGCCTATAGAGACGGAGAACGTGGCATCAGAGGCCATTTAAAATATTTATCAGTATTTTCTAAGAAACAAAAGGTACCTGGTAAGTAGACACAATTAACTCGATGGACTTTTGATCAAACTTCCCGTTGATGTGACAAGTTCCCAGTGAATAGATCCACGTAAGCTTCCTGTGTTTCGTTTTCGTTTCATAAAACCCTTTGAAGACTTCAACACACTTGATCTGAAACAAAGAATCAACGAATTAGATCTATCAGGAGTAAACTTTCTCCTTTTCAGGTATATACGCAAATCAATAGAATTTTTACCATTTCACTAGGTAGATTTATGTCAAATGATTTGTAACTTGGCCAGAAACCAGTGGTAAGAACAGTGACAGTCAAATCAATCCCAGGGTTTGCAGCAGGGTTATTGCCTAGATAATCCTCGAAACTGTTTTGGTTTTCTCTAGCCAATGTCAAATCTGTCACCTGCAACCAACGGATAATAAGTATAAAAAAACATAAGTTATCAGAGCAAGCACCGTTTTAAAAAAAGAAACACAGGGACACTCAAGCTAACCATGCCCTCCATCTTAGAAGTAAACTGTCCACCACATTGTTGCTTGAGCTTTGTAAGGATACTTCTCTCATGATCATCATTAGCACTGCGATCAAATAAGAGCCTGCGGGCCAGCTTCTTCCTGCAATCAACCATAAACAAAACAGCTTGCAACTCAGTAATCCAAGTTTTGTCTATCCAATACTATATTGTTGCAAGGTATCTCCACAAAAAGCTAGTAAAGACAAAACAGTACAAGAAAAACAAAGAGTAGAAGCAAAAAGGGGATCCACAGATAAAGAAAGAATGGAGTGAGAGATAAACCTGTAGAACTCAGCAAAAAGATCCTTGTCACTTATGTATGCAAGCAATTTGACCACCTGTAACAACATTATAAAATTCAGACTGATTTCAGGAGACTTGAAAAAGAAATAACAGTTTGACAAAAGTACCTTCTCAAGCGTATCTTCAATAGCTTCATCACTTAGTTTTTCACTTCCCCCCTTCTTGAGAATATTGTCGCAAAATGTTGCAAGTAGTTCTGCACTTGAACTTCCAGCTACCGTTTTGTTACAGAAAATCTCAAATGCCTCTTTCAAAGCCTACAATATGTTTCAAGAAACTTAGGTTAGTAACACAACATAATCATGAATAAGATAGACAAATGACAAGTGCGGAGAAAAAAAATTAGACCTTATGGAAGAGGGTGTGGTTCTGGAAACATTCGGTGACATATACCATGTATTTATCATGAAGTTCAATCACTTTTCTGATAAGAACCTGAAAAAAGTGAAAGGGTAGTGAATCGTGAACAATTTTATACCAAAAAAGAAGTGAATCGCTAATCTCCAAAATATCTCGACTACTACATCTATAATCGGTTTGTAATTTTACCTGTTCCTGGACACTAGCAGTATTTGCAGCCTGTGGAGTAAAAACGATCTTAGCAATCACAAGTGAAGCAAACAAAACAGAAGAGTTTTCTGAATAAACAAGTAAAATAATATGAACCTGATTTGTAGCCGTGTCTTCGGCCTGTTGGACAAGAGTGTTACCCTCTGCTGTGACATGCTGTATATGAATTACAAGTTACAGTTAATGTCATACAGCAATTAAGAGACTGAAAGTACACCATGAAGAAAAGACCATCCATTTGCTAATCGTAAACAAAAGAATGAAGATAGGTAATAAACCTGTTTAAAGATGTTAGCAACAGGTTCCAAACCTCGCACAATTTTATGGTAAAGCCTGTACATCCTGGAGAGATCATCGACCTGAAAGTAGACAAATATACTCCATCAAATAAAGAATTAAGACACTAACTACTTAACAATAAAAACAAATATACTTGCTCTACCTTGTCATCTCTTAGCAATGCACGGCACCCTGAGTGCTCTTTTTCTAGAAGTTGACTTGCATACACTACCAGCAATTCATGTTGTACTTTCTGCATACAAAAGATAGCTATATAAGTCAAACAGATATCAATCTTTAAAACAATATATGCCTGGACCACGGAGTTAAGAAGAGCCTGAAAAGTATTTCTTTACAAATAAAAATTCAAAATCAAGGCTTATGCAAGATATATGGTTTCTTCATCAAATGTATAAGTATAACCATAATTACATAATGTATAGTAACCAACCTCAACCAGCTTTGGCTCACTGCTGGAGTGAAGGTAGTGAGTCACCCTCTCCCTCTCCTTCTTTAGACATTCTTCAGACTGTAACATGAAAGCACATAAGTTAGTAAATACATTTAACTAGAGTGAAATGGAAACAAAATTTAGAAAATGATGTCACGAGTCATGCCTTCAACATGTAATCAGGGCAAGAATCTTCCTGAATCCAGCTTGATGCCTTGCGAGAATAGTAAGATGATGTATCTTGAAGCATGAAGCTTTCAAAATCTTCTTCATATCTTTCCATCTGTCCCATTCCAATCTCTACATAGATATCTAATACGTTTTTCAGTAGAGCCCTATCAATCTGCTCGCCCTCCCGTTCTTTATCAACCTGACAGAAGAACAGGTTATGTTAGACCTTGAATCAGGTAAAAACCAGAGTTGGATGTAACTGCACAACATTATGGATGCCATACTTACAAGTGCTATTACAGCTTCTTTGACCTTAGAATGCAACTCATTATAAACCTGAAGCAAACAAAATCAAGGAAAAGTTAAAAATATTTGAATTCAAAGGAAAGCTATAAAGTTACAGAATGAATGCATACCAGGTCACGGAAGCATGTCAAGCCAACTTCATTCAGTGGTGGAAGTGATCTCCGAGCAATGAAGTAACGGTCAAGATAGTAGAAGAAGCGGGATAGCCATCTAACCATAACTTTATGGTTCGACCATCTTTTAACCAGCTCCCGCAGCATGTATTCATCATGCTTCTCCCTCAAAGCAGGCAAAACCTAAACATAGAAAACAAGAGAGGAAACAATCAAAACTGTTTGCTCAACTTAAGAATCAAGAGGGTACACGACTTCTTGACATATGAAACCATGCACAAAAGTAACATCTTATGATTCAGACAATGAGTAAAGGTAGTAAAAACTTCACGAGGAGCTTAACAGAAAGAAACTAAATATCAATCAGACTCACTGTTGAGTTAATATATTCCTCAAATGCTTCACGGTACTTGTCGTAAAGCTGCTGTGAATAATCATGAGGAGGTTTCTGGGTGCACATGTTGTAGATAGTCCTGAGAATCACATAAAAATCCCATCATAAGTACCAGTTACAAACAACCAACCACTGTAAGGTTATAAAGAAGTATAAAACCTACGTGTAGAGCATCATATATTGCTCAGAGTCAAATGCTGGCTCGGGCAATCCTTCCAGAATCCGTTTCAGCTTGGTAATCCCAGTCTGCATATAGTCCCATCCTTGCTCCAAGTCAATAGTCTTGCGCTCCATGTTGACAAACAACTTTTGAAGCTCTCCTCAACCTGAGCTAGCCAAAGAACAAGAAGAAAACCAAAATTTAGAACCGCAGTAACAAGACACACAATGAAATGACTGAAGCGAGAGAAACAACAACATTATTCATTCTTCAGAGGTTATAATAACACATTAACAACCACATTATCGAATTGGAAACAAGTATTATCACCCAAATCAAACCCAGACTATCAGATTGTACGAAAACGAGGCCAGATGCATCAAGAGATACTATAGAAACAAAAAATCCATGAAATAATCACAAAATTACACAGTAGAAACGCAATACAGAGAGACCGATGTAACCCTAACAATCCCGATCCCACAAAAACTCAAAATAAAAACCTAGATAGACGAACGAACAACAAAATCATCCAAAAATCAACAGTCGTATGGAACAAAACAAGCGAGAAATCGAAACAAGTAGTGATAACCAGAGATCTTAAACCCTAATAATCAGAAAAAGGCGTCGCCGTACCCTAAACAGACCTTGACGATTACCGATTCCCGATTATACAGGATCGGCGAGAGCTGCTGCGATCGAAAAAGAAGCGAGAGAGAATCAAAACCCTAAGAATCGTTCAGAGAAAAGCGTAGATTAGAGAGAAAGAGAGACGAGACCTTTGAGAAGGGCGGTGAAAAGATATCTAAGGAAACAAACTCGTTCTCTTCTATTATTTTCAGGTCTTATAGATTTTTTATTTTTTATGTTAAAAAATTTATTAATATTAAAACAAATTTAATTTCTTACCTTTTCACAGATCTACCTCAAAACGCTGCGTTTTAATTTCTTTTTTATTTACTTTTATGCCCTTTTATTTTGCCGTCTTTACTCAAACCCAAACCCTAACCCGATTCGACTTTTCGACAATCCGAAAATTAGGTAACCATGTTCATTGAATTTATCATTCCACACATTCGAATCACTGAGTCCTAGGTAGAGACGAATTCCCTGATGCACATTTTGAATTCGGTTTGCGTATTGGTCTTCGAGTTTTCCGTCGGCGGCCATGGACGCGTTCAAGGAGGAGATAGAAATCGGGAGCTCGGTGGAGTCTTTAATGGAGCTATTGGATTCACAGAAGGTGCTTTTTCATAGCCAGATCGATCAGCTCCAAGATGTCGTCGTTGCGCAATGCAAACTTACCGGCGTTAACCCCCTTGCGCAAGAAATGGTCGGTTATTGATGTTTTTTGTTGATATCGAAAGTTCGTGTTTTTTTTTTTAATGGGGTAATAGTGTTTTTGGTGATATGGGCAAAGCTGAGAAGGACAAGTCATACGGATTTCGGTATAAATTCTCTTTAGTGTATTGAGTCTAGCAAAAATTAGAGGTGTTTTTGGTTTAAATTCATATAGCTCGACCTCTCCGTTTCTTCTGTGAACTGTAATGGTGATCGTTCGACTGTTTATATGTCACTTCGCCGTCCAAGTAATCATTTGTTCAGCTCTGTTAAAGACATTGATCTGTTTTGTTTCTATTTTTGCAGGCTGCTGGTGCTTTGTCCATAAAAATTGGTGAGTCATCTTAGGATTCGTGAGATCTTTTGGCATGATTACATATATCACAGAGAATGTTTCAATTCATTGTTGATCTCTAGATGCCTAGTATCTGATGAATTTGTGAATGTTTCAGGAAAGCGGCCAAGAGACTTGTTGAATCCAAAGGCTGTTAAGTATCTACAAGCAGTTTTCGCAATTAAAGATGCTATTAGTAAGAGGGAATCTCGGGAGATAAGTGCTCTATTTGGCATCACAGTCGCCCAGGTATCGTACTTCTTCTTGATAAATATTCTGTTTGGCTATGCTTTTTACATTCTATGTCCGATTTGATATGTCATGTTGAGTTGCTCACGAGACTTTGGTGGTATCTCTATTATTTTTTCAATGGCAGGTTCGAGAATTTTTTGTTACTCAAAAGACAAGAGTAAGGAAACAGGTGAGGCTTTCAAGGGAGAAGGTAATTATGTCCAATACGCATGCTTTACAAGAAGATGGTGTTCTGGAAAATAACAATGCCACAAATCATGTTGATCCCGTTCCTTTGAACTCTACACATCCGGAGGCATGTTCAATAAGTTGGGGTGAAGGTGAAACAGTGGCACTTATGCCACCGGAGGATATTCCACCTGACATCAGTGATTCAGACAAATACTTTGTTGAGAATATATTTTCTCTGCTGCGTAAAGAGGAAACATTTTCAGGCCAGGTGAAATTAATGGAGTGGATCATGCAGATACAAGATGCTTCTGTGCTGATCTGGTACTAATTGAGGGTTCTCTTTCACTCACTGTCTTATTTTATTATATTGTTATTATATTCCCGTCTTGACTCTTGACAGTCATTTTCTATGTGTGCACAGGTTTTTATCAAAAGGAGGGGTTTTGATACTTACAACATGGTTGAGTCAAGCTGCTAGTGAAGAGCAAACAAGTGTCTTACTTCTTATCCTGAAGGTACATGATTAATTTACTTCCTTGTAAAAATATTCAAAATGTTGTATTATGGGTAATTGATATTTAAGACGCAGGTTCTCTGTCATTTGCCTCTCCACAAAGCATCTCCTGAAAATATGTCCGCCATATTACAAAGCGTTAATGGACTTCGTTTCTATAGGACATCAGGTGTAATTTCCGAAAAACTTAAATGCTGTGTAGCTTTCATTAATGCCAAAGTTCTTGTGATTTATTCGATTTCATCATCTGATTTGAAGATCAGACATATCAAACAGGGCAAAAGGTTTGTTATCAAGGTGGACTAAGTTATTTGCGAAAATCCAAGCTATGAAGAAACAAAATCGTAACAGTTCGCAAATTGATTCACAGAGTCAATTGCTTCTGAAACAGAGGCAAGTTGTGACTTTATGTGTCGACTAGATACTTTTTCTTACCTCCCATTTTGTTGTTTAGTGACATTTTACTCATAGACTTCTGTCTTTGTTATGCAGTATTGCTGAAATCATGGGTGATAGTAGCAATCCTGTAAGTGGGGCAAAACATGATTCTATTTCTATTACGTGCTCCATATCAGTTCCCTAAAACCTTTTTTCGTGTTGTAACAGGAAGATATTCTTAGTCTCTCAAATGGAAGGTCAGAGAATGTCAGGTATCAGTTTGATTGTTAAATTCCATCTTAAATAGGTTCCCTTTTGATAGTTAGGTGGTTTCATAATTATTGGTTATCTTTTGGTCCAGGAGGTTTGAATCGTCACAGGGTCCAAAACTGTTGCTTACTTCTGCAGATGATTCCACCAAGAAACAAATGCTTGGTTCAAATCCATCATGTATCCTTGCGTTTGCGCTCTTTTATAAAAGCACCAGTTGATTTACATTTTTCTCAATGCATTGGATAAGTTAGCATATTGAACTCATTGGCTACTTCTGTTATTGAGTCGGTCTTATACATATGAAACCTGCTATGTCAAGAGAGCAACCAAATACTTCGCATCATGTTATGGTCCTTTTCCTAGCTCCGTATAATCCTTCGCTTCAAAGTTAGTTTCCTTAGCTTGCAGCAGATAACAAAGAACGCAGGAAAGTACAGATGGTGGAACAACCAGGCCAAAAAGCTGCTGGAAAGAGTCCTCAGACAGTAAGAATAGGAACTTCAGGTCGAAGCCGCCCTATGTCTGCTGATGATATTCAGAAAGCAAAGATGCGTGCCCTTTATATGCAGAGCAAGAACAGTAAAAAGGATCCTTTACCAAGTGCTATTGGTGATTCAAGAACTGTAGTTCCTGAGAAGCCCTTGGCTCTTCATTCCGCCAAGGATTCTCTATCTAGTCAGAACAATGAAGTTAAGTCTGAAGACACACCTGTACTTTCAGCTGTTCAGCCCGTCAATGGACCTTTGGCTGGTCAGCCCGTCAATGGACCTTTGGCTGGTCAGCCCGTCAATGGACCTTTGGCTGGTCAGCCCGTCAATGGACCTTTGGCTGGTCAAACCGTCAATGGACCTTTGGCTGGTCAAACCGTCAATGGACCTTCGGGTGTTCAGCCCGTCAATGGACCTTCGGCTGTAAATGTCCCGGTACAAGCTGATGAGATTAAAAAACCTTCAACACCTCCTAAAAGCATTTCTAGTAAGGTGGGAGTTTTGTTGAAAATGAGTTCACAAACTATTCTCAAGAATTGCAAGAGAAAACAGATTGCTTGGCGTGTACCACCAGGTATGTCATTCTTTGGATTTATATCTCGTTGACCACTTATGGAATAAGCTGAATGTGACTTTTCAGGGATGTTTCATTAGTTCACTTTTTATTTTGGTGGTTATTTAGGTCTCATTCTAATGCCTAGTTTTTTTCAGGAATGGAACTTGACGAACTCTGGAGAGTGGCCGCTGGTGGTAATAGCAAGGAGGCTGATGTTCAGAGAAACAGAAACCGGCGAGAAAGAGAAACAACATATCAGTCTCTTCAAACTATACCGTTGAACCCTAAGGAACCATGGGACAGGGAAATGGACTATGATGACAGTTTAACCCCTGAAATTCCATCTCAACAGCCACCAGAAGAAAGTTTAACGGAACCACAAGATTCACTTGATGAACGAAGAACTGCTGCTGGTGCTGCCACAACCTCTTCATCTCTAAGCAGTCCTGAACCTGATCTCGAGTTATTAGCTGCGTTACTTAAGAACCCAGATCTTGTTTATGCACTGACTTCGGGAAAGCCCAGTAATTTAGCCGGCCAAGATATGGTAAAACTGCTTGATGTGATTAAGACTGGTGCACCAAACTCAAGCAGTAGCTCAAATAAACAGGTTGAAGAAAGGGTCGAAGTTTCTCTTCCATCTCCCACTCCATCAACTAATCCTGGAATGGTGCGTTGCTTGAAACCTATGCACCCCAAATTCCTGGACATATTTGGAACCCCAATAATAGATCATGTTGCCAAATTGAATCTCATGATAATTAGTGATTCGAAAAATCACGCACATAGAAAAAGGAAAGAACTACATACAACAGGGCACAGGCTCTAGCTATCACCAAACTGGATTATGAATTCTAGCTGTTAGATCTAACCTGATGAATACAATGCCCTCATTGCAAGATGTTAATGTTCACTATTTCTTAACCTATAACTGATTTAAATGTGTTGTTCCATTTTTTACAGAGTGGATGGGGACAAGAAGGGATTCGGAATCCATTTTCAAGGCAAAACCAAGTTGGTGCTGCAGTTGCTAGATCGGGTGCTCAGCTTCGTGTTGGTTCAATGCAATGGCATCAAACAAATGAACAATCGATCCCACGACATGCTCCATCAGCATATAGTAACTCGATCACATTGGCTCACACAGAAAGAGAACAACAACAATATATGCAACCAAAACTTCATCACAATTTACATCTTCAACAACAACCAATTTCAACAACCTCGTATGCAGTTAGGGAACCGATAGGACAAATGGGGACAGCTTCATCGGGTTCATGGAGGTCCCAGCAGAGTCAAAACAGTTACTACTCACATCAAGAAAACGAGATTGCATCGGCTTCACAAGTTTCTTCATACCAAGGGAATAACCAGTACATGAGTAGCAATCCAGGATATGAATCATGGAGTCCTGATAATAGCCCAAGTAGGAACCATCCTAACATGAGGGGGCAACAACAACAACAAGGAGCATCAAGGAAACATGATTCTTCTACTCATCCTTATTGGAACCAAAACAAAAGATGGCGTTAAATATGAGAACTTTGGTCCTCAATATTTGTTTGTCAAGGTTGAATTAGCATTTTGCTCTCTTCAGACACAGATTTTCATTATTAACTCACAATAGATTCATAATAAACTAAAAGAAAGAATGGATAAAGTTGTTACAGTCTCAATTGGCTTCAAGGCTTTTCAAATAAGTCTTCATCATTATTCGACTAATTCCAAATCTGAATCAATTTTGTAACAGAGACACGATTTAAGCTTGATTACTTATGTAATTGGAAATTTTGGTATACAACGTCAATTTTTAGTGAGGATTGAAGATCTTATTGTTCTCCCAAATTGTAAACGAGCGTATCCTAAGTTTAGTCTTGTCTGTATCTGAATCAGTTTTGTAACCGGTCAAGCTGGTTTACTTGTGCAATTGGAAATTTTGGTATACAGTTTCTGTGAAGATTGATAGAATGGGAATATTGTTCTTATTTATTGGTACTACACAATTTTGATGTTGTTTCCCCAGATTGTAAAAGAGGGCGTCCATTTTAACCGATATCTTAACCGGTTTAGATGGATTAAGAGTACTTTCAAATAGCCGGGTTTTCTTTAACTAAAAAGTCTAAAACAACCATCTTTAGATTAAAACTTGGTTAAGGCCATTAAAGCTCATACAATCTAAAATTGCAAAAGTTAATAGCCGATTCATGTTATTGTTCTTACGGTTTCATAAAACAGGATAGGTCAAATTTTAATTTAGTCCGCTCTAATAATAAATTGTTCTAAATTCGTTCACAAGTCTGAAGTCTCTAATCGTCTCTAAATCCGTAATAGACATGAACCATTATCTAATTATGTTCATAATCTTGCAACTTGGATAGAAAAAAAAAACAGAACAATTAGATTCAAAAAAAAAAAGATTGAAAAGAGATGGAATGAGAGAGAGCCAATGATCAGATAATTGTAGTCTGAGTTTTAGTCGACACAATAAATTAATATATCCGAATAATCGTTATCATCAATTCATTGGCTCTTTCTCATCATCAAGCAAACCGAGAAAACTGAATTATGAAAATAAATTAGAAGTGAAGGCTCAGAAGGATCCATTGGTAAATTTTCTAATCAGAGTATTCCTCATAAAATAGGTAGTTTTTCATCATCACTGCCTTCACTCTAAACCCTAATTTCGCCAAAAACTCGAATTGAAAAAACAAAACCAAAAACGATTCAAATCTTCCAAGAAAATCACAATTGAAAACTGTCGAACCTAATTAAACTACGAAAAGAGAGAGATATCGAAACATGAATAAGAAAAATCGTACAACAAGCTACTTTGCAGAATATCGATCATTAGAATGAGTTGATTGAGAAAAGATATTACAGGCGGCAATATATAAGACAATGGAGGAAGCTAGGGTTTACGTTTTGGAAAAAATCGGATCGGTCCCGTTAACCCGGGATTATGGGCCTTGTAAATTTCATCGAATTCGGCCCATTAAGTATCTAGTTTCGGATCTGCCTCGTTATATTCGACCCGGGAAATTTTCACTGTGCATAGACGATGCCACGTAGACCGAGACGAAGAGAAAAAGAGTAGTTGAGAGAAATTTTCCGGGAAAAGGCAAGAAAATATCAGAACAAAAACGATTATTCTGGGTCCATTTTTTTCAAAGGTTTAATAAAAAAACGCACCGTTTTGTCAAAGCGATAATGGGGAAATTTCCTCGACGACTTTGGGTTTCTCGAGAAACAAAGTACAGAGAGAGAGAGTGGGTTCGAGGAAAAAGAAAAAAGGGGGAAACGAAACCCTAATCGAGCTTCTCCTTCTCGGAAATGTCCCACTTCCACCACTTTTGACTCCTCCGTTCATCGGCGATCTGAATCACCGTCAATCTGATTTCGTTTCTGTTTGAAGGTACACGCATTTAATTTCTGTATTTCCTCATCTACTACTGAGCAGCTGATTTGAGTGAGTTTCATCAGAGCTCTTCTTCGAATGTTGTTGATTTTCTTTGGCTTCTTCTTGTGATGAAATGGTCAATCACTTTCTGACATAAATTGAATCAGGAATGGATCAATATGGGATTCCAGTTCAGAGAAAAGAGATGAAGCATAAGGGGAGAAATGTTGTATGTCTTGGAATGGATAAGTGTTTGATTGAAGCTTTGGCTCTCCAGGCCAAAAACGGGAACAAAGTTGACAAATGTTTCAACGATAGTGCTTACACTGCTGCTTGTGTTGCTGTTAATGCTCGTTTCAATCTTAACTTGACTAGCCAGAAAGCCATCAATCGCCTCAAGACCATCAAGAAAAGGTACAAAGTGATGAGAGACATACTTAGTCATGACGGATTCTGGTGGAACTCGACCACTAAAATGATCGATTGCGAAAGTGATGAGCTCTGGAGAAGATATATTGCTGTAAGTTTATCCCTCTAGCATTAAAAGATCATCCTTCTTTGTGCACCATTATCAACTTAAAAATGGTTGGAGCAGGTGTACCCAGATGCAAAAGCTTTTAGGGGAAAGCAAATTGAGATGTACGAAGAACTTAGGACAGTATGCGGTGACTATCAAACTCCAGGTAAATATAACAAAGTGAAGAATGAAAGCAGTCATCATCTTAATGACGTAAAACGCTTTGAAGAAGACTCTGTTTCATTCCCTTTAGCAGCAAGTTCTGAAGAACATAGCGATACAGATGGAACAGAGTCATACGCTGGAGCAAGTGAGTATATGCATGAACAGTCTCAAGATCTTCCTCCTCCTCCTCCTCGAGATCCTTTAAGCCGACCTCTTAAACGTTCTCGAAACTCGGATCCATTTCAAGAAGATGCAATGTTAGCGGTTGCTTCTAGCATTCGCCGCCTAGCTGATGCAGTGGATCAAAGCAAAACTTTGATTAACACAGAGGAATTGTTGGAAGCAGTGATGGAGATTGATGGATTGGAAGAAGCAAAACAGATGTATGCATTTGAGTATCTGAATAGTGATCCAGTCAAAGCTAGAGCTTTCATGGCTTATAATAATAGGATGAGGAAGATGTTTTTGTTGCGGCAGTTTTGGTGGTGGAAGTAAAATATTGATTTGCTTCTATGGCCTAAAGAATTCTCCTCTTCTTTTTGGGTAATGTAGATGTCTTTTGAAGTTTGTATTTGCTAATGGTAAAAGTTGGAAATATTTGTTGAGGCCAATTTGGTTTTGTTGTGTCAAGTCATTTCGTCTAGTTGAGGCAACTAGGATTTCAAACCAAATGATTCAGTTTAACAATTTTTCCTTAGTATAAAGTTTAGCAAGTTCTCTTGTAGAAATTCTCAAATGTGTTATAAAGCATCATGGCATTTTATTTTGTCTAGAGATGGTTTTGGTTTTTAAACTTGACATATTCTCTAATGTAAAGTTAAACTCGAAATTCTAAACCTTAAAATCTAAAAATTAAACCCTATGTTATGAATAAGTGTTTAATTATGGTGAATATAAATTTAAATAATAGAAAAACTTTTATACCTGCAGAAGGACTGAGATTTGGGATACCGGATAATAAAGACCGAGTATATAAAATTTTGTTGTAATTGAGTTGTGAGTGAAGTGTTACAATGTACTATTTATCGTTCTATATAAAGGTAAAAGGATAATCTCCACACAAATTCTATAACATTTATCACATGTAAGCATCATTTTTATACCTCGTGAATTCCTCTTTTTATTGACTCTCTTAAAAATTTGGGTTTAGCAAGTTAAATAAATTATCAACTAACACATCTTAGACCAAAATCTAAAACGCAATACTTAAATTTCTCCAACTTCTGATTTATTTATTGTTTCCAAAATATTGGTCTAGCGAATTGAAAATGTAATATAAACTTGCTAGTTGCTACCATTGTATGATTTTTTAAAAATATATTGTAACATTCTATTAGTATTATATTATCAATTTCTCAAACACACTAATTATGCTTCATTTTGAGAAAATTTCAAAATTGCCAAAAAAAGAAATGAGAAAAAATAGTGAGAGTGAGTGATTGGAGGAAAATAACACAACGCAACAATCTAGCAAAGAGACCTTATCATCATCACCACCTAAACCATAATAAAACAATTCCTCTTCGAAAATGCCAACTACAAATTTCAAAGAAGAAGGAGAGAAGCAAAAATGGCGAAATCACTCCTTTGTTCATCAACCTTAAACCATTTCTTCTCCACCACTCTCTCTTCTTCAAAGAAGAGCCAAATTGCATACTCAGGAAACAGCAAGAACCAGACATCGACTCTGTTATGTAACAGAAGGGAACTGTCGCTTGGATTTATGAGCAGCTTAGTTGCGATTGGTCTCGCGAGTAATGACAGAAGAAGACACGACGCGAATGCTGCGATTCTTGAAGCTGACGACGATGAAGAGCTTCTGGAGAAAGTGAAGCAAGATCGGAAGAAGAGGATTGAGAGACAAGCTGTTCTTAATTCTGCTGTCAAGGAAAAGGGTACTTCTTCAATTTCCCTCTAATCTTTCATTGAAATTATCAATCTTTCATCTTTGTGTGTGTGTTGCAAAACTTGAATTTGTTGTGTTGTGTGTGTTACATTGAACAGATTACTCTAGTTTTAACAGTTTAATTTGGTTTGTTCGAAGGTCTTTACATTGAATCTGATCTAGTTTTGTTTCATTTATCTTCCTCCAATGCTACTGCTACATAAAGTAATCAGAACAAAATTGATGGAAAAGTTTACTCTTTTAGAGACAAATGTGTGTTCTTTGTGTTAAGGTCTCAATACTAGTTGGTTTTGTTTTCATTTATCTTCCTAGCCGCATGAAGTAATCAGAACAAACTGATGGAAAAGCTTTACTTTTGAGGACAATTTGTTTCCTCTTTGTGTTATGGTCTTTGTTAAATGGTTTGTTCCAGTGCCATTTACATTGAACCCTAGTCTGATTTTGTTGCATTTATCTTCCTTCAAGGCCACATGAAGTAATTGAGCAAATTATGGAAATTTGGGGAATTTTTGGGGGACAAATGTGCTTTCTCTTTGTGTTATGGTCTTCACAGTTGATTAAATTGTTCTAATGCTACTTGCATTGATCCCTAATCTGATTTAGTTTCCTTTATCTTCCTCCAATGCTACATGAAGTAATCAGAACAAATAGATGGAAAAGTTTTGCTCTTTTGAGGACAAATGTGCTTTTCTTTTAATTTTGTGTTGTGGTCTTCTTGGTTTTCAACCTAAAAGCACACATTTTACAGGGTATTTGCAGGATCTTGTTTACAAGTTAAGCAAAGTAGGACAAGCCATTGAGAACAATGATCTACCAGCTGCAGGTTTGGTTTTGGGGAAAGGCATTGATACCGAATGGGTCAAAACGGTTAATTTGGCTTTCACAAAGGTCTTTCTTGCTCCTTTTAACTCTTCACAAGGTCAAATCTATTAGTTCAATGTGGACACAACTGGTTAAAACATAAGTATATGTATCTTTTCTTTTAACAAGGTAGACTTTGTTTAATGGTTATGTTACTGTTTGTTGAAAAGTCCTTCTTTGTGTCCTTGTATGACAGTTGTGAGACAAGCCCAGAAGAGAATACAGAAGTGGGAAGCATTAACTTCATCATTAGCTTCTCTTATTACATCAGGTCTTGTTCTTCTACTTAACTTTATCATTATAAGAATCAAAATGTCATTAAAACATTGTAAATGATCTCCTTGAAACTTGGTTTACGATTCCTTTTTCGCAGTGAACAAGAACGATATAGAGTCATCGAAGCTCGCTTTCGTGTCATCGGCTGGTGCATTTGAGAAATGGACGACTTTGACAGGTCTTTGGACAGCTTAAGGGACTGTGATAGGCTGCTACAAATCTTTACTTTTTTTTTTTGTATTTTTCGACAGATTTGTCAAAGAGGGTCTTTTTTCTCCAAATAATCCTTTGATAATCCACTTTCTTAACTTCTTGGTTATATACATTTGATCATGCTTACCATGCATCAATATCAATATGGTTGATTTTCCATCGAATTCCACATCAAAAGGACCAAGAAACCATACCAAAACTTCTTTGGTTATCTGAACCAAATAAAAAATGATCCGACTAAAAAAGTAAAACTGAACACCTTTCTATTTGGTTCAGATGGTTGTGTACATTTTAGATATATAGAAAACGAACCAAAAAATAAGCAAAGCAAAAGTCTTATGAATAGTAAAAATATCCAATTTAACACAAACCAAAGGTAATTCAAGTATTCAACCAAAGCCGATAAAATCAGTATATACCTACTTGGATTCATATCCAAGAAACCTTAGTTCTATTGAAAACCGAGAAGGCATACCGATATAGCGCATCACAAATTACCCGAAACAAATACTGAACCGTCATACCAAGAAGGAGGCAAGTTACTAGATGAAGTCGGTAGGTGGAGTTTGAGTCATTTGGCCCTTTTCTCAGAATACATTGAATGCTTTATTAAAACTTTATCTCATAACCAATGTAAATAATACAAATATTCAAACGTTAATCAATCCAATTCAGCTTTGAAAAAAATCCTCCGAGAAGAAGAGTCAATATTGGTTGCGACGGTCCTGTAGAGATATTATTAAACATTAATGAGAAAGCAGAAATGCTTCTGTATAAATACCATCACTACTTGTGTCTTATTTCACCACCTTCACCTTCAACATCAAACATCACATCTCTTACTCAGTCTTCAAAGAGTTCTTAGTAACCAAATCAATGGCAGGTATCAAAGTTTTTCGGACACCCAGCTTCCATTGCCACCAGGAGAGTCCTCATCGCCCTCCACGAGAAGAACCTCGACTTTGAGCTCGTTCATATCGAACTCAAAGACGGTGAGCACAAGAAGGAGCCTTTCCTCTCCCGCAACGTAAGTATACTCTATCTATCTATCTATGTGTTGTTGTAAGACAAGAGACCAACTGTTTTTGATGTATCTGGTCGGAATCTAAGTGTTTTGGATTTGAACTTCTTTCCTCTTCAGCCTTTTGGACTAGTTCCAGCCTTTGAAGATGGAGACGTCAAGCTCTTCGGTATGAACCTTTTCCATGTATCATCTTCAATCTCAAATCTGATTTGACAATAGGCATTAGAAGGCAAAATCACTAATATGGATTGGATCTTTTTGTGCAGAATCAAGAGCGATTACTCAGTACATAGCTCACCAGTATGAAAACCAAGGAACCAACCTTCTCCAAGCCGACTCCAAGAACATATCTCAGTATGCAATCATGGCCATTGGAATGCAAGTAGAAGCTCATCAGTTCGACCCAGTGGCTTCAAAGCTTGCTTGGGAACAATTATTCAAGTCCATCTACGGCTTGACCACAGACCAAGCCGTTGTTGCAGAAGAAGAAGCTAAGTTAGCCAAGGTCCTTGATGTCTACGAGGCTAGGTTGAAGGAGTTCAAGTACTTGGCTGGTGACACTTTCACTTTGACTGATCTTCACCACATTCCCGCGATTCAATACCTGCTCGGAACTCCCACCAAGAAGCTCTTCACCGAGCGTCCACGTGTCAACGAGTGGGTGGCTGAGATCACCAAGAGGCCAGCTTCAGAGAAGGTTCTGTGAGAAATTTCTAAAAGGAAAAAATGGTTTTGCTTCAGTCACAGTAATAATGCTAAAATTAAATAAGCGGCTACCTCATTGCCCAATTTCTCAGTATTTTCTTTCTGTTGTATCCTCTGTTTTTGTTTCAGTTATGTGAGTGTGTGTATGTTCTCGAGAGTATCTTTGGCAAAAACTATTTATCTAATCTTCAGGCTCTTCTAAAATAAATCAATTAGTTAACAAATGCAAAGATTGCAATGTCTTAAACTATGGAGATACTGACTAGTGAGAATAATATACAAGGACTTTAGTATTGTGGAAATCTTACTTTGGAACGTTTCTCCTGGGGAAAGAAGTTGACTTAAGACTTTGGACGTTCTTATCCTTAAAGTTTCCTTGCTTTGTCAGGTCTGAAAATGAGAAGTAATATAGACGTAAGATTCAAATCAGGCAAAACAAAACACATCAGATTTCTGGACCTATTCAACTCTATAAATTACAGAAACGATTAGAGCAGCAAGTTTGAGTGTTTTCACCATCAATCACGGATCTTCTCTGACTCAGCAACGGGAAAGAAACAAGACGCAAAAGGAGAGGTAGATATAAATCCTAAGCCAGATCGATTAAACTGAATTGGCTAATACCTTGACCGCCTCATGTTTGTCTCCAATGGTTTGCTCGTCTCATCCCTCACTCTGATGACTTTGTGGCTACCCAAAGAATTGTGAGTAAAGCCAGCCATATATTTGCAGGCTCTGGTCATCCTTTAAGTTAGAGACTTTGCTACATCAAATATTCACATAATCCATAAAGATTAAATCCACCAAGAAGGCAAGAAATAGCCTTTATTCAGAGTTTGTCTGTTATTATCATCCAGCTTACTTCACCACGATAATCCAATAATTTCCGGAGGTTACACAGATTGAAAATCTATCACAAAGCATTTTTATAAAACACATACCATTGCGTTCAAGGTACCAAGGAAGAACAGTAAGATCCTGGTGAAGAACACAATGAGATAAGGGTTCTAGTACAAAATCTTATGAACAGGGTACGCACCTGCTTTAAAGATTCTTCAACGAGCGTTTACTATCTTCTGCAGAAATTTAAGAAACAAATTAGCAAACTCAAGCCAGGCAACATCATTAGCATGAGAAGTAGAACCAAAAGAAGACTGAACTAGGCTCCATTATCTGAAAAACAGTAAGAGAAGCTGAGAAGGGCTACTGAAATTGAAGAATTACTGATACATGATAAATCCGACGGGAACCTCTCAACAGAACCAAAATACAACTTTGATAAACTTCAACAAAGTTTTTATTAAAATGGGGAAAAAACATGAACTAAAAACCAGTAATATAAAAAAAAAAGATCCTTCGGCAGCATTCATCAGCATATTTAGTACATGCTGTACTTGTCGTTTGTCGCTTCTGGTCGAATGCTCTTGTAGATGGACATGGCAATTGGAAGAATGGCCGTGAGGGCAATCTGCAACTGATCCGAGCTGCTGGTTCTGACTGTGATCTGTCCGCTCATCTTGTTGTTAAGTCCTGCACGAAGCGCGATCTTTGAGTTCCTTCCAACAGAGAGTTGAGATTGGAGATTGGCTCCGAGGGCTAAATCACCTCTCCACTTCACCAAAGACAGCCCAAAAGAAGATTGGTCCTGTCCAATTGGGAAATCAGCTTCCCTAAACCTGACCTCAAGGTTCGCACCATAGGCCGAATCTCCCTGTGATCGCATTGTCCCAGTGCTGCCCACAAGCACAAACCTTTTCCCCAGTGCTATTTGGTCCTCGAGTTTGACACCAGTGGCGATGTTCTCTCCCAAGAATGTCACTGACCCTCCAACAGTTGTCTTGTTCTTCCTCAAGTTCTTGAATTTGGTTTCTCCTCTGACCACATATGCCAGCTGCTTACCTACATTCTGAATATCGAACCCTGCCATGGTGGATCCATTCTCGCCGTGCTTAGCAGACACCGAGGAGTCCATATGAATGTTGAACTCTTTCTTGTCCTTGGTGACTTGGACAGTAGCTGTGGCAGGGAACCGGCTTGCTACAACAAGACTGTATTCTGCATTGACGCCGTCATATCCACAGTCATGGTCCCAACCATGGGTGTCCAACACTGGTCTGGTTAGGAGTTGTGAAGTGGGTTCCAGAAATCGGTATCGGTAAGCTGAGTTATCACTATCAAATGAAGGTGGCAAAACCATATCGGGTAATGGAACTGGCACTGCAGCTGGAGCCCCGTTTTCAGGATCATCTTCTTCTCCCGGATAACCAAACTCACTCTCACCCACCTTCTTCCCGTTTTTCTTCATTTCTTTCATCCTCTTCAATTCCTCTCTCCATTGCTTCTTCTGCAGGAGCTTTACCCGGTAATCATACTCCTCGAAATATGCCTTTCTCTGTTCCTTTGAGAGTTTTGCAAGTTGGGTTTTTCGAAGAGGCTTAAATGGTGGCAGCTGGTCATACTCATCATCTTCCCCATCTTCCTGCTCAGAATCAGACACATCATCAATTTCGATATCAGAGTCAACACTATCACCACCTTGGTCTCCGGGGAGCTTAGGATGTGCACGGGACTGCAACAGCCAAGACAACAAGTAAGGGAGAGGCGGGGATCGAACTCGGAAACCGAATACTTTACGATGATCCAATGGTTCTTGAGGCTTCAATAGAGAATTTGCTTCTGACAAAACCTTCAGGGAGTAACACAATAGCAACAGCTGAGGTCTCCAAGTTTGGCCATTCGGGAGAACCTTCACTCCCTCCCGGTTCTTCCTACACAAGGGGTGATTCTCAACAAGAGAAACTGGATTCATCAGACTTGGATTCATCAAGCGCAGATCTCCAACGGCCTGCCCTATAGACTGTTGCACAATATGTGAGCACTGTGCTACAAACACATCATAGCTCAATGGGGTGCCAGATGGGCCATCAGGAGGGGCAGAAGCAGCATGGGTCAATGTCACTATAGCGTTTTTCCATATTGATGTACCAAGAGAAGCAGTAATCGTCCTTAGCAAGGGCATATTGTTCAAGTCCCTGGTCTGGGTGTCAAGACGATCTACATATAGTACAATATCAGGGGGACACTTCTTCATTACCTTCTTTACAGAGGACAACATTTTTGCATTTGCACTTTGATCCATCGCAGCAGACTTCAAACCCGGAGTATCAATAAAGGTAATCTTGACACCACCCACGGTTTCAGAAATTTCTCTAACAGAAGTGGTTGAGAGCCCAAAAGCATCGATGGACGCCTTCTGATTTCCCAAAATGGAGTTTATAGTAGCACTTTTTCCCACCCCAGCTTTTCCAAGTACCAGTATGTTTAGAGAGAAGTTCAAATCTTCGTTGCCCTCAGCCTCAGACTCTACAGCCTTCTTCTTCGCAGCATCAAGACTGAAAAACTGCCCTGTTTGTCTCCCAGCAAGTAGTGCAAGACGGTAAAGAACCTGCGCTGCGATTGAATCTTCTGCCGAATGCCCCAACTTTTGCAAAAGCCGCAAAAACTTCACACGGAGGCTTTGCAACTTTTCTAATTTCTGTTTCTCTTCCTCGCTCAAGTTAACCTCAGTCTCCTCCGCCATTGTGACATTAGGATTGGAAAAGATGTTGGAACGGTTTGCACGTGGAGCTGCTGCAGGTTTCAAGGGCCTTAACGATGAACTCAAACCAGCAGGTCGATCCATAGAGAAAAGCTTTGTGCCATCCTGAGATGTTATGGTAAAGTTGCCACCTTCTGAACTTCCACCACCAGTGGCTGCCTTCAAAAGTGCAGCCAAAGCTGCAGAATCAAACATTTTCTCCTCACCTTCATCCTCTGTGTCTACATCCTCGTCAGAATCGGTGACAATCTGGCCATCAATTCTATCTGACATATTGTTAGAAATGTTTGCTTCATCAGAATGTGCCTCTATACCAGAAGAAGCCTTTTCCAGCTCTGCTAAGAACTGTTTTGCAGCTTCAGAACTCCCAAATATCATCTCTTCAGTTTCTTCTTCACTTTCAGACCCATCAACCCTGGTAACACCTTCGCCAGAAGGTTCCTGGTCCACTTCCTTGCCTTCAAAGCTAAACTCACGAGAAGAAACAATGTCTTCGGCTGGGAGCTTGTTTCCACCCTCTTCAGCATTGTCCCCTTCGAAAACTTCCCGAACCTCTGGGTTTTGGTTTGCTTCAACCGAACCCACTGTTAAACTTTCAGAAACAGGCGATTCTTCTACTTCCACACCTACTTTTGGTTCGTCAGGCTCTACTTTGGCTGCCCCTGATATTTCCTTAGCAGCCAATTCAAAATTTCCATCATATGCAGCAGTCAGGTCATCAGGTTCCTCAATATTTGGGATGGTCTTGTCAACCTCATCATCTCCATCATCTTCCTTAATTACAGCCTCCTTCGCCGCCCCGACAACCACAACCCCTGGCTCTGCAACATTGATATCAGCATCAACAGATTCCACCACAGAGTCTCCTTCACTAGTCAACTTCTCTCCTCCCTCCTCAGTGGCTTTATCAGATTCACGTTCAACTCCATCACCTTCAACTTGGCCAACTGGATCAAACTTATTATGCACATCAGTGATCTTACCATCAGTTTCCAGCACCTCACTTGCCTCTACGTCTCCAACAACAACAACCCCTGGCTCTGCCACATCTACATTCACAGCTTTTATAGCAGATGAGTCCACCACAAAGTCTCCTTTGTTGGTTAACTTAACACCTTCTTCTTCATCATCGACTACGCCACTGAACACACTCTCCTCCTCTTTGGTTCCATTGTCAGCTACTGCACTAGCTGCCTTGATTACCTCAGCATAAGTCATACCCTTCTCCAATCCGTTAGTTTGTTCCACATCCTTTGGTTCAGTCCCACTCTCGACAGCTACGACCTCTGGCTCTGCAGCATTGGTATCCACAGATTCTAATTTAGAGGAGTCTGCTCCGCTACTCAATTTTTCTTCTACCTCCTCAATGGCCTTATCAGACACAGGTTCCAATTCACCACCATCATCATCCCCAATTTGATCAAACTTATTTGCCACTTCAAGAGTTTCAGCATCAGCATTAATGTTCAACTCCTCACTTCCCTCTGCGTCTCCTACAACAGCCACCCCTGGTTTTGCCACATCAACATGCACTGATTCTACAGGGGACGAGTCCACTATGACGTCTCCTTTATCAGTTAACTTCACACCCTCTTCTTCAATGACATTATCACTTTTATCGTCAACATCAACTTTTGCACTCAACTCACTCTCCTCCTCATTGGCTCCACCTGCCTGTGTTACCTCATCAACTTTTTTTGCTCCAACATCTTCTTCTCCCACATCCTTCACTTTACTCTCACTCTCCCTTTCTGGTATCTCATCCACCACTATTCCATCTGTGGAAGCCTGTTTCTCTCCAACATCAACACTCCCATTTTCAATCTTACTCTCACCATCGTCTTTAATATCTTCCACGTCCTCATTAACCTTCTTATTCTCCTCCACCACCCCTAGACCATCAGAAACATCCTCCGGCTTCGGAGATAACAATGAAACACCATCTTCCTCAATTGTACCATCAGAAACAACCTCAGGCTTCGGAGTAGCCTCAGGAATAGCAGAATCCTCCTTTAAAGAATCATCCACCTCGCCAGAAACTTTCCCGTCACCCTCCAAATTCGGCTTCTCCTTATCAGATAAATCATCAGCTCCAACCTTATCCGAATTACCAGACAAAGCCTCCGACGAGGAATCCAACTCCTTGGCACTACTCACAGCACCACCATCCTCCTTATCGGCGGCTGCAGCAGCAGCGGCGGCGACAACAGAAGCATAGGTTTTTCCTGTAACAAAATACCTTCCGATAAAAACCCTATTCCCAAAAACCAGATTAAAGAAGATAGAAACGAGAAAGAAACCTGATTGCCCCGAAGCGTAGAAGGGGTTCGTTGGTTCTGGAGTTACCGACTTAGAGTCCATTTCCGCTTTGCTACTGAGAATTTATCGAACTCTCTCTCCACCAAACTTGTGGAGGAAGGAGATAGCGATAGATAGGGTTTAGAGGAATTAACCCTTTTTGTGTGAAGATTTTTATGATTGAGAATTTGGCTGCTCTCTTTTGACAAGAGAGAATTGGGAGAGATAAGGTCAGTGAGCGAACAAAAAATGACTCTCTTTGCTTTGGGATTTTATCTTCTCAGTTTGTTTTTGAGGATGATGACGAAATTACCGAATTACCCTCGCTTCTATGTTGGTGAAGTTTCCAAGAGCTCTCTCTATGTGCTGCTGCGCTCTAAAACGCTGACGTTTTATTGGCTCAAGCCAAACAAAATATAAACAGTTTTTTTTTTTTTTTTTTTTGAAGAAGTAATAATCATTTGTGGTTAAAATTTGAAAAAACTATAAAGTGTTTTTCTCAAAAAAAAATAGGACAACAATGTTAATATTTTAATCACTTTTTGGAAAGTATTTACTGTTTAATCTTCTGCTTTTATTATGCAAAATTCTCCATATGTTAAAATCTTCCCCCAATGGAAAATGTTTGAGGGGCTTACTAAATCTAGGGTTTTTGAAGTCATGAGAATTAGGGTTTTGTTATATCTTCTCTAGGCCTGGGCGTTCGGATATTCGGGTCGGGTTCGGGTCGGGTTTTTCGGGTTCGGGTTTTTCGGGTTTAGAAAACTAAGACCCGTTCGGGTATTTTAAAACTTCGGGTTCGGATCGGGTTCGGGTCGGGTATTTCGGGTTTACCCGAAGTATCCAAATATTTAAAAATTTGTATCCGATTCTATGAAAAGTATTGAAAATCCTCAGAAAATCTATAAATTTTAAGTATTTTATACCCTATTCTAACCAAAAGTAGCTAAAACACCCGAAAATATCTTAGCATCCGAATAATTTAGACACTTAGACTATTACAAGTATAAATATTACTAATATATTATAGCTATGTATTTATATTTCGGATATGTTCGGGTACTTGTTCGGGTTCGAGTTCGGGTCGGGTTCGGGTTCGGGTTTTCGGGTTGTGAAGTTTAGAACCCGTTCGGTTATTTTAAAACTTCGGGTTCGGGTTCGGGTCGGGTTTTTCAGGTCGGGTTCGGTTCGGTTCTTCGGGTTCGGGTATTATGCCCATGCCTATTCTTCTCTTTACTTAAAAACAAAAAACCACACACACACAAAACCAAAAAAATAAAACAAAAAATAATTATAAATGAGATAACATTTGAGATTGCGTTTTATAAAGAAGAAAGAAATCTTTTTTGTATCTTTGTTGATTCTCCCAACCCGAATTTGCTTGGCCACAAACTATTTTTCCCACCATTATCTACGAATTATCTTGGATTTTTGTATATTATGGATTCCATATATTAGGCCGGGATTTTAGTTTTCACATGGGCTTTTATAAGGCCTATCCATAATAACAGCCCGTAAAAAACCCCATACTCTCCATAAGAATCTGACCACATACCAAATTTTATTTTTTGAACTATACTCAATATGATTTTTTGACATTTACATACCAAAAATAAATAATTAGTTGATAGTTTAGTTAAATAAGAAATCAGGTTTTAAAAAAGTTCTTGAATTAAATTAACACAGATTATTGATCCATGAAGCTACAAAATCTCAAGTTCTAATGGATTACAAAATAAAAAAGGAAGAAAAACAACATTTTGATTTCGTAATAGAACTCTAGACGTAGAGACAAAGTAAAACCAAAGAATAAACTGATGTCTCTGCACAATACTTTTATCATCCATCTTAGTACAACAACAAGCAAAGACGCAAGACATAAATATAGCAAGTAACAGAGCACAAATCCTAAACGCAGATCCGATTCAAACTTGATTGGTTTGTACCTTAACCGCCTTAAACGCCGGGTGAAGCAACCCGAGCTCGTCTTTCATCTCCAACGGATTGCTAGTCTCGTTTCGCACTCTCTTGACTTTGCGACTAGCCAAAGATTTGTGAGTGAAACCATAGATTTGCAGAATCTGGTTATCTCCAAAGTTAAAGGCTCTGTCCATTTGTTTTAGACACCGTTCCACCGGGTAATCACCAAATTTACCACAGGGTTTGCAACCGACAAAGTGAGTCACCAATGGCCATCTGTGATCGCCTAGACCCGGGTGGTAGTTTTCTATCATTTCTTCATATCGGTCCACAAGAATCCCCCAGTAACCGTGAAGATAGTATCCACTTTCTAGGTACACCTATAACAACAATGCAGTGGCTCAAATAAGTAGCTCAACAAAATACAAACCAAGCAAAGATTTGAGTTTACTTCAATAATAGACCTTACACAGATGTTAGAAACCACAAGATGCAACTCACATTGTCATTTGTGATGACCAAGAAACATAATAAACAACAAAATGCAACTCACATTGTTATTTGTGAGCAAAAAAACGACCTTTACGTGATCAAGAGATGTTATAAACGGACGAGACATCTAAAGTTTCCAAATTTAGAAAAAAAATTTCAGATCAAACCAATGATGATGAAATGGAATCAAGTTCACAGCTTTAAACCAGTCAAATTCAGTTAGTACCTTATTGCCCCAAGCGTCTCGCTGAGTAGCCAACAGATAAACCATAGCAGATTGATCATCAGCTTCGAACACCGGCCTATCCTTGAGCTCACGGGTTAAAACCTTACCCGCTTCCTCACGGATCTTCCCTTTAGGACCCATAGGAGCCCAAGTATCAAGCAAATCAAGTGCCCATTGATTGTTCCTAAGCAAGAAACTTCCAGTATTCAACCCAATCCAATTCTTCTGATCATAAACCATCTCATTCCATCCATGCATCACCAGATTGTAATCTTTATACCTCTCCCATGGAAGCTCAAAAGCCATATCCGTAAACATAGCATCACTATCCATCCACCAAAGAAACTCAATCTCAGGATGTGACAACAAAAGCTTCCTAATCAATGGTAGCTTTGCCCAAAAACCAGCCATCTCCGCATCAAGAAGAGCCATATTATAGAAGATCTCGATCCCATGTAACCTACAGTAATCGATCTTGTTCTTGATCGATTTCAAGAGGTAATGATCACCGACAGGATTCTCACATGGTTTTGGCGCCGAACCAGTAACCAAAAGGACACGTGGCTTGTTTGGTCCGATGAAATTAGGGAAGCTAGGGTTCTTAGCTAACCAATCAGATCTCTGCTCATCCCAATCTGATATCTTGGGTCCGAGAGTGTAAGGTTTATTCGGGTCGGGTTTCTCTTCTTCACCTTCGTCAACGAATATCTTGTTGATATCAAACGTCTCATAGTTATTACTCCCACCGGAATTACCTCCACCGTCACCGGAGGAAGAAGAAGAATCTCCTCCGGTCTGGATTTCTTCAAGGACACGGTGAGGCTCACCTCGTTTGCGTGCGTGGAAATGTTGACGGATCTCGTCAAGATCTTGCTCCGGAGTTCCGAATTTACCGGCGCCGATTGTGCTACGTAGGACAACTACGGTAAGAACAAGACAGAGAATCGTTACCTTTAATTGACGTAATGCTCTTTGGATTCTCCGGCACCGGTAAGCTCCTAAACACCTCTCAATCATCTTCTTCTTCTTCTTTCTTCTTAGAAGATTCTCTGTAAAGATCTGTGCTTTGTGTGTTTTTAAGAGAAGATCTGAGTTTCCATTAATGTAAGAGATTCGAATTTGATAACACTGTTAATTACCAAAGTTACTACTACAAGAAGAGAAGAGGAGAGAGTTTTTGTGTTTTGGACACGACAGTTAAGATTGTCTGATTTCACTTAATTGTCGGTGGTAGTGCTGTGTTAGTAGTGTTGATGACACGTGGCAAGGTTTTAGAGAGTGTGATTTGTGATCAATTATCTTGACCGTTGATGCAGTTATAGATCTATAAAAAACTAAAAATCTAAGAGCGTTGAAAAGTCAACTCGTTGTTGTTTTTTGTAGTTTTAGTGGAAAACTCGTTTGTTTTTTTTATTTATATATAGAAAACTAGTTGAAAAGAAAAAGGAGCATAAATAGCAAAATATTTTCAACTTGTTTGATATAGTTAAATTACTAATTAGAGGTTAGTAAGTTACCCAAATGACTTTTGGAATTCATCGTATTGAGATATGTTTTTTTTTAAAATGGTCTTTGATTTTATTTTTTCATCATGAAAAAAATGCCACCATTACATAATGAAAAAAAAAATCATCTCATGAAAAATATGAGAAATCAATATCCACTATTACATCATGAAAATGAAAAACATCAGAAATTACTAGCTACTAATTACATCATGAAAAATATATATCAAACCACTTGTGAAAAATATCAACTATACTTACTACTCAATCCCTAGAAATCATACTCTTATCTCACTATCTTTTTCAACAATGTTAAGAGAAATACTTCATTCGGTGGATTACACAGCAGAAAGATTGTCTCACTTCATCGCTTCTTCCCAAAATCTGTAAATGGTAATGTGTCAATCTTGATAAATGATAACAATGATAGAGGCTAATTCTGGAATAGAATTTTGTTATAATCTCAATTTTCGATTAATTTTAAATTTCGTGTGGAATCCAGCCAATTTGGATTAAAGTCCCTTCTTCAACAAATATAGCAACATAATAATCTCCTCCAATTAAAAGACTGCGACAACAAGTGAGGAGATATATTGTTGTAGAAAAATTATTTGATACATTCAAGAACATCTCTCGTGCACATATAGAGACATTTAAATATCCTGAATTAGCAAAAAACGATATTTGAGCTTTTGAATATCTCCTAATTTTTTAATGTTTGTTTGATTTTTCCCTAATACAAATCTAACATTAGTCGTAGGGCACCTAAGATGAAGTTTCACCTATCTAGCTTCATTCCTTTCATACATGGAAGCCATGTTTTACCTGATAGAAGATTTGTGATGATTCTGCAAATTGAAGAACAAGAGAAGGAAACAGATATGACTAACGATTTGAAGAACAATCGCATTTAACCTCGGTCATACTAGTGAAAGTATTTCCTAATTTGAAAAGACCCGCCTATATCATAAAAGGTTTCTGAGGCCACAACAAAGCTCAGATCCAAACACAACTCTTGTCTCTCTCTCTCGAGAAAATATATTTTGTTGTCTCCCACAAAAATCTCGAGAAAATATATTTTGTTGTCTCCCACAAAATAATGGTTTTTGATATGTAACAAATTAAAGTTTAGATTTATATGTAATGTATATATTGTTGAATTAGAAAATGAATGAAGCTCTAACAAAATATGTGAATGAAGTTGTTTTGAACGAAAATGATACATATATAATTTTCTAAAAAAACATTTCTTCTAAATTTGCTCTTATTCTTTATAAATTCATTTATTCCCCAAAGTATATTTTTATTTATATTCATAAATAAAAAGACATGAGAAAGAAAAAGAAATTTTGTTATATGACTACTAGGTTATTAACCCCCGCTACGCGGGGGTTTATATTTAGCGATTTTTTAAATATATTTTTTGGGCTTAGCAATCATGTAAGTAGTTACACATTGACATTAGTAATGCAAAACTACTATATTTATTTTTTATTTTTATTGATTTTCACATAAATGTATTTTATTTTATTTATATTTTTAGTATATTTATGATGTATAAAATTTGTTTTAATAAGAAAGGAAAAGTTTATAGAAAACATTTTGGTATGAAATGTATTAAAAATATAATATGTCATTTCTCTGACTTGTTTTAAATAGTATAAATTATTTTTCTATTAGTGAAGCAATTATAAAAATATTCTGACAAAATATTAGAAAATAAATTACCGAAATATGTACACGTTTGGGCTAACTTGTGTTTCTCTTATCTATTAGTAAATTGTTTTGTTATTAATCAAACATTTTTAGAGAAATATATTTTAACATATCTGCTATGTGTGCATTTATTTTATATACTAGGTTATTTAGCCGCGATACTCGCGGCTTGTTGCATACTATGTTATATGTTTGCTATTTATTTTACTTAGTTTCTTTGTTTGAATTTAAAATTTAGAAAAATAAATAAATGAATGACAGTAAATTCAAATTTGATTTTTTCTATAAAATTTGAATTGTATTCATCTATATACCATGATATTTATATTTTTTTTAAATAATTAAGAGTATATTACTGCTTTTAATCATTACAATATTTGATGCCAATTAGAAATTTTAAGAGTGTTGATGATAAAATTAATGATTATAGTAATATAATACGTATATATAAATAATACTTATTTTGTTAAATGTGAAAATCGTAAACCCTACTATGAAAATTAAGTTACATCGTTTTCAATTTATAATTTATATTTTAATAGTAAAGTTGATATTCTAAATTTATCCAATTTTAAAAGTTATTGTTGTATTTTAAAGAATTTAAATATAATGGTAATACAAAAAAATTCTTATTATTTTCTACTTAATGAAAATATCATAACCAAATGTTATACATATTGGGTTTGGGCTGAGTTTTGAATTGAGTCTACTGTTATATTTTGATACAACTTGATTCGAAGTTGTTTATCTACTTAATGAAAATATTTAAAATCACATAAATGATGTAATAAATGTTGAAACACCATTTTATTAGGTTATTCTCCGTTAATAAAATAATCATTTTATGCTTCTTGTAAAAGCATAATTTATTTAAGAAATTTATATCAAATAATTTATTCCGTAATTTTTTTTACAGTTTAAGAAATAGATGTAGGAATAGAGATGAATTATATTGTAAGAGATAAGTGAAGAAAGATGAATTATACAATTCAAGCGTCTGCTTCCACTACCACTTAACATTTATGTTGTTTCGAAGCATACTGAATTGTATTTTTTCCTTCTACTCATCATTAGTCTTCTTGATTTTCTTCTGAATCTCACTTCAAAAATATCAAATTTATTTCGAGTCAATCAAAATTCAGGTTTATATACAAAATTGATAAAAATGTAATATTGAAACACCATTAGTCGGATTATAAAAGAAAGTATTATAAAGTTTATCAATATTATGAAATTTGGAATATGATGGTTAGTAATATATGTATATTACTATTTATAGAAGACAACATATTTACGTTTTACGACTATTCCAGTTTAACAATTATGTTTAAATGTCATTTATGAGTAAGTTAATTGTATGTATATCATAAAGTTATGTTACATTTCATAGAATTCATTCTGTAGAATTCATTTTGTATTAATTGTATTTAAAGTATTGTTGCAGTTTAGTGTGAGCATTAACAACATAACGATAATTATTAGTATGGAGGTTACAAAATCTGAAAAATACATAATATATAATTGTTATATATTATTATAGAACATTTTTAAATTATTACATGCTAATGATGTGGATGACATTTGTTTCAATATTGATATGATTGAATTTTTTTTAAAAGGCTCTTAAGATTTGATATCTTGCATTTGCTCATATTTTAGTATTGTTTTTTACTTTACTATTATTTATGTATGTAATTGTAAACATCAATAAACATATGTTATCTATTACTTTTACAAAATAAATTGTTAATATAAACTCACAGATAATTTGTTTGTTCGTTGATATAAACTCCCACATAATAGTTCAAATTTATATTATTTTGCAATTAGAAAAATAAATTTATTTTTCTTATAAAAATCATATGAACTTCAATCTAATTAAAATCAACAAAGATCCAAGGATAACTTCTATCTTTTTTTTTTTAATTTCACTCATCAATTTAAATTCTAGTGCTAGACTATATACTAATGGTTTTATCTTTATAGGATTTAATAAAATGATTTTTGTTTTAATTATAGTTATTTTCTTGTATATTTCACTCTATTTAAGTATGAGTGTTAGGTTTCATTCTAATTTTCTATTATACCTAAATTAATTTTCTTGAACCATATGATTCGTTTTTTTAATCTTAAGGACCAAATTTTTTTTAACGAAATTCTTTTTTAATTTGAAAAAATACTTAAACCTCAAATTTTAAATAAAATAAACAGTATAACGATTTTTATATAATTATCTATTGGATCACAAAAAGTAAATATAATAATACATATATTAAAAATAAATTATAAAGTTTATTCGAGATAAGAAAAAGGTTAGAAATATATGTTTAATAAATGTATTACAATAATTTATTTTATTAAATATTGCATAATTAAAAAAAATTACATAAATATATTAGAAAATAATCAAACATCTAAAGTTGTAGATAATGGAAATGGATCTTTTTAACTTTATTATCTTGTTGTGCTATGATTGGAATTGATATATTTAACTCTCCATCACCAATAAACCTGAATTTGTTATAACCATCAATACTTTTAGTATACATATGTGAATTTAAACTAAAAATATAAAAATTAAAGAATAAATAAGTATATTTTAGTATGGCTTTAGAAGTATACAAAAATGAAAACAACGTTAGATATATATAATACATTCTAAAGTAAATTTAAAATCAAATTATTGATTTTTAATCCATATAAGAACATAAAAATAGACACATAAATATAGTATAAGAAGATGAGAGAATGATTACCTATAAGATGATTATCTAAAATAGACAATGAAGATGCATCTATCAAAAAAAAAAAAAAAAACTAATGTAAGAACAC